TACATGTAAGAAAGAAGTATAAATAGATTTTAAAGAGATTGGCTTACTACAACTCTTAAAAATTATTCATAATTGTTTTATACTCTCCTGAGGAGTTTACATTCTGGTGGGGTCTTGGCATAGTGACCGACTCGCCTGTGTGACCGACTCGCCCGTGAGGTACGTTATAAAGATTATAAGCTATAGAAAGAGAATAGAGTAAACGTTAGCCTTAGTTCTTCCTAGTAAATTAGTCGCTTATATGATTCTATATCGTATAGGAAGTCCTCTAACTAGCCTTTCTAAAGTCTCTTTCTTAAGCGATTAGGTTTATCTAATGAAACTTTCATTTAAAGTAAACTATCTTGAGTTAACGGACTGCAGGTGCACGTTCACAATCACAGATCACGTGATAATTCCATGTTCCTAGACGTCGGCCAGAGTGTACTAATAAAATGCCTCGGCGCTTTCGGATATGTTCGTCCCTCCCTCTAACGCCAAATGTCTTGCACATCGAATGCGCGATTTACATTGGAAAGAAAACCCCGTTAAATGTATGCTTGACCTCCTTCCCTCTGCAACCCTGGGAATATTGGAGCCTTCATCCTCGCTCCGCCAATGTTAATCCGTCGCGGACTTCCCCCGCCGGGTTCGCGCCATCCTCGCTCTTCTTCTTCTGAAATCCTTTCCTGACCTTTACGGTTATGCATCGAGCACTCTAGGAGAATGATGCCTGCACGTAAACTGCCCAGACTCTAAAAGCAAAGTTCATGTTAAACCCACTGTTACTTTTCGGGCATCTCTCGTCAAGGCTCTCTGCCTCTTGCCTAACCATTCTGGTTTCGAGTCGAGTAGATGCATCACTGCTCCCGCAACCGCTATCGCCGGTTTGTATTGGAGTATTGTTGTTTCCGGGCCTGGTTGACTTCCGTCGCACTTCCGAATCATCGGTCTTAAAGCTCAAATGGAAAGGTGATTTTCCTCAGGCGTTTCGTATGACTTCTAACAGCAAAGTATGATCACAGCTGGAGTCTCCTTTGGCGTTTGGCGCTCCTCAAGGCCTGAGGTATCGCCACTTCTGTTGTGGTCTCCTTCATGCTAGTCTGGATTTCTCTGTTCACAATCTCCCATCGCCTGTCCGTTAAGTACTCCTGGATACTCTCTATCCTCGCTTACGCCTTAGAGGCGCTACAGTGGGTGCGGATGCTTTTGGGGCGCATTTCGAATCGCCTTCCTGATCCGAGGTATGGGATTCTATGGGCGCCGCTCCAACCATCGGTAAATGACTATCGCGTTCCTTATAACTTATGGGCTTCGACCTGGTGCTCCTTGGTCCTAGGACTCTATGAATCGGCTTTGGCATTACGTTCCTGCAGATGACGACGTGTTTCCGTGTCTATCTTACTCTGACCTTTAGCCATGCCATCGGTCCTGTGTTGACGGTTCTGGCGAGAGATGCTCCAATTTCCCGCGTTTCGAATTTGGCTCGCTCGTCTGCTGGGTCGTGAGTGCAGTGGATGGGTCCCGTTGGGATTCGAGGGGTTGGTTAATGCATGTATTATGTTGATTTGCTCTCTTTAGTGTAGACATCTCTCAAAGCCTTTGGTTGCCGATGTGCAGAGTCTGTTATCTCTTGATAACTGGAAATTGATTTATACCTTAGGGTAGCATACTGCGGGTCACATCTGGAACCTCTGTATCGCTCAGAGCAGGTGTGTATACGCCCCGCACATCAACAACTGCTTTCTATGTGTACTTTCTCTAATGTCTGAGGAGATCGACCAGAGGGCGAGTTGGTCGAACCGTCGACGGTATAACTTAAGATCCAGTTCTGTTAGCGAGTTGATGTCAGTGTAGAAAGACTCCCATGGAGACTCCATCCGCGCAAATGTACATAGAAAAGAAATACTCCGCTGAGGGTAAATTGCCTAACGTACTTGCATTAAGCGCATATCGACATGAACTTCTGAACCTAGCCTATCCCTTCTTTGCATCTTCGCTTCGGCTGTCCACTGCGGTAGGGCCATATTTGCCAAGATATTCTCGTCTCCACTGTAGAAGTTTGGCCTCCGTCACCTTACTCCCATCTCTGCCGCCAAGCATACACGGATGGAACTTTGTCCGGTTCCGCCCTTTCTCACTCCCGGCAATGCGCTCTCGCATGTCTGAGATATACTGTTCTTCAGACATTGACGCGGCATGCTGAATCTCTCTCATGCAATCTCGCAGCAACCGTCTTGAGTGAGGTTCCCACCTCGGTGAGGGTTGAGGTTTATCAATTAGAGATTCCATGTGGTCGGGTGTCAGTGTAGGCACTTTCCTCGGTTTCATCCCAATGTCATATGCAGTAAGTCCCTCCGCATCTCGATCAAAAATGACGGCGCCATGCATATGTTCGAGCAAGGTGGGCACCATACCCTCCCCGTCTCCTACTGCACACCAGTGCAGGGCAGTACGACCCTGAGCGTCGTGGTGATTTACGTCTGCGCCAAGTTCAATTAACTTCTCCGTTGTGCATATGTCTCCCCATCTGCACGCTATCTGAAGCGCGGTCTCGCCCCCAGAGGACGTAGAAGTCTTCGAGGTCGTATGGTCGATTGGAACACCTGCATCTAGCATTATGTCGATAAAACTTCGCGTTGGACATGAAATATCATCAGCAGGGTTGGTGGCTTCGGCTGCGACAGCGATGTGGTAGGCGGTCTCGCCTTTGTTATTCGCGATGAACACGTTTGCCCCTGCTTGAAGAAGCGATTCAATCATTACTTGATTTTCACGATAGTACTCACTGGCCGCCCGATGAAGGGGCGTTTCATTATCGTCGTTAAGCGCGTTCACATCTGCCCCAAGTTTGATCAAATTTCCAACGTGACTTGGAAACCCGTTCTCAACGGCAAGGTGCAGAGGCATGCCTGTGAGATTGAAAGCCCATCTTGGTCCCTCTTCCAGCATACTCCCTGCTAGCCCTTCCGGCCTGGCTGACCCACATAACGGGGGTATCGAACTGGGAACGTTGGCATCAGCTCCCGCTTCCAACAAGTGAGTTACTACATCCTCATTCTCCTTTGCGCAAGCGATATGGAGGGGAGTCTGACCAACACAGTCTTTCGCATCAGGGTCAGCTCCGCGCTCCAGAAGATAGGAGACCATGGAACTGCATCCGGAGAAAACGGCATAGAATAACGGTGTAAGTTGATACTGGTCTCTCACGTCAACATGGGATGTCTCGATACAGAACCTGACAATTTCAAGTTGTCCTAGGAGCGCCGCAAGATGAACGAGACCTATGTCTCGCGAAAGCCAAAGATCTCCACAGATCCGTGCTTGCCACCGAAGCCAAACTTGGTGAAGGTGGCTTCCAGCATCTAGTAGAGGGTGCGAAAACTCCAGAAACGCTACTCCACTATCGTTGAGATGGCGCAGCGAGTTGCGACACGAGTATTCCAGAAGAGGTTGGTTGCTCACTTCTGCAAAGTAGTTCCTGACTTCATCATGGCCGGTGATGGGAATGCGGGGATGCTCCTTCAGAAACTCGTAGGAGTAATCGAGAATCCGCTGAGCCAGTATCCTGTGATTTTCGGATGGCTCCATGTGGAACTGACGGAGTTCTGGATTCTCATTGAGGTGTAAGAGAAAGTCTGTCCAGGATGCATGTACCGGGACGACGCTCCTTGATAATGGCTCGCTAAGTTTCTGATCGATTATCACAAGAAGGTCAAAGCAAGAATGGACGTAATCCGCAACTGCATCGCCCAAATCTTGCCCAACAGCTTTTGGGGTGCTTAATGCTGTGCCTAGCTCCTCCGGGGTGAGGGGTCTGTAAGCGGTCACGACCCATCGCAACATCCTACACACGATATCTTTCTTCGTTGCGGAAACAGACAGAAGCATTCTTCCGTACATAGCATCAAGCCCTTCGGGGAATTCATTGACAGCATTTTCCAGCTCGGGACATATGCGGCTCTTCAAAGAATTTATGGCGAAATTTACCCAGAGGTAGGTACCACCGGAACATTCGACAAGCCGGCGCTTTATATTCTGCCGAAGCTCCTTTAGGTGAGGTTTCTTTCGTTCCGAGCATGCCAATTCATTCATGCGAGAATCAATGTAGCTTTCAATGTCTATCGTACGGTCATCCTGAAACGTAAGTTCTAGCCTCAACCGTGGAAATTCGCCAAGGATATCCTCCAGAACCTTTGGGTCTTTCCTGCTAGTGATAATCATCTTAACGCGCGGCTGACGATTTTCAGAGTGAGAGGTTCTGTTAAAGCTGAACAGTCCGCGGAGTTTGCTAAGCAAAGGCATCAGTGAATCCCCACGGCACTCGTTGAGCCCATCCAGTATGCAAGTTACGGACTCAAGCATTTCATCGCGGATCATGTTTTCGAATACATCCCACAGAGTCTCGAATCGCTCGTGTCTGAAAAGGGCCTTTTTGTGTCTCGCAAATGGCTTCCGAATATGGCGGAATAGATCCTCAGAGTCATCCAGTAGCTGGTATATGAGGCCCCAGAGGATGTATGAACCCGTATTCCTCCCGTTGTAGGCGCTACAGAAGAAATATATCAGCTTTAGGGTAAGGGAATTTTTCCGACTTATCTCGTCTCGGTCAGCAATGAGATAGAGAGCAAGCATTGTCTTTCCCATTCCGGGCGGTCCAGTAATCCAGAGCAACTGCAAAGGTCTGTTGAGCCACTGAGAGTACAATGGGCTGCGGAGCATCCATTCACACGTCCCTTCCGTCCACCTGCCCTTCTGGGTTAGCAGAGTATGCCTATACTCGCGTGGATCATTGTTGTCGAGTGCCTCAAGGAGCATGCGTTTGCATTGCTCATAGGGTGTTTCATTATCTTTGCCGCCGAAATGGTTATGATTGACGTTCCCTTGGTCATTTCAGTCAGCTGCAATCGTCTACATCGACACCTTTCACCCTACCAATGTGAAGGTTTTCTCCGGCGTTTATGGGACCTTGGTTAGAGAAGGCCCCTGTGGTCACGTCGCCGAACAAAATATTGGGAGTCTATGTGGCACGGTTAGTAATCGATGTGCCGATCGGAAACGCATTACTCACCTGCGAAGTCATGATAGTTTTGCCGACCAGCTTGGCGACAGATCCTTATTTTATATGGCGACGACCCATGAGGTTTGTCCACGTGAAATGGACCACGCTGACAGAGTTTGTGACCTGCAGTTTTCTTCAGCTGGGTATGTCCATCAAGTCAGTGAATTTCAGGTTTGCCAAGCTCTATGGCCACTGGCAACTCATGTGCTTCGTGTGGCAATTGATTCCCAGCTCAATTGACCAGACCAGCGGCTCATTCCCTGCAATGTCTCAGTGGCTTAATAGACTGATGTCAGCCCACAATGGATCACGAAGCAATGAGAGCTTTCTTCCTCAAGCGGAAAGGGGCCGGTGATCACAGTCCGGACAGTCAAACCACTGATCTCGGAGATATAGAGCCACAGAGAAATCTGGAGTCTTTCCCGCACAGCAATACGAACCTGGTACCAAGAGGAACTGCTCTGTGAGTTGATGCATGCTCCGTCTAAAGGTTTTGCTGATCCATTGAAGCATGGCACCTGAAGAGACTAGGCCCTACGGGCCTCTGTTCCTGTACGAACCTCCTAACGCTGAAGTCGAGTAGGTGCATCATACTCAAGACCTAAAAGCAGAGTAGTGCTTATGTGGAACAGCATCATCCTTATACATGGACTTGGGGGTGATCGACAGAATACATGGACATGGACAAACATTGATGGAGAACGCTGCTTCTGGCCGGCCGATTTGCTTCCTACCGATCTTCCACGAGCTAGGGTTATTACTTGGGGATATGCAGCCAGGACGATCAATTTGGTCGACGTTGTCTCTCAAGCACCCTTGAAGTCGCATGCGGACAAGCTGTGTACTGAGCTGAGCAACCTGCGGGAGGGGATCGAGCAGCGGCCTCTCTTCTTCGTTGCGCACAGTCTTGGCGGGATTGTAACAAAGAGAGCGATACTACATTCCAGTGAATCTAATTTGGAAGGTATCGCCGCCATCGGAGAGGGGACTCGTGGTGTTGTCTTCATGGGCACTCCTCACGACGGATCTGGCTACGCCGATGTTGGGTCGTTTCTGATAAATCTGGTCAAGATCTTCATCCGTCATCAGCTCAATAATCAGGTGATAGAAGGGTTGAAAAGCCATAATCGAGAGATCCAGGAGCTGGAGCGCCGTTTCAATCAGCTCCTCCTTCGCCGCCGTCCAACCAAGACCGCCATTGAAGCACGATGCTTCTGCGAGACCGAGCCAATGAACGCCGTGGTAGGCCTAGTACGTTCCTAATGTCCAGTTTTAAGAGAATATTAACTAACAAATCAGGTCGTTCCAAGCCTTTCATCAGCACCGCCAGCTTATGAAACTCCTATCGACGTCGATGCCAACCATGTCAACATAACAAAATTTTCAGGGCCCCATGATCAGACATATCAGAACGTGCTAGCAGAGCTAAAACGCATGATAAGGTCGGCCAAAGAGCGACAGCAGTCTGGAAACGAAACTGGTAATGACGGTACACCTGTGACACACGTTGGGAATAATACGCATGGTGCTTTAGCCAACTATGCCCCGCAGAATATTCAGAACAACACGGGAGGTTCTGTCCATTACGGTAAGCATTCTTACAGAACAGGTAGATGATGGCTGACGAAGACAGGCAATGTGAACACATACAACTAGTATCTGCACGTTTTGGGGATAATGGGTCGAATGGAATGAATCCGCTTTCATATGGTGGATGATAGAGGGTAGAGTATGACTCTGTACGCACGCAATATTATTAGCAAATCGGCCAATAGATGGGACGGTGCGTTTGAAGGTTTACCTAGGTCCCTACGGGGTTACCCTCGTTCATCGATTACCCTTATCTTTGAACAAGACCCGATTTTGAAAGTTAAAGCTCTCTTACATTGCTTGAACAGGTGTAGTTAGGAGCGCAACTGTGTCAGATGGATGTGTGCGTGGGCGTTGACATGCGAGAGGTATTGACGTTCTTGGCGTGCACGAATCATCCCGTCTGCACCGTCACAGCCCTATACCTCCTCAAACCCCACGATACAGAGGAGATAATTAGGTTTTAGTACGTTATTTAGCTGCTGTCATTGCATTTGTTCTTTTTAGTTTTCGGGATTCAATGAATACCTGATGTCGCATGAAGTTTCAAAAGCGCCCCGGGCCTCGGCATCTCAGTTCATCATTCCCCGTATTTGCTTTTCGGTGCATGTGTCCTTGAGTTGGAAATGGCTCGCGGCTATCTACCAAGGCCGACGTGGTTATCGGTTGGGCTGTCTTTCTACGATCTGGCCTCCAACTGGCATTGGGCAATTGGATGCGCCAACGGAGCCCGCGGTTGGGCAAGGAGGGGCGAAGAAATCGGCTTGAAACGTCAGCTCTCGGAGTGGTGTCACCGTCGCAAGTTACTGAGGAGAATCCCACGGCAAACTTCGCAACGCCGCAGAAGTGTCCTTTTGATTCTTCATTCAGGAAAAATTCGCTGAACACAGAGTCGAGCGGAAGAGGTTCTGGACTCCTCCTTAGGGCTGCTCGGCTGCACGCGTGCGCTGGCTTTGCATATGCGCTCAGGACATTTTTTCTTCATCGAACCGCCAAACGATATGCAGCCCATCGTCGTCCCCTGTCGTTTTGCAGACCGCCCGAGTCGGTGAAAGATTCCCAAGAGTTCGCTTTCCGTCCACTCCGGCCATGAGTTTGTGCGACGAGCGACCCGTCTGGCAGGGCTGATTGGATCTGACCCCGCGATCCTCACCGACCTGTTCGTCGTGGGGCGACGAATGCCAAGCTGTGAATACGTGGTTTGTGGCATGAGGTTGGCCCAAGTGAGTGGTCCGCCGGAGGATTGGGAATACCGTTATGTGACGGGAGGAATGTGACATATGGCACAAGTGATTTGTTGAGCCGCAAATGTGGCCACAAATGCGCCCCTCTTGGAGATCCTGATGTGCGTGTGCATGTGTCCAGTGGCCTTGGAGGCGGTATTTGAGGGGTTATATCGCCTGCGCTGGATGCATTCCTGGGTTCTGCGAATTTTCAGTCAACTGCAGCAGGGTACTGTGTACGCCCTGGGAGATCTGTGATCTTGCTGGCGTCTGTTCACCAGAGCTTCTGAACTCCCTGGCTGGACCTCATCTTCCTCTCTCATCACCTACCGTTTCAACCTCAAGACATATCCGCAACCCAACATGCCATCCACGCCTTCAACAACGCCTTTCCAACCACCCCCACCTATCCGCACCTCAACAGTGGCCTCCCAATCCTCCTCCTCAGACGCCATGTCCCCTGGTTCCGGAACCTTCTCACCCGCATATCCACCCCACGGCAGAGCCACCGTCGCCTCCCCGACAGAAACCAAGTTCTTTGACGCCATCGTTTCTTGCGTCCGCGGACATAGCCGCTCAAGAAGTCGTTCACGAAATGGACGCCATTCACGGTCACGGTCACGCTCGCCGATGCTGAATGCACCTCCCGAGCAACTTACCTCCTCGCCTTCCAAAAGCAGTACTTCCACACAAGGAGCAGGTGTGCGGAAACCGCAACTGCAGTCGAGACATGCCTCGGCGGGGAGTCACGGGTCTATACCAGCGGCCGCGAGACCAAGAAAGTCGGAGAGCCCATTACCCAGACGGACGAGCAGTGATATGTGGCGGGGGAGACACTCGAATGAGTGGTTGTTCGGAGGATGGAGTGTGAGGGAGACGGCAAGAGATATTGTAAGGAGGAAGAGTTAGATAAGAAAGAGATTGACTATCTTGTTACCGCGATGAGGGCTGCGTGGTTTTCCTGCCTGTGTGGTGTTGGTTGTTGACTGTGTCTTGATGCCTGGAAGAAAGATGTACCATTCCGAGGGCTTGTGCTGAGATATGGCAAGGAGAGATGTATTTCACCGGACTAAGCCATTGGAGACAGTCCTGATGGTTTGAGTGATGGGTTCGGTTCTTCATTTTTGGTACAGCTGGGTCTGTCCTTCAAATTTCCCTGTATGTATTCGTTAGCTGGATAATGGAGGCTTTTGTTCGCGGAACCATGACAGCAATACTCGTACGTCGCGACTTTTTGGATTCGTGACAAGTTCAAGGGCTGTCAGTGTTCGAGAGGAGAGAAAGGGTTTCCCAACAGGAGAATACAACGCACGAGCCAATCCCAAGCGTGCTATGACGGCACCATCCCATGCCCTGCGTTCATCTATGTTCAGCATGCCGTCACCGACTTCCCGTTCCTCACCAGAGAGGTCTCAATTATTCCTTTCTGCTCCTTTGGACCCTTGTGTACTCAAATATGCTCAAACATGCCTCGTCTATCGAAGTAATACCCCCGCTTAACCCCTCGCTTCTCCCGGATTGAGCACCAGCGTGGACAGTGCGACCCACCACATGCGCTTATCTGTACGGAATCGTCTACAGCTACATTCACCTCTTCGTTCACCGCTTGGTTGGTGAATTTATAGCTTCTTTCCAGCAGTCGACTCGTCCCTCCCATTCGATCAGATTGCCTTAGGTGACGGTGATCCCCATAACGCGCAAGAATGATTCACAAACGAGCAACCCTTCCCACGCCTACTTCCACCGACTCATTCTGGCACACCGAGCCAAATGAATTCCTCCTCGGCCACCGAACTACGGCAGAGATACCTGCAGAGGCGGATATAGTCATTGTAGGAAGTGGCATTACAGGAACGTCTGCTGCGCGATATCTGGCAGAAGATAAGCGGGCCAAACACAAGTCAATTGTACTCTTGGAAGCTCGAGAAGCTTGTTGGGGAGCCACAGGGAGGGTAAAGATCCCGTCGGCGGAATAAGACCCTTAAGATTGGCTGCTAATCTAATATTTCCAGAACGGCGGCCACTGCCAACCGCTCCTCTTCGACCGCTCCGCCGAAGTCGCCGCTTTCGAGCTCAAGAACGTCCATGCCGTCAAGACCTACATCCAGGAGAACAACATACCGTGCGAATGGCGTAGCGTTTCCGGCTGCCGCACCTTCTGGACGGAAGAGGTCATGAAGGAGGCTGAGCGGGAACTGGAACATCTCAATAAAGTTGCCCCAGATATCGCGCGGTATGTATCCATTATTCGGGACAAAGACGAACTAAGGAAACACCGCGTCAATCCAGACTGCCTCGGCGCCACCCTTACCGCCGGAGCAGGCAGTCTGTGGCCTTACAAACTCGTCACATACACCCTGGAGCAACTGACAAAGGCCGGAAAACTGAACCTGCAAACCACTACGCCAGTGACTGCGATATCGTCGTCTTCCTCCGAACACATTGTACAGACCCCACGAGGCTCTATCATCGCGAAGACGGTCATTCTTGCAACAAACGGCTACACCTCTGCCATCGTCCCGCAGTTCGCTGACCTCATCGTCCCCGTGCGAGGCCAAATGTCCGCACTTCTACCGCCAAAGAACTCCACGATCTTGCCGGACTCGTACGGCATGGTTGCCGCACTAGGCCAGCCTTCGAATGCAGACGACTACCTCGTCCAGCGACCCTATGAAGGGGTTCCCAATCCAAGAGGACATTTGATGTTCGGGGGCGGCCGTGGCGCTGGTACCCTGCCTACAGTGGGCGAATGCGACGACTCTGTGAAAGATGAAGGGTCAGCTGCTTATTTGCGCAGTGCATTGCTCAAAGTACTCGAGCTTGACGGTGATACTGATGGCTTGAAGGAGCTGGAGGCAGTGGCGGAGTGGACTGGAATCATGGGGTATTCTCGAGACAATCATCCGTGGGTTGGGAAGGTGCCGGGGACGGAAGGCCTGTGGCTCTGTGGAGGCTACACGGGGCATGGGATGCCGAATGGAATGTTGTGCGCGAAGGCGGTGGTGGAGATGGTGTTGGGGGAGGAGAGAGGTGAAGAGATGAAAGGATTGGTTGAGCGCATGGTCGAGAATGGTGAACTGCCGAGGAGTTATGTCATTACTCAGGAGAGAATCGAAAAGGCGAGGGGGTGGCCGACGGTTGAGGTGCAGGATAGGCAAGGTTTTCATATGACGAGCGTGGTGTAAGAGGGTTGGGGTGGTCAGGATGCATAGATCACGACACAGTTTTGTTTTGCGGGAATTTCAAGAGTATATTGAACCATTGAGTGTCAGCCTATACTGTACTGACCAACGGCAGAGTGACATGATGGACAGGATCCTCGCCGAAAAATACCCTGCCAAAAGATATCAAACCAGCCCGGGCAGTGCCAGAAGACGCCATAAAGCCAACCCCGTTCATCCCCTTTGGGAGACGATGACAGTGCCGCGGATACTCTGCAAGTCCTTCCGATAATCTTTCATCCGTCCCTTAAATATCGCCACAAGCTTGCTCACATCATCATTGAACTTGATGCGCTGCGACTCCTTCTTGAAACTGATCCGCAACCAATACATGTCCTGTACTCTTACAGCGCCACTGTCGTCCGCTGGCCAGTATTCCCCAAGTGCAGCGAGGTTCCAGCTATTAAGACCCTCTCTCGCATAATACCGACGCGCAAGTAGAGGCTTCTCCGACCGTTCTATTACACTGACTGTGCATGTTTTCCCTCTGCTCCCGCACTCACAGCTGAAGGGATTCACAAACGTGCGTTCATCCAGCTCAATAGCGAGAAACGAGAGCAGACCCTGCTCCTTCTCCTTGAGAAACAGGACTAGGCGAGGAGGCTCAGGTTCTGTGAGTTGAATCCCGACGCCGGACGAGCCAACCGTGACTTGGTGCATATGAGCAGAGGACATACTCCCGGCACTGGAGAAGGACATACTGCTTCCTATTGAGGGTCTCGCTGTGTGGCCAGACAGCTCTGATACGCGGCGCGTGTGGTCCGATGGCTTCTTGTCCTTTAACGCAGAGGTGCTCTCGAAGGAGACTTTTTGCCACATTTGGATGTTTCCGAACTCGCAGAGTTCTTTGGGCGGTCTTCTTGAGGACCTTACTTGCGCTTGGGGCCAGGGGTAGGATTGGCCCTCGGTGAGCGAGGTGACTGTGATGAAAGTGCCAGCCGTCCGCTTATTAACGCATTTGTAGCCAGTGACGAGATGTTGCAGGCGCAGGAGATCGTCCTTCGATTTGAACTCTGGAGCTATGCCATTGACGCCATCTCTGGAGAACTGAAGCTTGGCGGTGAGAGAGGCGGAACCGTCTTCTACAGGTGTGGCGTAAATGGGGATAAAGTAGGCGGATCTGGGGTCGATGTCGAGGACTCGAATGCGCGTTTCGCTCGACATGGTGCCGCTGGACTCTGTGGTGGTGACCGTGGTGCTTTCGACGCCTAGCGTGCCGTCCATGTTTCGCACGATGCGGAGGGTGTGGGAATTCGGGTCTGGGAGCACGGATACGTCGAGCAGGACACCGAGATGATTGACACTGACTGCTGTGTTTGTCGGTGTTGCAGGTGGCAAGATGTGGAAAGCTTCATCCGGAAGTTGGAGAAGGAGTTTGAGGGGTATCTGACTGCGATTAACCCTGGTGCATTCGTCGCGGAGTCGTCTGTCCATCTCTCGGACGCATCTGTCATAGATACCTCCTGGGTTCGTTTTCTGTATCTTGGTCCAATCGTTACTTTCTCTTATGCGATCCATCACCCATAAAATTTTAAGGAATCTCAGATAGGACATTGAATCGAATGCCTGGGAGAGTCCGTTGAAGTGGTAGAAGAAAGCCTCCAACCCCTCCTTCAGGGGAAAGTCAGGAAACATGCTGTTTTCTGTCGCCGCTGCATCTTGACCTTGCAATCCGCATGCTGCCGCGAAACGTTCGCTGATCACCACAGGAACCTCGAGATCGCGAGGAGGTGCCGGCGATAGAGGTTCGTCTTTCAGATCAAGTCCTGTTACGACGAGCTGTTTCAGCTCATGCACCATTTCTGCTACATCTTGGTGTTGTTGCCTCTGCAATTTCCGAAGCTGGGACTGGAGATGTAGCTTGAACGGCTCGAGTGTGAGGGTGATTTTGTTGCTGTGAAATGCCAGTTGTTCGGTCAACGAAATGACATACGGGTCGACGTCAATGTTGTATATGATATTCGTGATGACTCCATTCTTCTGACGGAATTTGCTCTGGTCGTTGAGCAGGTCCCGGCATGCCTCTAGTGTAACCTTGAAGTTGCCAATGATATCGGCGAAGGAGGACAGATCTAAAGCTGGAGGCCCAAATGAGCCGAGTTCATCGCTCTTCAGGTCATTATTCGCTTTCGTGACGACCGACTCGATATTCTTGAGGTTGGAATAGAGGCCGTGGAGTGCAGATCCGAACTCGATATATCGTTGTGCTACATCCTCCTAAAGCGGTTAGCCGGTTCAGCTGAGGGGAAGGCATAACTTTAACCCACGCGACGACTTCTCCTTCTTGAAGCCTTTATCGTACACCTCCCAAGCAAGCTTCATTGCGCTACCGACAAAACTGACAGTGCTGAGGTCGAGGGCCATCGCTGTACTGGAAGCATTGTTGTCGATGAGAGCGACCTCACCAACAAGGCAGTGCGACCGTCCGCAGCTACATAAACGTTCTGCATGCCAGGCATTCAGGCGACAATATGGCCGCATCATTGGACCCGTATTCCTCTATCGTATGGGCGGTGGACTTTGGGCTGAGGCAGTGTTTAGAAATCCATCTTCACACCTGCTCCGTTCCTTCAGCTTGCAATACGCCACCCTGAACCGGCTTAACCCACGTCCGCTTCTACCTCCAAAGAAGGCAAACAGTGCTCCATAGCCTTGTGCGTGGAGGCGGGCAACTATGCGGCCAACAGAGCACAGCCGACACGGGTCGTATGTGTCAGGGCTTTACAGCCGTGGCGTATTTTGTTTATTGATGTGTAGACACACCGGTGAAGCCTCACCACTTTAGAAGTACCTGGCCCATTCCCTTTCTTCGTCCCGTACCTTCAACGTCTCATTTCACCCCAGTATGAAATGGTTGCCACGGATGACAACACAAGCACCCACTCAGGAAACGACAGCCTCGATCTGGAAGAGGAGGATAGGCGGTATCTTGAGGCGCTGAATGATGAACATCATGTCGCAACCAAAACTACGCGACACCCGCTCGGACTCTTTTCGGTCGTTGCAATCATTCTACAGCAGATGATCGGTAAGTCTATGCCGTAGAGTTTGATACGCGAAGACAGCTAATGATTCAACAAGGGACGGGTATATTTCGAACACCATGGACGCTGATGCAGGTTACCGGGAGTGTAGGGATCACACTGATCTTCTGGTTCGTGGGCGCCATCACTGCCATGGCCGGAGCTGTCTTATACATCGAATTCGGAGTTTCGTTACCACGGCATTTGATTGATGGAAGAGTTGAGCCAGTTGTAAGGAACGGAGGAGATCTTAATTATGTCAGTGCTATGTCTTGCACCACGAGCAGTCGCTGATGGATATATGATAGGTCAGCTACCTCATCAAACGCCCAAAGTTTTTGGTCCTCTGCATCTACGGCCTAAACTACATCTTCCTGGCTTCCAGCGCTGCTAATGCGTTGTCATTCGGGGACGACGTCATGGGCGGCTCCGGCACTGATCGTCCTGCAGGCAAAGATGCGGCTGCTCGTGGGCTTGCCATGGTCGTAGTAACTCTGGCATGTATGCTCCATGCTTTCACTCGCCGAGGGGGGATTATTCTCAACAACATCGTGGTTGTTGTCAAGGTGTTGATACTCTGCGCCTTTCCCGTCATGGCCATATGCGTCTTAGCTGGTGTTACGGATACGAATCACGCAGCAGAGAACATGAGGCCTTCCAACGCATTTGCCAATGTGCATTCGAATGTCGATGGATATGTGCAAGGAACACTGGCGATACTCTATGCGTACAATGGTTACAATCAGGCCAACTACGTCTGTCATCCCTCCTCATATCCGGGACTGACACTGACGAGGAACAGGTCCTTTGTGAAATCAGCCGGCCACGGAAGACGCTAGTAAGGGGTATTGTGATTGCAGTAAGCATTGTCTGCATGCTGTATACGCTGGTGAACTTGAGCTATGTACGTCGCGCACTCTTGCACATCTCCTTCCACCTCCTTTGAACACCCTTTGACTTTTTTGAACCTCTCCATCGTCTCCCATATATTTGCCCCCTTCATAACCTGCTTTTCCTCTCTCAGTTTGGCTTGGTCAAAGGAGCATGCTTTCTAGGACCCGATTCTTTCCGTTCACATGAAAATGCCCTATCTCAGCCACCTAACCCTCCCCCAGATGATCGTCGTCAGCAAAGAGCAACAACTCACCACCCCGGACATCGCCCTCCAATTCCTCATCAACATCTTCGGCCGCACCCGCGCCCCCAAACTCCTCGCCTTCTTCACGACCGTCAACAGCCTAGGCAACATCATCGGCATGACCTTCGCCGCCAGCCGTGTAAAGCAGGAAATCGCCAAAGAAGGCGTCATCCCCTTGGCCAAGTTCTTCGGCGAGAACCGCGTACTCTTTCGCGCCCGACGACGGAGAGGCACTCCACACCAAGACCATCGTGCCTCACCATCGAACCCTTCCAACGCGCCCCTATCCGCAGTCCAGCAAGTCGAGCACGGGCGGGAACCCACCCCCTACGGCGCCCTCCTCCTCCACTGGCTCTTCGCCATGCTCCTCATCCTCCTCACCTGGCCGACCTCGAAACCCATCTACGCCTACCGCATCCTCGTAAACCTCTACTCGTACGTCACGGACGTGATCCCCAGTTTCGCGCTGGGCATCGGCATGCTGTGTCTGCGCGCTTTCACGAATTGGAGCACCAAGAGTCCCGTGCCCGGTTGGTTGAGCGTGTGTGCCGCGGCGCTGTTTACGGCGAGCAATGGGTTTCCGCTCGTGGCGATTTGGGTGCCTCCGATAACGGCTGGGGAAGGAGGGGATGCTGCGGCTGCGGCGGCCGCCGCCGCTGCGGCGAGGAATATCATTCCGGGGTTTCCGTGGTACATAACCGGTACGCTCTCGTTTGCGCTGATCCTCTGCAGTGTCGGGTATTGGGTCGTGTTTCGGTTTGTGTGGCCGAGGGTTGGGGTGAGGAGGGGGAAGGAGTTTGTTGTGGAGAGGGAGCCTGTGTTTAGGGTCGTGGATGGCGTCAGGGTGGAGTGGCATGAGATTGTGCTGCATAGTTGGAGGGTGAAGGGGGAGGGCGGTGGGAGGGCAAGGGGGGAGGCGTATGTTATGGGGGATGTTTAGGCTGTGTGGCGATGAGGAAGATGGGTTGGAGTGCGGATATATATTATTACTCCTTGGTGTGAAGTAGTAGACGATAACCCTGTTAATGCCCATTTCTCGAGTCCGCCACCTCTGTTAATGAGCCCATTGCGTATGGCAACATTTCCATAGAACAGATAAGGACCCCTATCCGCAGTACCTGTTCGCAAAGTATGGGCATGTTGGAAACATTTTCGAGGTTGAGCTTTTCCAATTACTCTCATCTACATACACCATCCTACACCTGGAGCGGAAAAAGGCGGCGAGCTATAGATCCGACAAAGAAGCGAACACAACGCCCTCCCCCGCGCCGGCCCATCGCGGGATATATACAAGAAAGGAAGAAATAGATGTAGCAGCCGCATGCGCCGTCCTGTTCCGGACTCGATCCTCCTCCACCGCTCACCCCTGAGAAAATGCCTCGACGCTGCCTCCCTAGCAATGCGTCGCACCAATCCGTCTTCTTTCACGCACCCTGTTGCGTATCCCGAAGCAACCACTCTGCTCTCTGTGCCTGCCTTCCCAGCAAGCGGATATCTGACCAAAAGATTCCCAACCCGAAACGCCGTGCATACCCAAAGCGAACAAGAACCGCATTCAAACGTCCACGCTTTGCGTAGACTCGAAGATCACGAAAAGAGACTCCAAAAAGCATCCTTAGAACCACGTCACCCAACTCGCCGTCGCCAGCATCAGCGGCAGCGCCACGCTCACGAACGCATTGACCTGCACGGCGCGTTGTGCGGGGGAGGAAGTAGTGGTGTAGACGAGCTGGAAGCCGATGTTCTCGCCCTCCTGGGTCGAGTTGAAGCAGTTTGTTTCGTTGACTTCGGGGACGTCTTCGGGTTCGGCGAAGGTGATGTCTGCGCACTGTGGAATACAAAGTCAGCCCAGCCCATTCTCCACTATATTTGACGTCGAAGCTTCGATTATCAACCAAGGGGATCGATCCATAGTTGGAGTAATGGAAAGAGGAAACAAGACATACATTGTACAAGGCCGCCCCATGCTGCGCCGTCTCAATAACCTGAATCGTCGCATTATCCCCCACCTTTGGCGTATAATTCGCCGGCAGCGGCACCTGCGGGAGGCAAAACGTGCCGTTATATTGCTGGTTCGAGGGCCCCGTGATCTGGAACATGGGCAACATGGCGTGGGAATAGTTGAGGGGCTCGTTGCCGTAGCCCATGTTGATGTAGAAGAGGGCGAGGGAGTGGCCTGGGAACCAGCCTGGTTGGATGGAGATGGCGCCGCCTTTTAGGGGCCATTTGGTGCGGTTTTGGGAGGTGGGCATGCCGCCGCCTGGAGGGGATTTGTTAGCGGTGATTCTTTGGGCGGTTCAGATGGGTTGTTTTGGCAGTCATTTTCTTGGTCTTTCTGCTTCACCGATACTAAGGAAAAGTCCGCACATACATGGATACATCCACTGCATTCCATACGGGAATCCATAAGTTCCATTCTCATAGTTGATCCCCAGCGACCCGGGCTTTATACTGGGATCTGAATCCGACACGGTCCCGTTGGTGTGAATGTTGTTCCCTCTCCATCCGGGATAGACGATGACGGTGTGGGCGGCCGCGAGCGACCAACTCGCGACGACGAAGGCGAGCTCTGTGAAACGAAACATGGCGGACTTGGAATCTGTTTTGTTGCGAGTATCGGGTTGGGGGGGCGCAGTTGTCCGAACCGGCTGGTCCCCTCAAGTCTCAACTGCGATGGGACGAGACGTTGGCGACGACGGATCTCCCGATATCAATGATTCCAAGTTCTTTGAGTAAAAATGCCGGAGATATCCAAAAATTCGGGTAATTCGTCGACGATAGAACACACTTCACTTCGAGTCGGACACGGGCAGACGCAGCGACAGCAGCAGCAGTCCCCGCCACCATGGGAGGGAAGCCCAGCACTTAAAGAGGGCTGGCTGGGCTTTCCCATCCCCTCCACCCTGCCATGCATCCCCAATGCTTCCTGTGCGACCCTCCCGCCTCTTCTCGCAGAATCACCATTCATGGGCCCTGCTCGAACCCACGAATTGGGTCCGCCATACCGGAGCACCCACGGCGTCAGCTCTGCAGCATGGCGGCGAATGGGCGCGCGGTGGGCATATTGAGCTGGCCGGGGTGAATAGCCAGTGAGCTGCGCGTAGAGCGAGATGCAAAGTTCACCACTGGGCAAAGTTTGAGGGACCAGTCTTTCCGGCTGCGCTTAACTCGAGGGGACCATTTGCGCAAATGTGCGGGAAGAGCAGGTTTCTCAGCGCTGATTTGGTAGACGAGATGTGATGGCGTGGTGCAGGAAACAGGGGAGAGATGGGGTGTTCGGCAGTCGGGCCAGCGCGAAGCGGGCTGTAAGCGCCCTACATCCCGATTGAGACTAGAAGAGAATACCCATCGCAAACTACACAGTACAATGGACAATCGTTCCTTGCTATATCAGACGCCTGAGAGTCTTTCAGGAACTGTCGATGCTTTGGCGCGCGACTACATGGCAGTGATGTGATAGCAGCGTGATATATATCACTGTGCCGCAGTCCCGGCGGCTTCTCCCTCCTTTCACCTTCTTGTTGAGTGAAGACATTGTTGGATTCATCCGTAGTCCCCAGCATATCGCTTGTTATCACCGACCCTCTCCTCCATTTATCGACCACCGACAGGGCTGACGGGCGGAACACATCAGACGCAGAGGTGCACAGCACGTTCGCCCAGCAGTACTCTAGCGTAGGAACCACCGTTGCAAGTGGCACAGTCAGCATGCGTGCATCCCTTCCTCCGCCTTTCCTCGTGTAGACTGTATACACAGTATTCCAAATGAAGATAGACTAGAGGTCATCTATGCATCTGATCCTTCGAACTTCTTAGGTATGTACCTCTTACTCAGCCCTGGAGCAGGCGAGCAATATATTCTGTCGCATGGAGATGCTAGCAGGATCTGCATGACGTTTTGGAGGGGAGTTAATTCCGTCGCTTGGAAGAGAGCAATAATTGGCAGAATGTTTCTTTTCCCCTGACGCGAATGCAAGTCGCTCGGGGTCGCTAAAGTCCACTTACTGGAGCTCCTCTTGGGGCTGGGCATATCTGAACAGTCTACCTAGGTATCAGAGCGGTCGCGCAAAGTGGAAGCACTCCGTACTCCTCCACATATGCGTGCCTGTGTGCGTGTCCTGCTTGTCGATGCCACTTGTACTACTGCCACCCGATGCACCCGATGTCATGGTTCTCCAGCATGGAGCTAGTCACATCGGCAAAGAAGAATGAAGATGGAGAGTGCGCAGTCTTGGAGAAGATTACTGCCATGTGGCTGGCTTCTCGAAGCACCGTCCCTTAGCAGAGTCTATCCCACAGAGGCCACGAGAATCCAGGCCAATAGCATTCTTGGGATTATATGCTTAGCGCTCTTATACATCTTTTCGGCTTCCCAGCGACCAGAACGACCTCATACTCTCAAAGCCGGAGATTCCATGGCAACAACCAACTTCTATTTCTCCCTCACCACTTTGCATCGTCCACAGGTACATCAATACCCATAGCCCTCAAACTCTTCGCAGCCGCTGTAATCAGAGCCGCTTCGCGCTGCAGCAGCGCCTCAATCTGCTCCTGCTCCTGTTTTCGCGAATGTGAGGGAACCTTGATTACCGCAGCCCCCCTCTCCCCCTCCATCTCTCTCGTTGCTCGTTCGGCCTCGATGGCAAGGTCCTTTTTCAGCCCCTTTATCTTCCCTAGACGCTCCCATGCCGGCACTTCGCTGCCGTCTTGATCCCCCGTCAACGTCTGCGCCTCGTGATCCAGACTACGTTCCATTGTCTGCAGCTCCTCAACGAAGGCGGACTCCTTCTCGCTCAGCTCTGTGCCGCCTATGCTGGCCATCTTCCTTCTGATAGCCTCGTAACGAGCAGTGATGGCTTCTTGTTTCGCCTTCACCTTGTCTAGGCGCTCCTCAATCTTGGCATTGGTATAGCCATCCACATCGCCGTCCGCACCTTCGTCATTCCCAGTAACCCCGTCAACCTTGGCGACTAGCTCAGCAACTCGCACGACTTGGTCGCGGAACTCCTCTCGGAGTCGTGTGCATCTTATGAAGAGATCAGATACGGCCGTTTGGAGTCTGTGCGTGTCTTGACTGAGGGCTTTGTGTGCGTTCATGAGGATGTCAAGATTGGCTGGGGACAGCTTCATCTCTTCTTTGCTGGACGCTTTATGTCGGGCGGGTATAAAGCGCTCTTTATCGATATGGAATTGTAGTGGGTCATAGAGCTCCTTAGGTGGTTGGTAAGCCGGCCGTGATTGTCTAGACGGTACCTCCACCAGCATGTACTCGGCCAGCTCCTTCTCAGACGGGAATCCATACTCTGGTGCATCCAGGAACACGGCTTGGGGTTCGTTTGCCACGGTCGTCAGTACGAAGTAACCCAGGTTACCTTCCGCAACCACAACGCACGAGTTAACTTCCTCTGGCGCCTCCTCGGATGCGGCATGAGTACCTGTTCTGGACATGCACAAGTCAACCTGTGTCCCGGCAGACTCCAGGAGCCGATCGAGGCGGAAGGTGAGACCCTCGCTCTGGGGTTCGGCGAGCTCATTTTCGAGATTTCGGATCCAGGGCTCTAGAGTTATAGAGTACACGCCCTGAGATCGGGAGACGAAGAACGAGAAATCCTTCTGCACGTCTGGGGTGATACTTTGGTTGAAAGAAGGCGTGTCATCGTCTGCCAGAGCGACCGTCTCAGTGAGGATGAGCTCTTGGGCAGTGGACTCGGGTGAGATATGCTGTGGCTGCAAGCGGTCAGTCATTGGGCGAGTGAAGACCTGGCACGAAACAGCTTACTGGGGATGACGGGAGCCATCGGCCAACGATACCCAAAATATCTAAGCAGATGTGCACCTTGGAGGTATCAGTGAGGAGGCACACGACGGCTCCAGGTAACCCTTCAGCCGGCCCATCCTCCACACTCTCCGAGAACGTCTTGAGTGAGAACACTATCATGTCGCTAATCTCGAAATCATCAACATCCTCGGCAGAAATGGTAAAGGGGCCTTGCAACAATGGACATGCGGGAACACTGCTGGGGCGAGAGAATACACTGATGGAATCGCCTGAAGGCAGCTTCTCAGGGAGGGGTTCGGCATAGAGGATATCGGAGAGCCAGGAAAGTTGCCGTTCCACAGTCTCCTCCTGCTGCTTGGAGGCCTCTTTATTGTCCTGCACTTCCGCATAGTCGGCGTTGATCGAGGTAGCCAAAGTCTCGATAAGAGTGAAGACACCTGGTGTCTCTGGTAGCTGCCATTTGCTGGGAAGAAGAGGGCACAGAGCGTATACATCTCCTTCAACCATGGCAATCCATAACGTCATTGGAGCCCAGCCATGAACCCCCTCTTGATCAGGATAGTCTCCAAAGCAGGCGGACGCCACCTCCAGCTCGAACGAATCCGGCGAGAACCCCTTGGAAGCTCCTAACTTAGCAGCACTCACATCCTCCTTGTCGTTTGTCGCATTGGCCAGCTTTTTCAAGTCTATTGAGAGGGTGGGTTCGCTGAATGTTGAGCGATCGGACCGGTTCACTTCCCATAGGCGAACCACTCCATCCCGCGTTATTGTGACAAGGCAGTGTCCTCGGTATCCTAGCGGGTGCCACATGAGAGATACAACAGGGGCCTGTTCGCGCACATGGGCGGTGGGGCCGACTTGGAAGGTTTTGAGCTTGATAGGGTCGGTGGAGGGAGGTCCTTCTAAAACAGCGGGCTCGGGGAGAACGACGACATGAACTGTATGCGCGGTTGCAACGGCCATGAAGTCGCCATTGGGACTGACGACAAGCTGTGTGATCGGAAGCGGAACTGCGACTTTGAGTGTACGGTATCCATTCTCCCCCTCTTTCAAGGCCAGCAAATCCGCCCAACGGATCTCAGTCCCGACAGCTACGAAGATCTCCGTGTCCCTAGTTGCAATCGTTTTCCGGCGTCCGGTATCGTCTTGGGAAATGGGCGATTTCGAAGATGGAGTTTTGGACGTGAACATTTCCCAGCCTGGGTTCGGTCGCATGAGCCATTCCGGCGTGTAGCTTATAACTCGCGACATTTTGTATTCGAATCGCGTGGTACGGGGTAAAGATCCGTCGACGAGGGGAGTTCAAGTTCGTATGCCCCCTTGTCGTGACCGCCGGTGGGCAGAAGAGATTCAAGTAGCGCGCTCAAACAAAGCATCAATCGTCGAAAGAGAGCTTGACGCGTCGGCTCAATTTCGGGTCTTGGCAAAAGGAAGCTCCATTTCAACACTTCCACTTCAAACCTACTCTACGCACGACGGCAATCTTTCGACACCCTTTCGACCTACTTCGCCTGGCATGCCCCCCAATCGTAGCACGGTTGAGCGGCTGGACAGGCCCAGCTCGTATGCGACGGCTAAGGTTTGTACTCCGAATCTCACATCCACGAACAGCGTACTGAATGCGGCTTGAAAAGCGGAGGAGATACCGCGCTGCCGATCCAGACCACAGACGCCCACCGAGTCCCGATCCAGAGGAAAAGCTCAAGGATGCTACTACGCTCTACGTAGGCAACTTGTATGTCCGCCGTCGCACGCTTTCCGCAAGTCTAATCCGTCTAGGTCCTTCTATACAACTGAGGAGCAGATACACGAGTTATTCTCGAAGTATGTCACGGAGTCTTTACATTTACTTGACGCGGCTAAGAAGTAGATGCGGTGAGATCAAGCGCCTGGTCATGGGCCTCGATCGGTATCAGAAGACGCCTTGCGGGTTTTGCTTCGTCGAATACTACACTCACCAGGATGCGCTGGATTGCATGAAGTATATCGGAGGGACCAAGCTGGATGAGCGAGTCATCCGGACTGATCTCGACGAAGGTTTCACTGAGGGCCGACAGTATGGGTATGGTTGTCCTGCCACGTCGCGACTTGGTTCGAGGCTTACCATCATCGTAGACGCGGAAAATCCGGAGGACAAGTCCGAGACGAATACAGAGACACGTACGATCCTGGCCGTGGCGGGTACGGCAGAGCTATGGACGATTTCGGCGGTGACGAGCGCGACTATCGGTAGATAATCCTCGGGAAAGCACGGCATTTGGGCTGGACTGGTGTTCGGCGTTCATTTATTTCGTGTAAGGAGGTATATCTCTCGGCGCTAACAATACCCAATACAAGCTTCAAAGTCTATTCTGTACTGGTCTATCGTTCCCAAAAATCCAAACGCCATGCTCTGGATGCTATCATAACAGCAAATCGCCTCCTGGCCTACCCTAAATCGTTCTATCTACAAGCTCGAGCTGGCGACGGCGCTCGACAGCCCTTGCAACCTCCTCCAACCACCAGACATGGATACGCGGATCGTTTGTGAGTTCCGGATGGAAACTAGTGCCGAAGACATTACCCTGTCGGACGGCGATTATATCTTCCGCACCGGCATGGGTATGCTCCTGATTTGCCTCCAGAGCCGGGTTATGGGTAGATAGAGTGGCCATGATCTCGACATTCTCCTTTGCTTCCTCCTTAGCAGCCTCTCCCACCGGCGTCTTTGAAGGCGCAACCACTGTAGCGTCTCTCGCCGCCTCTTCGCTCTGGATCCCGGATTTATGCGGGAGGATCTTCTCGACAACGGGCGCTCGAATGAAGACGCATCTGTAGGGTTCATCCGCCGAGCTATCTTCTGCGGCGCCGAGGAATGGGAGTGACAGGTTGGCTTGGAAGCTCTCAACCTGCCGCCCAAAGTGGTTTCTGTTCACCCGCACGTCCAGCCCTCCGATGAGCTCTTGTCCGCCCTTCTTCGTCCTGTTCGCAGATTCCGCCAGCAATATCAGTCCAGCGCATGTTCCCCAGGTAGGTTTCCGGTCCACTCTGTCAGGGATCAGTGTTGTGCTTAAGACTGACGGGACGGCGGCGAACATACTTGACAAAGTCACGCAACGGCTCCAGAAGACCTGACCGCGCTGCGACCAGTGATATTGTCGTGGATTCGCCTCCGGGAAGGATCAGGGCGTCGCAAGTCTGTAGTTGCTGCGGCGTCCTGACCTCAATGAAAGTCCAGTTCAGGTTATGCGAGTGGCGTTTCCTCAGAGTTTGCGCCGCCTGTCGCAACAGCTGGATATGCTCGCTGAAAGCCCCCTGCAGAGCGAGCACGCCTACAGTGATACCGGGTACACTGATTGTCATTTTCCAGCGCTTCTTTTCCGGAGGTTAGGTCGGAGAGTTTGTAAGATGTTCAAAGAGTCATCCCATGACGGCGATTTCTAGATATCTGCGCAGGGATTGTCTTATCGATAAGCCCGTCAGGCACCCCAGTCGGCCCCGCGTTTCCGCTGCTATTTCAGGTCCCCGCCGAGATCTCCGTCGATATCCACATCCAACCCCGCATCGTCGATATGACCGTAGACGACACCATCACCTTGACATGCTGGCTACTCGACACTCGGCCTCTATGGCCGGGCGATCGGAGAGACAACATATCGAAAGCTGTACGATACATACTCCTTGGACTCTTCTCGATGAAAGCTTTCGCAATGCTGATACTATAACAGGCTCCAGATGCGCTCGCATTGCTACCCCCCGAAGAACGCAAAAGCTGCACCGGCATGCACTTTCTTCGTAACGGCAAGGAAAAGCTAGGATCCGCCCTTCTCAAGCGCTACTTCGTCTCGAAAACTCTCGGTATACCGTGGAACGAGGTTCGCTATGCACGCAAAGACGACCCCAAGCATGGCAAACCCGGCGCCCTTCTCCTCGACGGCTCGTTCGCAAACGTGGACTTCAATTCATCGCACCAAGCCGAAGTTATTGCTCTCGTTGGCACAGGGTTAAACTGTGGGCTGAATGTAGGCGTCGACATTGTGTGTCCGAACGAGCGGCACAGCCCGGAAGACATTGACCGCGAAGGGGGTTTCGACAAGTTTGTCGATGGATATGACTCTGTGTTCTCGGACGCGGAACGACGGGTCCTCAAGAGTCCAAGGCAGTTTCCGAAAGCGATGAGGGACCGCGACTTGACACGCAAGCATACACTCGACGACGACCATCTATACAAAGCTTGCTCAGACGCTGGGCAAATGGTCGGTGAAGTCATGTCTACGGACGAGAAGTTGCGGCGTTTCTTTGCACTATGGGGCTACACGGAGGCGTATCTCAAAATGGAGGGGATAGGTCTGCTCGCGGACTGGATACGACAACTGGAGTTCTTCAACGTGCGGGCGCCTACTCCGGCCAGGCGCACACAGGATGTGCCGCAGGATGATGTGGGGGAGAAGGTCGACGACGCCTTGGTATTCTTTGAGGGGAGGCATTTGAAGGACGTGCGGCTGGGGATACAGGCATACGGGGAAGAGTACATGATGGCTGTGGCTGCGAGGCCGGCGGGTACGAAGACAATATCGACGGATGGGGGTAGGTTAGCGAAGGGGACTTGCCCTGATATCAATTGGTCGTTTGAGGTTGTGACGCTTGATGCGATTTTGGAGCATGCAAAGTCGAATCAGGAGTGATTGGACTGCGAGGGGTTCGAGCGCAGTGTTGGAACAGCTCGATCCGCCTTCATCAATCACGGAGAACCTAAGGAGAAAAGCCAGGGTCGTAGCAGATCGAAGGCAGGTTTAATGAATGAGTAATTCAGGACTCTTGTCATGCTTATGCTTCTACCAATAATGACTATGGTACGTTTTAAGTCTTAGCGGTATTGAAGGGCCTGTGGGAAGGTTTTTGGACAATTGCTTATTCCCAATATGCGTCTAGCGGGATTGATTACTTGAATATGGGCAGACGGTCGTCTTAGAAGTATTGGTGGGCTTATAGGCAGCAAAACAACGTTCTACAGTCCCACCATTTCCACCGGTCATTCCACGCCATACCCTCCACCCTCCTCCAATCTTCCATCCCATGCAATACCATCAACCTAAAGTCTTGCCTTACCTTCCCCTCTACACCGCCCCCCACCGCTCAGCAAACCGATCATTCTCCGGATCCCTGTTCCACTCATACTCGCTACTGTCAGCGAGCAGAGTAGCCGTCTCCTCGCCCCAGACGTGCGCGATCCACGCCAGCGCGAGGTCGATGCCCGCCGAGATGCCAGAGCTCGTCCAGATGTTGCCGTCGGCGACCCAGCGGGCTTTGGCGATCCAGTGGACGGAGGGGTGGCGGGCTTTTACCTGTGCAGGTATTAGAGGTGTATTCAAGTGTGTCTAGTATATAGCAGAGCCAGCATTTGCAAAACAAGGCAGAGGGGAAAGGAAAGGAATTGGAACAAATGAAACAACGAGACACTGATAAAAGGGAAAAAGGCACCAGGTATAGCAAATGGAAGGGGAACCACGACGCACCCAGCCGAAAACGCGCTTGTTCGTCGTCGCTTTTCTCCCGTCCAACACGCCCGCCTTAGCCAACAGATGGCTCCCCGTGCAAACACTCAACAACCACCTCTTCTTCTCCTTCTCGTTCCTCTCCCCTCCCTCCTCATCCTTCTCCTCCCCCTGTACCCCCTCCCTCCCCCACCACCCCTTAACAAACTCAACCACCCTCCCCACATCCGCACTCTCCTCATCCCTCGCCCCAATCCCGCCCGGCACAAGCACCATATCGATATCCCCCCACGCCACATCGTCCAACGTATGCGTCGGCACGACCTCGGTGCCGAACCTGGACCCGACCTTCGCCCAGACGTGGTGCGCCGTTGAGACGGGGGCGAGCGAGGGGCCCGGGGAGACGAGGTAGAGGTTCAAGGGGGTGCGGTTGGCGAGGAGGGCGAGCATGTCGAGGGGGCCGAAGAGGTCGATGGATTGGAAGCCGGGGTAGAGGATGAAGGCTAGGTTTTTTGGGGTTGGGGTGGGGGAGGGGGAGGGGGAGGTGGTGATGGGGGGGTAGTGGTCTGGGTTTGTGGTTGGGTTGGTCATTTTTGGTATGTTGGGTGGGTAAGGAGGATTGGGTTTGAGAAGGTTTGTTTTGGTGAGCGTGTTTGAGGGTGGGAAGGGGGGGACGAGGGGGATATGGTCAGGGTAGAAATAAGGTCTCTGGTAAATCTTTCCCTTGTACCGTTGACAGGGCGAAGAAAAACGTCAAAATTCCTCAGCTATCTCTTTCAATCTTTTGCCCGAACTATGAGTAGCGAGGATACAGAGACCGAGACGTGGCAACCTTTAACCAGAGATGGGAATCTCACACCAACACACTCTAAAAGGCGGTACCCAGATCCAACTTATACGCATGCGGAGACCAGAGCACAATATTACTAATGCATACTCTGGTGGTCAGTACGGCGTCAAGAGCGTATCCGCATGTACCTTGAGCTAGGGTGCGCGGGGTATCTGGGCTATTGGGTCAGAAGAGTCATAGGGGGAGCTCTTGTAGCGGTGAGTGAGCACATTGTTATCATGTGTGCAGGGGTTCTAGGGTTCGAGCGAACTCGGAGCTTACTGCTTCATTGTGCAGATGCGAGCTGTTTCATGCTGACTTACTGTAGGTTGAATGGAGGGAGCTAGCTTGGCGTATTGCTATTGGGTGAGGAGGGAAAGCCTAGTTGTGTCTAGGATATATCGAGGCCTTTAGAATTCACCAGAGTCGGTTAACATCTAACTACATCTCCACAAGACAGATAGAGTTCTAGGACTAGGTATATAACCTCCGACCTCAAATGCCTGGCAATGATCACACAGACTCCCCATGCCCGTGAGAAGACTCAGGCTCGTCGTGCAGGTCTACAATCCATCATCCACCTTCCAAGGCATTCAAGAGAAAGAAGCCATGTGCATCAAAAGACTGAGCAGAGGAAACGAAGGGGCCAAGAGCCATATTGAAGAGAAAGAAGTAGCGCAGATGTCTGAAAGCGAAGAGTCCTTGGGATGAGAAAGAGAATAGGAGAGAATGACAACGTACCTCGCTATCGTCCACTTCACCACTGCCTCCACAACCGGATACACAGCAGATAGTAGGATACCTCTATCTTTCTGTTCGAAACAACGATATATCCTGGAACAAACAGCAGAGCACACATACCCCAACCGAACCAACTAAACCAACCTTCCCATCCCTCCCGCGCCGTCCTCACGCCCCCAAGCGAACCCAAACACCAAACCACCCTCTCTCCAATTCCAACTTCGGCACCAACTCGGACATCTCGGGCTTCCTCCTCCAAATAATTCTCCTCCATACGACTACGTGTCCGCTCCTCCTCTTCATCCCGATAAACCGCATACCCCCGCTCATTCATGCACGTCATACCTCTCACCTTGCTTATGTACCCTTTAACCTTTCCATATGAGGGACCCTCAGGTCCCCCAGCGCCACTATGAATTTCCCCGTCCTCGCTAATCCGCACCGATACGCACACACAGACGGGAACGACGCACAATGCCATGCTGCCAAAGATTCAGATCAACGCTCGTAACCTCAATCGAGGCACCCGAGTGGCCAGACTCACCATCCCCTACGACCCGCCACAACAAAGCTCACCTCCGCCTAATCTATCCATCTCTGGTACCGAGAGCGGGGAGGCAATATGCCCCTGAACCCTTTCCGAGGACACTAACCGACGATACCATCTACATTGGAGTTGCATCTACTTCGTATCTCTTTAGTATGGCTATCCGGATACCAATTTGCCCCAGGTATATGTGACGAAGGAAACGACATCACGTCGATCACCTGAGCCGCTCGCATCGTCCCATGACGACCCCATGGCGCGGCCTCCAATCTAGGTTAGTGGGACATGTAGCAATCAATGCGCCCTTAATCGAGGTGTGGTACCGCAATATATAGGAGTGGGGCCATATATCGGCGTGGGAGGACGAAGGGTGCGTGGGATAAGGGTAGAACGTTAGACGGTACCTTCAAGAACGAGGCCGCGTTGAGAATGGATATTGGCGGGCCATATCGTGTGGAGTTTGCGAGTGGAAGTAGTATCATTGGGCATGAAAAATCATGGTGCATTGGAACATGCTTGGCCTCCCGACGACATTGAGTTCGTGCATGTGAATCCTGGGGAGTTGGCAACTCGACCGACTGAACGTGAAGGCGCATTCGCGAAGATTAAGCAATCTGATTCCGTTCCTGCTCGCAACCTATGCACAGAGAAATGGCCATCCAGTCATGAGGCATCATTTTCGTGTGATCCGTTGCGCAATAGAGGTATATACATGTGAATGATATGCTGAAGGAGACCCCGGGTTCCGATGCATTTCAATAAGGGATCGCTAAAACAGCAGGAGAAAGGGTGATATGTGGAAGAGAGAGGCGGACTTGAGATGCGACGAACTTGCCGAGGGATGCCGACCATGAGGTTGCTTGCCCGCGCCGTGTCAATCGCTCCTTGGAGATGGCAATAATAAGACAAAAGTGAGATGGCGCTGGTCCATGATGCATATTAGTCAAATATGGAGCGTCCCCACTGGAGAAATTTATATGAAAAGTTGCAAAGAAACATGTCGAAAACTCCCGTTTGCTCCTCGGCTGATACTCCACGCTCCAGTTTCCGTGAAAGGAATCCGCTCTATCCGGGTTCTTTTCAGGACATGAAAAAGACCTCAAGCATCCTCGGGAAGGAAATTTGGAACCGGACCAGTGGTAATGGGCCCCAGGAAAGGTTATTCAGGGTATCTCCGGACGCACAGGGTGGCAAGGGAATGACCAGCAGTACCTGGCGGTCATGGAAAATCTACATCGGGCTCACCGTGACAGGAACATTTTTGGAGGTGGGCGGACACATGGTCTACCGAGAACTTCCATTCGTTGGCCGCTGGGAGAGGGGATATTCTATGAATGGTGAGCTTAGCGCACTTGGAAGCATAACCATGGGCTTACGTCGTCCATCTGAGGCGATATAGTAACCAGGTGGTGCGACAGGCTGTCTGAAGGGGGCTTAGCGATATACCAAATACTGATGGTCGAAGTAACCAAAATACCTTGGAGCTGTAGTATAGTTTGGCGGAGGGGCGGGAGTTCTGTACGGATCCGGCGCTGGTGTCTGTGTGTAAGTAGGATAGGCTTGTGCGGCAGGATAACTGGGATGCTGGCCTGGGACCTGGGCATATCCGGCGTAGGGATCCGTCCTGGGCTGAACGGCATAGGCAGGCTGAGGGACCGTGTAGCCAGCGGGATGTGAAGGATAAGGCGCAGTGGGGCTGGTAGTGTAATGTCCAGTATCGGCGTATGCAGCGGTGTGCGGAGTCCTGGAATGTGTTTCACGACTTTGGCTGGCGTATGATTCAGACGGTCCCCATTCCTGCCTGGCGGCGTGCGTCCTGGAATCTCGATAATCCACTAGAGCAGAGTCAGGTTGTCTCGATACCTTAGTATCTCGAACGTAAGGACTACCTCCGCGTCCGCGTCCACCGTCTCGCTCTGTCTGCCATCGCTGGGAATCTGCCTTCAGATCCTGAATCATTTGCTGTATCCGGCTTCGTCAGCTGTGTGGCCGGTGTGCCAACGTTCTGGATAGGCGCAGACGTACCGATGTGAGCGTTCGATAGGCGGTAATCCAATAACCAGGGCGGCCCTATGAAGTAGTTAGTTTGGAGTCCGTACCGCTCTGCGTATGTAGAGGGAGTCCAACCTCGTACTCGCCGGTACCTGTGCCGGGCCTCACGAGCGCATCGGGCCCCAAGTAGCGCTGGATGTCGGCGGTGATGACTTCCCGAGCGATGCCATCACCGGGCACAAACCACTGGTTCTGCCGGGTCGACATGTTCAGGCGGGAGGTTATGGAAGAGAGAGAGAGAAGAGTAAGGAAAAGAGGACACTGATGTCAGTGTCGCAAAGACAGCCAAGGAATACGAGGGCGATGACAAGGAGGGCTCAAAGGCTCCAAGATAACGCTCTCAGCAGGGTATCCGAGGCGCTGGCGGAGCTATACAGACGTCCTGTCAGGAGCTTGGAGAACGTGTTATCGGAGCAAGGAGAGTTCCAGAAGAAGGCGGCCAGAGGCAGACGGACAGAAGCGGGGGCTGGACCAATATACCGGCACTTGGACGACGGCCTGTGACAACAGAATGGCTGGATGGAAGCGTGACGGGTGGCTGCGGCGACCTGATTTGGGAGGCCGAGGACAGGGTTTGTTTGGGAGGGTTGCAGAACGGGCTGGGTGGGGGGGGTACTTTGTGACTGTCTCGAGGGACAGGTACCTTGAAGGTACTCTACCTTTGATGAAGCGATAGTTTGTGTAGAGAGTGTAAGGTAATTCCAGCGGGGGCCCGACCAGGGCGACGGCAGCGGACGACAGGAAGAGTACCTGTTGGGGGGAAGCAGCCCAAGCGAGAGGAGGCCGAAGGAGGAGGGTTGTGCGGCTCTTGGGTGGGAGGGAGGAGTGAAGGGTTCGAGAGGGTTGGCGGGGGAGAGATGCAGGTTGCCGGCAGGGCTTTGGAGCGCCGTGATTGGCTGGAGTTGCTGACTGAGCTGGAGAACCGTCTGGCTTTTGGGCATCAACGAACCCTCAGAGACAGACAGCCCAGAGGAATCGCTGAATTGCTGAAATCAGAGTAACCACAATTCCCGTGACCGCGACGATGAGGTGCCACAATGGGAATCCCGGTATGTACGACGAGAAGAGGTACAAGTCAGCTCCGTGACAGCAACTGTTGGCTTCGATGTTGGGGGAGAAGAATGAACGACACCAGCTGCCCGAGGCATCACCGCCTTATTATTATCCCCGTCTTACCTTCCTGTGGTCCAGTAGCAGCCCAGGCAGTTGGAAGTCAGAAACTGCGCGCTCTTCGTTGGCAAGCGTAAAATGCTCCCTTTGGGTATCATTATTGTATTCGTGTGGAGACTTGACGACTCACCGACAGCTTCACAAGCGGAACCTCACAGCCTGACCTGAAGCCATGGCGCCCCGTTGCGGCCCAACGCCAAAAACCTGCCCTGAATAGTCAAGACAGGCCCAAACCATCCATCTGCGAGCCACTCCCTGCGTGACCCACGCGTCGCCAGTCGTTGTGCGGGTCGCCGTCGACATCATCAGATTATTGGATGCTGCATCACCGACTCTCAAATGCTCTCTTCAATCTGCCGCCCAGGTTGCCTCATCCTTCACCTCTTTTCCTCACTGACTCTCTCCTGATCTGAGCTACCTACCCGAAGATCGCACGGCAGGCCCGATTTTCCTGTGCAGCTCGGCGCGTCCCGAACTGGAGGCCAGGAACAATCCATCCGAGATTCTCAACACTTGGGCATGGCTGCATTGTACGCTGGTGATATTCCAGCTCTACTATGTATAAGAGAAATCACAAAGGCCCAGTCTTCCACCATTGGTGCCGTTCTAGCCCTGTCGAAGAAGCTATACCTATCGCTGAAGCCTGTACCGTACTGACCCAACTAACCTATAACCTATAGGGTCCATGCCATATCTCCCCGACCAGTCTATACCCTCCCCGTCGACGTGAACATCGTGGCTCCTGCCAATTAGTCGGGCAATCAGACTCCAACGATGTGCTTTCTGGCTCGCAGCGTATCAGGAAGCCCAATCCAGTCTCCAGGCATGACGACGTACAGCACGTGCGCCAGTAACACCAAATGCATCTAGCCGACTTGATGATGCACCATTCTGCGTCTATTCTGCATCGTGCCATGTCTCCTGTCCTGGGACTGGCGGGGAGATTTCACAGAACGCAATGGTTCCATCCGTTGCACGACCAACGTCTCGCTCCCAAAGGATCAATATGCAGGTCATATTGCAGCTCGCTGCATTCCTGCCTATGTGCGGCCGTGGATGCGTCGATTCCCAAGATAAATGGGACCTCTGCCGTACAAGAGGTCGACACCTTCTGGCTTTCCGGGTTACCGCGTTCCCCCGTTGCGGACCAGGCCGGTGAATAGTTCAATGGCATTCAAGAGCGCAATAAGGCCTCAAATTCGCGAATACCAGCCTCTGTCGGTCCTAACAATCGCCTACTGGTAAGAGTATGTGGGAGACCTTTGGGCACTTTCGGGCAGCGAAGGGACACAGTTTCGGGAACACAGCATGCGCGCGATATGGGAACTTTCCGATGTCCCAATCATATATTAGACTAAGGGAAGGAGATGTGGATTCTGCATTCACTAACAGTGCACAGATCTGGTTCATCACGGTTTCAACCAACTAGGCCAACCGCGCCATTTCCATGACACACTGCGACCTGAAATGCAAGGTGCCTGGAGGACCGCATCTCCCTGCTTCTTATTTGGTCCAAATTCAAACTACGTGTCCGATTACAGATATTGAAACTGCATATCCGGTGCGACCACGTCTCTCAAATCGCACTCCGCCTGCCCGCCAGAGTACCCTTAACAGCGTTTGAATTTGTTTTTAGATACAAATAGGCGACAGATTTTCACTTGCAGGTCGCCATGCACAGTCTCCTCTGGCAAACAATAGTTAATCCCGGGTTTGTGCTTCTGGATTGCCCATGCAGAGGTACGTTGGCATGAGCCGCCCTCCCTTTTCCCTGAGCTTGAAGGCGCTTTAATAGCTTTCGTATGCTCAGGCTTTAGTATGGTCACTAGAATCTGTAAGGATGTTCAAACGAACCAGTAACGGCATGTTTAAACTCTCTGTTGCCAAGCTACTGCTCAGGATATAGTGGTATATGAAGTAGCTAGGACCGTCACACTGAGCTGCGCACGCATCCGCTCTCGCGTTCGAAATCCAGCTCCGTAGCATAACAATATAGCCCCTTCTCATCCTGTAGACGTAGTCAGATATTTATCAATTGGCGCTGACACTTTCCACAAACACGCATTATGCACTCTCCGTCAACCTGCCAAGACATTATCCCATTCGGGCTAGCGTAATGGTGCGAGCACGGGACCGCGCGGTGACGTGAAAGTTAACCGAAGAACCGCGTCGATCTGCTCCGCGTCTGAAGATCCCTTGCCCATTTCACCCTCCCACCATCGAAACATCAACAACATACACCAATTCTTCACCTTCACACCCTCTACCATCCGATCCGCACCCAAATGTAACATATTCTACAGACCACTCGAGGACCCAACAATGTCCTCCCCCACTCCCTTTGCCGCCTCACCCACCTCGAGCCCCTCGCACGACCCCATCCCCAAATCCCGCTACACCTACAAACACCTCTCACAACTCAAGACCTTCTCGCCCACAACCCCACTCCGCCCAATCGCCCACATCGACCTCGACTGCTTCTACGCGCAGTGCGAAACGGTCCGCCTGGGTCTCGACCCGGGCATCCCCCTCGCCGTCCAGCAATGGCAGTCCCTCATCGCCGTCAATTACCCTGCGCGCCCCTCGGGCGTGAGTCGCCACATCACGGCCACGGAGGCATTGAAGCTGTGTCCCGAGTTGAGATTACAGCACGTAGCGACGTGGCGGGAGGGGGAGGAGGGGTGGGCCTATCGCGAGGATGCGGCGCGGTGTATAGCGACGGACAAGGTGAGTTTGGATCCGTATCGGATGGCGAGTCGGAGGATTCTGGCGTGTATCAAGGGGGTGTTGCCGGATAAGGAGCAGAGGGTCGAGAAGGCGAGTATTGATGAGGTGTTTTTGGATTTGAGTGCGCAGGTGCATGGGGTGTTGATGGAGAGGTTCCCCGAGTTGAGGGGTGGTCGGTCGCTGGATGGGGATGCGAATGAGTTGTTGCCGAAGGTGCCGACGACGGTGGTGGATTGGGCGGCGGACGAGGTGGTGGGGACGGGGGATGAGGAGGGTGAGGAGGAGGATACGGATTGGGATGATGTGTGTTTGGCGATTGCGGCGGAGATTGTGCGGGACGTACGGAGGGAGATTAAGGAGAAGCTGGGGTATACGTGTTCCGGGGGAGTCGCGAAGAATAAGTTGTTGGCGAAACTTGGATCCGCGTACAAGAAGCCGAATCAGCAGACCGTTATTCGGAATCGTGCTGTTGGCCAGTTTTTGAGTGAGAAGAAGTTCACCAAGATTAGGATGCTGGGCGGGAAACTTGGGGATGAGGTCGTGGCGATGTTCGGGACGGATCTAGTCAAGGACCTCTTGGACAAGCCATTGGAGCAATTGAAGAGGTTGGGGGATGACACCGGGACTTGGCTGTATGGGACGATCAGGGGCGAAGATCATAGCGAGGTGAATCCCAGGACGCAGCTCAAGAGCATGCTGTCGGCGAAATCGTTTCGGCCGGCCATCAACTCGTTTGAGCAGGGGGTGCGGTGGTTGAAGATTTTCGCTGCTGATATCTTCTCGCGGTGTGTGGAGGAAGGTGTGTTGGAGAATAAGAGAAGACCCAAAACCATCAATCTGCACCATCGTCAGGGCGCGCAGACGAGGAGCCGGCAGAGCCCCATTCCGCAAGGCAAGCCACTGTCAGAAGCCTTGCTGTTCGATCTTGCAAAGAACCTCCTCGCTCAGGTGGTGGTAGATGGGCGCGCCTGGCCATGCGCCAATCTCTCCCTGAGTGTCGGCGGATGGGAAGACGGGGTAACAAACAACCAGGGCATAAGTGGATTTCTGGTCCGAGGCGCAGAGGCAAAAGCACTTAGCACAACGGGGAAATCAAGTGGACAGGTTGGGGAGCCACCCAGAAAACGAAGGAGGAAGGGCAACATAGCAAACTTCTTCGGCCCCCGAGACGAGAAGAAGCAGGACTTTGACGCCGCTCGCGCTGTTCTACTGGCACATCGAAGGTCCACAAATGATGATGAAGAGGAAGACGATGAAGATCTCAGGGCCCAGCACGGTGAGGAAGATGTGTTTGAGGAGCGAGAAAGGTCAACCACGCCTCACCTCGGCCGACAGTCGTCATCGGATCTTCACAATGAAGAAGTTCGCCCCTCTGCGCAGCGTGTCTCGTATGCAGAAGACAAACCTATCTCCCACCAGCAATCCTCCAACACCTTCTTCTGCCCCCGCTGCAACATCCACCTCCCCGGCGCCGAGAAACCCGAACACGACGACTTCCACTTCGCGCTCGACCTGTCCAAGGAGATGAGGCAGGAAGAGCGGATTACGCAAAGGACTCCGGTGCCGCAAAAGCCCACGAGAGGGAGGGGAAGACCGCCGGGCAGGGGGAGAGGTGGAGCTGGGAGTGGGAGTGGGAATGGGAAGGAACAGGCGAGGTTGGCTTTTGGGCGGCCGGGTTGAATGAGCAAAAGTAGAAGCTGTGACGGTTTTGTCTATATTGTGTTTCACAGAGTTCCGCTCATGTGAAATGACTGGAATGATATACCCCCACATCCATTCACCATGAGAAACCGTTCGGCCTTCTCCTCCGACTTTTACGGTAAGTAAGCCCCGGAGACACTACGCAAGCACTGGCACATAAAAGAGTAGAGGAATATGAGAGTAGAGGAATGGGGGGTGGAGATTTGGCCGCCGGGTAAGGGGCCCCTCCGCGAACATCCAGAGGCCTATCAGAGCGCTCGGAAGTTGAGTGCCGGAATCGAGAGCACAATGAGGCTCGAGATAGCACGCGCTTCGCGCAAAATAAGTACCATGCCGTTGCCGTTGCGGTAGTTCACTGGTGTTCGATCCTGGAGTGCACAGAGCCGCACGCGTACACGCACTTATATCGAGAGACGGATCGAAACGCGTGAGTATCCACAGGCTGGCGGCAGCTTGGATGCCCATCTCCAGTCAAACGTCCTCTGTGTTCAGGTGGTCCATGAAACAAGGACAAAAATATCGCGACCTTGTTTGAGACCCTGTGGCAGCTGACCAATCACAGTGCGCAAGTCTGCTGCTCCAGGGTGAACACTAGGCGGGCGCCAAATGGCGTAGGCCAAGTTATACCAAAGTTACTGGCAGCGCATCCACCGTCGTACCTTCGCCCATGAATGAACCACAGGCGCAACAGCGCCAGCACGCGCGGGGTCAGTCAGAGCGCTTCGAAGTCAATGTCACTCTTTGTAGCGAACATATAAAGTGTAGAGTCACTCACAGTAGGTATCACTCACATCACACACCGTCCTCGTTTCTTCACATCTTCCTTTCTTCACCGACTTTGACAGTCGTTGTTGTTTCCTTTGTCCTTGCATATAATCTTTCTCCTTGTATCTGCGTAGTTCGACTGGCTTCGATACACGGCGTTCCCATTATTGTCCATCATTGTACAGAAAGAGCAGCGGAAATCACAAGGCCTGGAAGCCACACCCCACGCACAACCGCAGCACGATAGCGTCATAGTCACCTCCCGGATTATCATCACCATCAACTCTGTGTTTTCACACAAGCCACGGCTTCAGCTATCCTTACGCTCTTCGCATTGTGCGCTCGAACAACGCCTTTGTTCGCAACATTCAGCAACGCTTAAATCACCTTGTCGCCTGGTTTCACTGTTTCACCCGACCCAGAAATATATCCACGCTCTCCTAGTTCACTTCAACCTTGCCAATCCCCTACCGATCCCTCAACCTCAACCTCAACCTCGAACCTCTTCACTACTCCCCGTAAGCGAATCCCGCTGCTTCACGAGCCCGCATTTCACTGATCATGGTCTACCTGGCAGTCGGCCTCAAGATGCTCAACTTCCTCTCGCGCCGCACCATGAAGGGCGAAAAGGCCACGGCAAAAACATCCCTCCTCGAGTCGTGGTCCCCCGGCGGCTTCCTGCGCGCCACCCTGCGCTTCTTCCAGTTCGTCATGGCCGTCGTCGTCATCGGCCTGTACGCCCAGGACCTGCGCAAAGCACAACAGCAGGGCAAGTACGCCGACGCGAAATGGGTCTACGCCGTCTTCGTCGGGTCGCTGAGCGCCTTCCTGGCCCTCGTCTTCGCCCTGCCCCTCGTCAAGTCGTGGATGTTCTTCTACCTCGACGCCCTCGTGTGCTTCTTCTGGGTCGTCGTCTTCGGCATCTTCGGCAGGATGTATCTGCCCTTGAAGCCCGACGACGATGAGGCCGCTCGCGACAATAGTCCCGGTGTCGTCCGCATGAAGCGCGCCGCCTGGATCGACATGACGAATATGCTGCTTTGGTTCTTCTCGGCGGTTTATGGAGCCTTCGTGTTTTGGAAGTGGCGTAAGGAACGTACCGTCTTCACCGGGCGGGCTGAGTCGCACGTCTAGTCGTTCCTTAGGCTATCTTGCTATCTTCTACACTCTTCAAAGAAACTGTTTGAGACGATGGACTAACCGTCGTTGCAGTACATCCAGGTCGAGTTCCAGACAAAGTCGTTTGTGGTGGCGGTGCGGATGCGCGGTGTGTCGGAGGATAGACCGTGGTCGCCTTTATGATGGTTCTTTATCTCTGTCTGTGTCTCTGTCTGTGTCTCTGTCTGTGTCTCTGTCTGTGTCTCTGTCTGTGTCTCTGTCTGTGTCTCTGTCTGTGTCTCTGTCTGTGTCTCTGTCTGTCTCTGTCTGTCACTATCAACGTTTTTTGGAGATACCCCATATTCTTCCCTTGTCAATCATCGATTAGCAATACTTGGTGCTGCATGTGTGGCGAGGCTTAAGCTGTGCAATACAATGTCTCTTTCTTTTATGGGTTATTCTTTGCTCTTCTTAGTGTGCGTAAATTCTAATTCACTCGCACCCCGTAAGACTACAGTACCAACGTAGCCTTTCATCTACCGAGACCGACTGTGTGGGTCCTTTCCAGGCACCTCCAATCTGCTCCGCGCAGCAGCATGCAGAAGCTCCTCGTACTCCTCCGACTTGAGCACCCGCCCCGCCGACAACCGCTTCCGGAAATCCGGTGCCATTAAAACCGTTAAGAGAGCCTCGATCTCAAACGTGGTGCCCACTCTCGACAGAACCTCCCCCAGAGGCCTTGCAGGGACGTGCATGCTCCCGTCATCGCCATCGTCCGGCTGCGTGAGGAGCACAAGACCCAGTTTGTACATGGACTTCACATCACTATCGGCCGGCGGATCGAGCGTCCGTTCATCCTCCGTCTCGACCAACTTGATCATCTTGGCAATGTACCATGTGTCAGCGAAGAAGGGGGGTTTGACGTCGTGCGGGCCTAGGACTCCCGGAAACACGAGAGGATTGTGGAGCCTATGGAATATACGTCTGATACGTGGTGGCAGCCGTATCTGGCCTAGACTTCGGGGGCGCGCAGGGCGGGGGATTGTGTTTGGGCGTGGTTGTAGGCGTCTGGTTGGCCTGGGGGATTGATGAATTGCGGGGTTCAGTATGGATGTATGTCCCAGATGGTATGGTTCGGAAGTCTTGGAGAGGATGGATGGATGATGGAGGGGGGATACTTACACAGACCCAGGTCTGCGATTTTGACGAGTGGGTTTCGCCCGTCGACGTGCGAGCAGAGGACGTTGTCAGGCTTACAATCTGCAGTACGAGTCCAGTCAGTTCTCTGGGTACAGAAGAAAAACAGGGGAATAGCTAAGCAGTCGTCGCTCGGGCTTGATCAAGGATCCCGTCTTCCCAGACTCTACTCACCCGTCCAGACATTGTTAGTGAGCCCAACATCTCTCACGCCTCCCGCCATGCCCTCGAAGAGAGCGGCCATGAAGACGGGATTACTTTTGTATTTAGCTGGATCAAGTGCGCTCAGCGGCACGTCGAGATGTTCCAGGACGAGACAGTAAGGATTCTTCGACTGCACGGCTTCTTCTTCAAAGGCAGCAGCAGTGTTAGCATTACCATGGAAACCGTTTTCGCTCATGTATTGGTTGATCTCCTCGTACAGAGACCGGATGTGCCGGCTCTGCTGGATGGCTCGCCTGGTATAGGCCTCGCGCTCTCTCCGGAGCCATTTTTGTTTTTGAGAAGTGGCGGTTTTGATGATGGCCCTGGAAGGCACACATTAGGCACCGTCTTTGTTCGATAGATAGTACGTGGCATACTTACCACTCCGCCGGCCGTTGATATCTGGCGTTGTTGTTGTTGAGTATTTCGGCTTTCCAGATGGTAGAGAGAACAGTCTGGTTCAGCTGAAGCCGTTCCACGAGTTTGTAGGTGTATTTGGCGCCGGTGTGGAGGTGGCCGGCGGTGAATGACATGGATGTGGTGTCTGATTCTGATGGATCGGTTGTCAATAGTACGTTTTCGAGTGTGACAGTAGTGGGCATTGGGATGAGGGTGCTTCGTCAGCCAATCTATCAATGAATTATGAACAACGGTAAGCGTGGTGTAAGAACCCACAAGGCTAGTAGGTTTACTGACGCCCTCGTTCTTTTTTCTCTCGGCGCAAGAAAGAAAGCGGGAAAGAAAGCATGGAATCTGCGGTTGCAAAAAGCGCTATGTACCTAACTTCGTAACCAACAGCTGGTAGATGATACATCGATAGCCTATAGTCTAGTAGTCTACTGCCTAGCTATAGGTACCGCTGCAAATGCGGTTAGCTTACCCCCGTAGTCTACTTGGTCCGTATTTCGCAACTACGTCAATCTCGTACGAATGTAGAAAACACAACTAATCCTATTATTGCATACGCGTTTACGCTAGGGCGGTAGAATATTCGTAATCTGTATATACATCTAAAGTATAAATCTATATTACTGCCTTGCTCGACTTACTTATAAGCACGACCGCCTCCTCTTTTCTTTCATTCCTTTTTCTCGTCCTCCTTCTTCCTCATTAAATATCTCCCTTCCCCTCCCTCATCATCTCCCTCACCATCTCCCTCACCATCTCCCTCACCATCTCCCTCACCATCTCCCTCACCATCTCCCTCACCATCTCCCTCATCATCTCCCTCCCCTTCACCTCCCCTCCTCTCTCCAACACTTCCTTTCTCCCCTCTCCCATCTCCCCCTCCATCAACCATGCCCACCCCCACCCCCTCCTCCAAACACGAATACGACATCCTCCTCCTCGGCGGCGGCACCGCCGGCCTCGTCCTCGCCCGCCGCCTCTCCTCCTCCTCTTCCTCCTCCTCTTCTCCCTCCCCTTCTTCATCCTCTTCCTCCTCCTCAGGCAATAATCCCATTCTTCAGATCGCGGTGCTCGAAGCGGGCGACGACGCAGAAGACGCAGATCCCAGGGTCACCACGCCAGGCACGTGGGCGGGCCTGCTGGGCGGGGAGCGGGATTGGGGTGGTGGGGGTTGGGGGTGTGAAGCAGGTACGTAGTCTGGGGTAGTTTATGTGGTGTAGTTTATGGTTAGAGTGTGTATGTAGGCTGGGTATAGGGCTAGGTTGGGGAGGATGTGTGTTGGGGAGGATGTGTGTTTCGCTGTATCCCATTCCATTCCATTCCCATTTTCTTTTCCCTCTTCTTTCCCTTTCTTCTTTTCTATATAGAAGCATTTCCTTACGGACACAGATAACTCCCCCCTCCCTAATAACCCCCCTCCCAACCACACCCACTAACACCTCCCTCCCCTCCACCAGCCCAGCCTCCACAACCGCCCCATCGGCCACAACGCATCGGCCTCACCTGGGCCACCTCCTCAGCGGCATCCAGCGCCATCCATCAACGCCCAAGCCTTCATCCCCTTCTCCGCCTTCTCCGCCTCCGCCTGGTCAACCATCGGGAACTCGGGGTGGAACTGGGACGACGCTGAGTGCGTCCCTTCGACTTAGTTTCACTCTCCAATTCCCTCTGAACGGCTCCGCAAATGGCGAGGTCGACGAGGAGACGGTCCGAGATTTAGGTGTTAATTGGGCGAGGGCCTTGGTTTCCTCCACCATTAACAATGAAGACAATAACAGCAATAGCAATAGCAACACTAAATCCAGCACCCCCGATTCCAAAAACGGTCCCCTCCGCCTGTCATTCCCCTCACCTTCCGCCTCACCCTCCGCCTCCGCCTCCCCCATCGCAAAAACCTGGATCCAGACCTTCGAATTCCCTCGGCCACGGCCTCTCCGCGAGTCCCTTCCTTCTCCGGCAAATCCGTCGGCGCCTACACGGCGCCATCGACCATTGATCCGGAGACGAGAACGCGGAGTTCGAGCCGTACGGCACGGCGTATTATCGCCCCATCCAAGGAAAGAGGGGCAATCTGACGGTTTGGACGGGCTGCGTGGTGGATAAGATTTTGCTCGCAGATGACAACGACGACGACCACGGAAAAAATGATAGCGGTACTGGAGGCGGCACGACAAAAAAAACCAAGAGCCATCGGCGTACAACCGACCCTAAACGGCTCACCCGTCACCATGTACGCGCGCCGCGAAATCGTCCTCTCCGCCGGCGTCTTCGCCTCCCCCAAGCTCCTCGAGCTGTCGGGGATCGGGGACCCGGCCATCCTGTCTCGCCACGGGATCCCCGTGCGCGTGGCGAATCCCTACGTGGGCACCAACCTGCAGGACCATATCCTGTGCAGCGTTTCCTTCGAGGCGGCGGACGGGGGTCGAAACGCTCGACGATGTGATGCGTAAGGATCCCAAGGCGCTGGCCGAGGCGATGAGGAAGTACAGGGAGGAGAAGGCGGGACCGCTGGCAACGAGCGGGTGTACGTCGTTTGGGGTATCTGCCCACGCTCGATTTTGCTGAGAATCCCGGGGAACTGGGCAGGGCGCTGGAGATGCTGGACAATGACGCGACTACGGTGCCGAAACACCCGCTCGATTCCGCCCGCCGCTCCATTCTTAGGAATTTCCTCGAGAAGGCCGAAGAAGGAACGGGCCAATACCTCGTCCTCCCCGCCCAATCCCGCGCCCCCGGGAGAGATACGACGGTCAATACCATAGGCGCGGACCCGCAACCGGGGAATTTCGTCTCCATCGTAACGGCCTTGTCGCACCCGCTGTCGACGGGGGAATCGCACATCTCTTCCGCGGATCCCTCGGCGCATCCCACAATCAACCACAACTATCTCCTCCATCCGCTGGACCTGGAGCTGCATGCCCGGCACGCCCTCACGCTCGAGCGAATCGCCGCCACGGAGCCGTTCGCCTCGTCGGTCCTGAAACCGAACGGGCGCAGACACCATCCGTCGGCCTTCCTGGATGGAGGTCTCGCTAAGGCGAAAGAGTACGTCAAGGCGGCTTCGACGACGAATTGGCACTCGGTGGGCACGTGTAGTATGGCGCCTCGAGAGAAGGGAGGAGTCGTCGATGCGGACCTGCGGGTGTATGGAGTCGAGGGGTTGAGGGTCGTGGACGCGAGGGTGGTGCCGTTTGTGCCGCAGAGTAATACGCAGAGTCTGGTTTATGCGGTGGCGGAGAGGGCGGCGGAGATTATCTTGGGCGAGGTGTGAGGTGAAAGTGTTGATGGATGGTTTTGTCCGAATCTTGACTGGTTCGTCAATTGGCCCACCAATAGGCGCATCTCAACATGCCGCCCATAGGAAGCCTTTAGCGTGAGCGTCTCTCCTTATCCTAATGCTCTGCGCTTCCCAATCCAATGGTTTTCAACCTCCATGATGCTTATTCATTCCTGATGATGTCGAGCGTCGTCCCTCCTTCTTCAAGTCGGGCACGGCGCATGGTAGAAAAGCAAGGAGCAGGTGCCCTGCATTCATTATGTCAGTATCTACTCACCCGTCTACCTCGGTCGACGGCAGCGAACCCTATAGCACAAGGCCGAAAAAGAGTGATGTGTGCTGTGTGCAGAGTGCAGAGGGAGACAGGCGGGACATGCCACGGTGGCTGAGACGCGGAGCCTGGGTGGCGCGGCACGTCATGCACATGCACATGGCTCCAAACGGAAGAAAAGGAAAGGAGAAAAGGGACCTGCAGGGCGACTACTTCCGGTAGCTGCAACAATGAGGCGAGAGGCGTCGATAGTCGATAGTCGATAGTCGATGCGCTGCGAAGGGAAGGGATCTTGTACGATGGGATGCGATGGGCCGCACGTGAGCAGCCGCCAAGCGAAGCCAGCGATGTATGCCGTCGAGGAAAAAGGAAAGATCAGCGTGCCGGGTAACGACGTCGGCGATACTGTAGTGGGAGAGAGTACCATGATGGAAGCGGGAGCCATTTTCTGGGAATCAGTACAGCGAGAGTTTGGTTCATGTGGGTTCAATCGTCCGTATTCTCTTGCTTCGGTGAAGTCGGCAAGTGATTGCCTCTGTGTGCCTCTATTGTCGAAGGTGCCCGCCGGAGACAGGAAAAGAAAAACAAAGACCCTAGTGGAACCGAAAACGACAGTGAAGAAGAAGGGTAGGGGAAAATCATAAAACAAGAGAAGAAGAAGAACAAGAACAAGAAGAAAGCATCCCAAAGTGAAGAGAAACATGAAGATGATAGACCAACGATAAGCAGAGGGCCACCCACGCCCTGTCCTGCAGGGCTCCGAACGTGCCCGAGAGAAAGGGGCCTAGAGGTTACAGGATATCATGCTTTTTCATCAAAACAAAACCCGGGAAAAGAAAACCACTCCAAGATCAAAGTCGGGTCACAGAATCGTACAGCGCGTGTGATGCTTCCGGCTCCCCTGTTTGTGTCCGTGTTTCGGCCGTCCCTTCGTTCTCACATGCTTCGGGGCGTAATCTTCTTCTAGCCGTTGGTCCTTGCGCATAATCTGCCTGCAGAGGTCCGTAAACACTTCATCGACGTTGGCGCGTCGCCGTGCACTCGTCTCGTAGTAGGGCACGTTTCCCCAGTCTTGAGAGATCTTGAAGGCGCGGGCACGCGGCACGGCGCGGTCCTCCTCGAGGTCGGATTTGTTGCCGACGAGGACCATGGGCACGTTGTCGTCTTCCTTGATGCGGCGGATCTGTTCGCGGAGCTCGGTGAGTTCGTAGAGCGAGGACATGGATGTTATGCTGAAGACGAGGAGGAAGCCTTGGCCGGTTTTCATGTAGAGCTCTCTTTGGGGAGGGTTAGTATTGGGTTGAGGTGGCCAGTAGAATGATGAAAGGGTATAACTACCTCATGGCAGCTGGATAGCTGTTAGCATGGTGCTGCAAGGCGGAGAGGGGATTCAACTTACTGAACTGCTCGGTTCCTGCTGTATCCAAAATCTCCAGAATAACATGACGGCCCTGCATGATGGGTCAAAAAAGGTATGACGTAGTCACGGGACGGCGGCACGTACATCGACCTCGATGGCTTTCCGGTACGAATCCTCAATGGTAGGGTCATAGCTCTCGATCCAGACGTTTTGGACAAATTGTGCTGTCTAGGATGAGTCTGAAAGAGCTTGGTGAGTTTGGGGACGGCCATGACGCACCAGTCAGACAGCTCTTGCCCACCCCGCCTGTAAGGGAAAATATTAACCGGAATTCAGAGCTTTTTAGCTTGCCAGCATACGCACCGGATCCCAGGACCACAATATGGTATTCTCGCTGCGACATCTGAGGGGTTGGTCAGACGGGCAGCAGTCGATCGATGTGCGCGTCTTGTATCTGGTGTTATATTTTTGTCGCGGCTGGATAGGGAACGGAGGCGCCGTTTTTGGTGGGCCAGAACGTCGAGGAATGGCCCTCGGCGTAAGGCGAGCTGGGCCAATTGGGATCCAGAGGCACGTCGTCACACAAATGTCGAAATGTCGGGCGTAGCTAATAAGCGCAAGCGCAATGGCAAAAAGAGGAGAGGTTGTCGCTATGTTTTTTGGGCGTGTGTAACGAAGGGACCGAGGATGAGTGGTGGGAATGGGGGATAGATGCGCTTTGGGCGTCGAGAGGGACCACGGCCTCCGGTTGTGGCACCCGATGGGAACCACAGTGGGTATTATTATATCTCTGCGAGGGAGTTCCAATCAGCCAAACGCTGATGCATGCAGGAAACGCTCCGGGACGAGCCTTTGCGGCACGAACGGGCGTCGAAACTCACCTCCCTGATGCGGCCGTGGCTCGTGTGGGCTTTTTTCCTTGCTCTCTTTTTTTTCTTTTTCCTTTGCCCTTAACGAAGTCTTATCGATAGATAGCTACTGTTTTTAGACGAGCGGCCGTCACTCGTCGGAGCATGGGGGGTTTTGGGACGCGGCGAGGGCAAAAGGAAAGGGAAGCAATACTCCGTAAAAGCTGCCTTTTCCGGGAAGAGGGTTGTTCTTGAGTGAGGGTCGAGGAGGGAAATAATCATTGGGATCCGCCAGCACCATGAGGGTGGGACGGACATGGTTATAACAAGTGACCATGGCCAGGGAATCCTCAACCCGACTACCTACCTGACTACGGAAGGCTGGGCGATAGGCGAGAGCGGGCTACGGCGGGCCTTGATGTGAACCTGGCGGTCGTCAGGCACAAGTGCAGTCTTTGATCACGTCGTCCGTGCTCGGTAGAGGTGGCCAGCATCCACCATGGAGGGGAAGGGGGGATAGTCGCTCCAAGTACCGAGAGTCCCCGTGCACAAACCCTACACAAAGCCTTGATCTTGATGCGTCCATGGATGCAAAACCAGAGACGTGCTGTACACTGGAGGCAGATGCTGTCGTCGAGGGGATGGGTTCGAGGTTGATTGGCAGGAGAGGTATGCACATTCACGCAGCGTGTCGGGCGCACATGGCAATGACAGTACGGAGTACTCTGTAATGGGAGAGCATTACTGCATGTCGTCGCAGCAGTATTCCGTAGCCTCTTCTTCTTGCGTGGCTTGACGCAGCTTTGCGTCGTCTGTCTGGCAGGCTGCTTGCCTGCTTCCATGTACAGAGTCCCCAGTAGTACTCCGTACTGTGGAGAGTGTTGGCACACACACACAAGTCAGCAAAGGGCGCCGACTCCATCCGGGTGGGATATCCAAACCCACAGTCTTGGGTCGCCCTAACCATGGGTCGAGGACTCGAGCGATGCTCTCTGGACATGGTGACAAAGTGCGAGAGGCGCGAGGGAGGCGACTGATGTCTTATTATGCGGACCGCCGGATGCTGATGAAGGGGCACCCCTTCAAGGGAGAACCACCACCACTGCTACTCCGAAGGCGATACGGATGCAGCTGGCTCCGTCCATGGCTTGTCAACAGTCTCTCCTCTCGCTCGTTTGAGCACTCCATCGTCCCCCCTGTCTCTGCGAAATGACCTTCCCACAGCCAAGCATCGTCGATAGCCCTGGGTTTCGGTTATCTGTCTACACAGTCTACTCCAAAACTGTGTGGAGAGTGGAAGCGCCCAAGTCTCAAAGGCAGGGGAAGTTGCCGTAGCCACTCCCCTTTGCCAACGGAACGTCAGAAGAATCTCCCATACTCCGTACACTAGCTATTTTTCCCCTTTCCGTCGTCTTTCTGCAATGTTATTTAGCACCTCTCCTCATCTCAGGCCCTTGTCGTCGGAAAGGGAGCCGCCTTTCCCCACCGACGGCTTCCTTCGCTAGCAACGATTCACCCACGCCCATGCCATGCCTGGCTTGCCCTTGGGCGCCCAACGCCAAGGGTGCTGGTCGGCTCCTTGGATTCGGCAGAGGGAGCCACAGTGATTGATGATGATGGGCTGCTTCGATGATGCTTTGCCGTCGTCAGAACATGCTGTACGGAGTACATACTTGTAGTAAATAATTCTGGATACGTGGATGGCAGAGTACGGCTCTGAGGTCGTGCCAGCCTTTGTCGTCGGAAGTGGGCATGCATAAGTCCAAGTTCAAACCTTGGAATGTTCTTCCCCAGCCACGTCACGTGCTCGGCCGAACAAAAGGGCAACAAGGGCAAGCTCCTGTCTTGGCCGTTGCGGGAACCCGGACGACAGCTCTGGAAAATAGCTGTGGAATCGGTGACGTTTCCCCAGCAGACTTCCCCCTCCTCCTCCTCCACCAGCCCAATTCCACCTTCTCCCCGCGGCCTGAGGATGCGTCTTCATGCTGCCGGATTCGCCCTTGCAGCATGCCTGGTGCCCGCTGCCGCCGTCGACGAGGACGACGCATATCACATTGACTTCCATCATGCCCTGATAGGCTTTCCGAAACACGCCTCCACTTTCTTCCAGAAGCCCTATGCAACCTCAAAGGCCTCGCTCCTCTACACCCTCTCCGACGACAACATCATCGCCGCCCTAAACCCGAAAGATGGAGCATTGGTGTGGCGCCAGGCACCGCCTGCAGACGCATCCGCGAAGAGCACCCTGAGGGCAGGCGAGGACCAGGACACGCTCGTCAGTGCCCTTGGGGACCGCATCACGGCATGGAGCGCGGCCGACGGAAGGGTCGTTTGGGAGAACAGGGTCCATGGCGCCACTGTCGAAGACTTGGAGATTCTCGAACAAGAGGATGGCATCACAGATACCGAAGCAAAGGACTCGATTGTTCTGCTGAGCGGAGCCACGCCGAGCGTGCAGAGGGTCGATGGCAAGACGGGGCGTGTCAAGTGGACATATCAGGATACCAGGTATGCTGTGTATGCCATGCATGTCTCATTCGGTGTGCTAACGTCGTTGCCAGCGGCGATACGCCTTTCCAAGTCTCGTCCTCGCCCACCACCATCTTCTACATTTCCCTGCATACGCCCATGCTTGGGGGATGGACCAAACTCAGGATCACGTCCCTCAGCCCCATAACAGGAAAGATGACTGATCACTACACCCTCAACTCTGAAATATCATCCCGCGAGGATATGGTGTTCGCCGGAGCCAACACCGCGGCCCCTCTGCTAGCATGGACGGACAAGACCAATAAGGTGCTGAGAGTGAACATCATTGGGACCAAGGCTGTCTCAACCTTCACCATTCCGTCCAAAGACCCTGTGGAACGCGTTGTCCTGCATGCCCCCAACCGCGTCAACTCCCTCCCGCATTTCCTGCTCGAATACCAAACGGCCCATGGGCACTCGGCCGAGGTGTTCCATGTCGATCTGATGAAGAATACCATCTCCAAGGCCTACGACCTGCCCCATCTGTCCGGACGCGGTGTGTTCGCCACGAGCACCTCGGATGCCAATGTGTACTTCACAAGAATCACCGCAGACCAAATCACTCTGGTATCCTCTGCCTCGCATGGCGTCCTGGGCCGCTGGCCTGTTAAGGACTCCCCTGCGTTGGCTGGCGCCTACCCAGTTCACGGTGTTGCTGAAGTCGCCGTGAAGTCCCAGACCGCATCGGCTGTACGATGTGCCATTCTGTTCTCCAACGGCGAGTTTGCCCTTGTTCGAAATGGCGAGATTGTATGGACGCGCCCAGAGTTCCTATCCCACGCTGTTTCGGCTGGGTGGGCTGAACTTCCAGAAGAGGAGGCGCTTGCACATGAGCTCGAAGTGGAGGGTCACCAAAGCATTCTTGCAGCGTACATCCACAGAGTCAAGAGGCACGTCCGGGATCTGGAGCATTTGCCTGCCTGGCTACAGGCTCTTCCAAAGCGTGTATTAGGCAGTTTCAGCTCAAAGGCCGAAGACGCCACCATGGATGAAATCCAGCATGATACCTTTGGGTTCCATAAACTTGTCGTCGTGGCTACCAAGGAGGGCAGACTTGCCGCCCTGGATGTTGGTGCTAAAGGCAAGCTGATGTGGAGCACGGATCTGGCTCACTTTGCGCCTGGAACCACCTTCCACGGCCCTTCACTCAAACCCGACCGCGGCTACATTGAGGTCACAGACGAAGGCTTCGATGGCACTCTGTACATCAATGCTACAACCGGAAACCTCATCTCCTCTGAACACATTCAAATCCACCTCCCCGTCAATGCCCAAGGCGAGAAGCTGGTCGTCTTCGACCTGGTGGATGGTGAACTCCGAGGCTTTCTCGGCCTGGAACCTTCCTCCGAACCCGTCTGGACCTTTGCACCGCCCAAAGGCGAACGCATCGTAAGCTACACGGCGCGCTCGACCTCCGACCCCATCGCCTCCATCGGTACCGTCCTTGGGGACCGCCGTGTCCTTTACAAATACCTAAACCCCAACCTCGTCCTCGTTACCGCCGTCGCCGACTCAACGCACCGCGCCTCCCTCTATCTCCTCGATTCCGCCTCGGGAGATCTCCTGTATTCTGTTTCTCATGATGGCATCGATACCACACGTCCTATCCCCTCTGTGATCTCCGAAAACTGGCTTTCGTACAGTCTCACCTTAGATGCGACCTCCAGCCCCGAGTCACGCGGGTACCTCCTGATCGTGGCCGACCTCTTCGAGTCTTCTCTCCCAGATGACCGTGGCCCGCTCGGCGCCTCGCCCAACGCATCTACCATCCAGCCCTCCTCCCCGTCGGCAGGCGAAGCAGCGAAACCGCACGTTGTGAGCCAAACCTGGCACGTCCCAGAGGAGATATCGCACATGGCCGTCACGCGGACGAAGCAGGGCATCACGACGAGAGACCTGCTGGTCACGCTGCCGAATTCGAATTCAATTGTTGCGATCCCGAGACCGGTGATTGATCCCCGGCGACCGGTCGGTAGGGACCCAAATGCCAACGAGGCAGCGGAGGGATTGGCGAAGTACACGCCGTTCATCCCGTTGGACCCGAAGTGGGTTCTCAACCACAAGTACGAGCTCTTCCACATCAAAGGGGTTATCACTTCGGCGAGTAATCTGGAATCCACGAGCCTGGTCTTTGCGTACGGGGGCGATGTGTTTGGGACGAGGGTCGCGCCCAGTGGGGTGTTTGACCGGCTGGGCAAGGGCTTCAACAAGGTGCAGATGGTGGGTACGGTAGCGGCATTGGCGCTGGGCGTGTTGGTGGTGAGGCCGATAGTGGGGAAGAAGGGGGTGGATGCGCTGTGGAGGGGGAGTTAGGGAGGGGCCTGGGTATGGAATTGGGTTGGCGTTCGTATCCGTGTATGTGTCTTGTGTAGATATATATCCGTCATTCAAGGGATGGCGAATTCAACTTTTCAATTCGCGTTCCGTGTTCCTTCATCGTTCAGATTGTTCTGGAAGCAGTAGATGCGCAGTCGTCTATCGAATGAATCGCAATTCACAGCTACCTGGCTGCCATACTATGTCACCTGACGCTGTCCTGCTCACGTCTCCTCAGCTCACCTCCTGGGGTCGAAAAGATCTTCCTTCCGCGCATACTCTAGATGGAGCCACGAGCTTGATATTTCGAACTAGCAAAGGAGAAGAGAAACCCATGTATTGTAGTAGTAAATGAACAAAGCAAACAAGAGGGTATCTAGGGTATCGTCCTCACTCCCCGACACCATAACGCCATTAGATAGCCAGCCCGTCAATCCTCACCACTCCAACCACTCTCCTTCGCCATTCCCGGTACTAAGCATTGCCAAACTACATCCTCACCAGCCTTTCCATCTCCATCCCCCTTTCCTCCCTCCGCCAAATCCTTCTCCCTCCCTCCCCCATCTCCCCACCCAGCAAACACGCCCCCCTAATGCCCGACCCACTTCTCCACACCCACCCACTCCTCCACCCCCATGGCCGCCATAGCAACCCACCTCCCCACCCTCTCCTCCCACGCCCCGGACCCAACGTCCCAGCCGAAAGGAACCACACCGAGCAGATAACCCGGGGAGCCGTATGCGCCGCGGGCGTAGCCGGAGCACGAGGCGAGAGCTTCGTTGCGGGCGAGGAGTTGGGCGTAGAGGATGCTGGAGAGGAGGATGAGGAGGGCGAGGAGGTATCTGGAGGGGGAGGTGGGAGGGGTTTGGGTTTGCGGATGCTTGTGCTTTGTCTTTGTCTCGATGATGGGGAGGGTGAGGGTGCCGTCGGTCATGGTTTGCTTGTCGGACTTGCGAGCGGCGGTGTCGGTCATGGTCTGCATCGAGTTCTTCTCGGAGATGTCTGTCATGGTCTCCCTCTCCTTCTTCTCCAACATGTCCGTCATGGTCTCCATGTCCCTCGTCTTGGGCTTGGGCTCCACCTCCGTCATCGTCTCCTTCTCCCTCGTCTCGACCCACACGTCCACAGACGCAATGCTAATCGAAGCGCTCTCAATGACACCCACCAACTCGAGCCGCTCCCTCTCCTCCCATTCTTCTTCTTCTTCCTCCTCATCCTCCTCAATCCCCCCCAACTCAGCCTCCAACGAACTCCCTCCAGGCAAAACCACCAGCTCCTCCGCGGTCCTCCCAACCGCCTCAACCAACCCCTCCGCAACCCTCGAAACCTTCAACGCCCTCTGCAACTCCTCCTCAAGCTTCGCAATCCTCGCATCCTTGACCTTTAACACATGATCCCGGTCCTGAATCGCATTCGCCTGATCATCAATCTCCTCAGCCAACTCCTCAACATTCCTCTGCAACACCACCAAATTCTCCCCCGCACGCTCCTGCTCGGCCAGTTTCTCCTGCTGCTCCGCGAACTCCCTCCTCAAACTGTCGAGTTTCAGGTGCGCGTCCGCGATCGCGAGTTCGTGCCCGTCGCGCTCGTCTTTCACCTTGTCGAGTTGCTGCTTCGTGTTTTCGTGGTCGGCGTAGGCGGCGGCTAGGAGCGCGTCGGCGGCTTCGTTGCTCTTGCGCTCGTGCTCGAGGTCCTCGTGCGCGCGCGCCAGCTGGTCTCGCAGTTTCTCGATATCCGCCGTCGCACTGGAGAGCGCCGTGTCCTTTGTCGACACCTCCTCGCGCGCGGAACCCAATTCGTCCTGGAGCCTTTTGTTGTCTTTTGTGAGTTCGGCGTTGCGCGACTTGAGCTCGGCGACACGCTCCTGCATGCGCACCAGTTGGTCGTAGTACTCGTCATCAGCGTCGTTTGCGGAGTTTGCGGCAGTCGTCTTGCTCGTTTCGACGCCCGCCATCTCGAGTAGTTTGCGCGGGTCGCATGTGTACAGCGCTGCGGCGTGGTGGAAGGCAGCGAACAGGACGTCGAAGTCGCGCTTGGCGGCTAGGGCCCGTGCGTCGGCTGCGAGTTCGCGCTTGCGCATCGAGCGGACGAGGTTGGAGAGGAAGGCGATGCGGCGTTGGAGGTCGGCCAGCGGCCTGCCGCCGGCGGTGAAGGTTGGGGTTGTGGGGGCGAAGATGAATGGGGAGGGAGAGGAGGAGGAAGAAGAAGACATTTTTATGATATGATGGTTTTTTGAAGGGGAGATTGGGAAAAGGGGGGATTTCTGCTGGTTGTTTGCAATTGGGAGGCGGATGGGATATTGGAGGGAAAGGGAAGCTCGAGGGAGAGGGGATGGAAAAGATATTATATTTCTGTCTTTGCTCTATTGTGCTATAGGGAACAATGGTGTTGATGTTATAATAGGAGTGGTTCATGATAATAGGGTGCTCGCCGGGCGTGGGTCTGGTATTGTATGTGAGGCACAATAGGAGGAACTCACTTCACCACGGGTGTGGGAAGAGGTTTGGATAGGTGGTCATTATGGAAGGGCATTCGAACAATAGCAATTGGCATGCTCGTATTGTGCGTGGGCTGCCAATACCATGCATACTCGGTCACTGTTGCGATGCAGCAGTTCCCCAGGATTCAGTACAGGTAGGTGGAATTCAGCAGTAGAACTAAGCTTCAGCGAAGTCTGAATGCATATTTACTTCCGCTACAACGCGTATAGATACGTCCACTGCTGTAGGGAAGCAATTGGAAGCATCCGTAGTTGAAGAAGCTGGTTCGAACAGTGCCTAGGAGCCTGCGCTTATTCTGCGTAGCCTGCGGAAGCACATGTTGGAGATTACCGTTAGATTAATCATCTAATCTAACCTTTGCGCAGGTCGGTCGAATCAAGCAGGTATATTAGGCTTCCGTGATGTTTGAAAGTACATCTGTTCAAGATCCAACCCACTAGCGGCAGTGGCTGAGGAATGGACGCAGTCCAAGGGCAGTAATCATTAGAGAAGACTGTTCAAGTACTTGTCACAGGGACCACTCTCGTTTTGCATTAACTGGCAACAGCATGAACACGGGCTCACGCTGCTAGCGCAATCCTTGAAGCGTTGAACATCAAGGGCTGTACACACGAAGAGATCCCGTAGGCTTCCTTGAGCTCTGGAAGTCTATCTTACTATGCGACTATGCAGCTAGACAAGTCCACCGCAGCAAGGAGCTGTTGCATAGTATTTATTATAGAGAAAGCTGGTTGAACAATAGATAGAACAAGGTCCTATTGTAAGTTAAATAGAAATTGTGTGCAAACAATTCAATGTTTCCGAGGCAACATTAAACCCGTCGCGGTTGAAACTAGGTCTGTCTAACACTGTAATAGACACCGTTGATGCATTAAAGTCTATCTTCTATGTAACTCTATAGCAAGACGAGTCTACTGCTAGGCAATACCCTCTCTGCTTATATATATGTAGTATTAAACGGATTAGAAGTCTACAAACCAACCTAAGACCTCAAGCTTCTAAGCTAATTTCTACAGTAGCAAATATATCCCGAACACTATTCTCTATTCAGAAATTTAGTTCTACAGATACTACTTTAACGCGCAGTTGCAGCCTATCGTTAACGTCAAAATAGCGGGACTAGCGGATACGGTCTATCTAGCCAAGACAGCCACGAGGCGGAAACCGTACGTATTATTAAGTGGCAAAAGTCTCTACAGTTATAGGTGCATTTGGTACTCCTAAGAACAAGGTACGTTCTATGGAGTCTAATAGTTCGTGTCGACTGTTGAGGTAACATCTAATGTTGCATAATAAGAATAACGAAGACATGTTCCCGTAGCAGTAAAGCCAGAAGACAAGCTCAAAGCAAAGGAGCATCATGAAGTAAAACAGTGCATTACAAGGTGAACACATACAGTGAAAATAAATCAATCCCCCAAAAACACGGAACAACTTCAAAGCCGAACGAGAGAAACAGAGGAACGCTACTCGCTCACTCGCCCAGACCCAGAAACGCAAAACTCCACGAAGCACGCTCATGCTCGTACTCATGCTCATGCCAAATGCCAGAATCGTGCCAATGCCGCTCGCAGAACCAATTAATCAATGAACAGAACGCCAAACAAACGAACATACAAACACGCTCGCTGTACGCAATCACATCACAAGAGCAACCACTCTGGCACCCTCCTCACCCTCTCCCTGAGCTTCGTAAATCTGCCTGAGCGCAAGTCGTCGTCGACGTCGTCGCTGCGGTAACGGGTAATCTTCCTTCTCGTGACCGCGCAAAGCGGAAACGTACCACGATGAAGGCCGCCGCGTCTTGATCTGTCCATCTGGTTCGCAATGCTCGTAAGCCTCAACGCTCTGCAACGCTAACTTTTGGTCCTTGCCACTCGTACGTCTACTAAACCATCGCGAGCAACAACTCTTGAGAATCAGGCCTCGTCTCTTTAGTCCTGCATCACCTTCACCCCTCAATCATCCTTGGCCTGTCCCTGGCCCTATCCCGCCCACGACGCCCAACATCATCATCATCATCACTATCATCGTAGTCACCTCGGCGGTCCCTATGCTCATCATCACGGTGGCTGCGATGGCGGCGGCTTTCGCGGTTTCGACGGTCATAGCGGTCGAACTCCTCTTCTACATCATGGTCAGTATAGTTGTCCTCTGCACGAGAAGCCCAGTACCCACCTCTTGCTTCACGGATCTCCCTCGTCCGATCCGCCAGCTTTTGAATCTCCTGCTTCGTCAAAACTCGAAGCACAATGACACAATCCATGCGCTCCTCGAACCTCTCCTTGGCCTCCTCCAAGGCTTCCGGGTTGACGAGCCGGCGGTCAATCTTCGTCCATCGAGCACCAGGCGGGATATCCTTGCCCTTGAGTGCGCTCTTATGAGGAGCAACCCCTTCACGTATCGGATCGGGATCCTCCGGGAACTTTTCAGTAGGCTTGCGAAGGATACTTTTTGGCTGAGGCTGAGGATCCTTAGGAGGCGCAACGATCTGGACGGTTTTACTCGGCTGGGCGTGATCCGCATCCCTAGCGTTGAGCGGTTCGGGTTCCTGCACTAAGTCCCTGTCCAACACACTACCAGGCCGTTCATCGTGACGAGAACGTGTAAGTTCTTGCGACGGAGAGCTGCGCGAATCCGCGTTGGGATCACGGGAAACTTCTCTTTCCCCTCGGTGCCTCCGCCTATCTACGTCCCTGTCGGATTCCAATTCACGATTGCCTCGGCCGCTCCGTTCGGCCTCCAGTTGGATGCGGCGGCGGTACTCTTCGTCAGGGTCACGAGTGGCTTCTTTGGACTCCCTGCGTCGCTCACTCTCCCGTGCGGCTTCCCTCTCGACATAGTAACGCGTGCGAGCTTCGCCGCTCGCGTCAGAAGAAGGGGATCCGCGAGCTCTCCGGTCCCTCTCGTCATCATCGGAACGTCGTTCACGTGTCCTGTATGCACCCTCTCCTTCGTCGGATCGGCGTCCTCTGGTGCGCTGCTCAGATTCCTGAGTGGAAGCATAGGCAGCCGCAGCCAGATGGAGACGTCCCTCTTCTTCCGGTTCGTGCCTTCTGTCGGGCTCTCTGATATCGCGTCGCTCGTCAGGCCTATCACGGCGGTCCCGCTCATCCCACTCTTCCCGCCTCTCACGATCCCTTTCGACCTCTCGGTCACGCTCACGAGATGTTAAAGCCGCCGCTGTCCCGTACGTAGCAGCTGCGGCGCCAGCAGCGGTGGCAAGAGCACTGGAAGGAATATGACTACGGTCCCCAGGCTCTTTTTCTCTTCGTTCCCGGTCTCGGTCACGGTCACGGTCACGCTCACGCTCGCGGGGCCGCTCATCATAAGCCGAAGGAACGTCACGATCCCGAGGGATATGGGGCTCCGGCATGCGAGCGTCAGCCCTATCCACTGAATGATAGTGGCCACTACGATCATCTGACGGGAGTCGTCTCGGAGGGTCCACCTCTTGAGCTGCACTCCAGACAGGCTGGCGATCCAAGGCATCATCATCTTGAGCGAGACTGGGGTGTCCCGGGGCGATTCCGAAACCGCGAGAAGCAACATCTCGATCCTCGAACCGCTCACTCGATACTTTGGTACTACCCACATCCCTGTGACGGCGGCCGTACTCGTCGTCGTAAGTATCTCGGCGATGCTCCCTGGGCTCCTGATGCACTGCTGGAGCTTTGTGCCGGGTTGAAGAAGATCTCCCCAGCCCTCCCTCAGGATAGGGATCGTACTTGGGCACATCCCGTGATCTTTCGATGGAAGGAGACCTGTAATGGTGATGGCGGTGTGAGCTGGCATTGATTTTGTCAAAGCCGCGAGTAGACGGAGGCGGGCCCGGCTCGCGACTCGATATACGCGGGCCTCTATCCAAGGTCATACTGATTGGACGGGACCGTTCGGTGCTTGCAGCACGAGTACGCCTCCAGACAGGCTCGGTGTCACGGTACATGCTTGCGGGGTCCGTGTAAGAGTAGCCATCTTCGTCGAGGTCTTTTGGTCGGCCGAATGATTTATCGTAGTAGTAAGGCTTCCCACCGCTTGTAATGCTGTAGCCACGAGGGTCGTCGTCACGGCGGCGAGGCTCGATAAACTCCCGGTCTGCAATCAGCTCGGCCTTCCGACTGTTGTCATCTATGCTGTAAATTCTGCTATGATGTCTCGGTGGTCCATGCGTAATGATTGGATCCGGTCTACCATCGAATGATCGTGACATGTAGCCCGATGGCGGCTCCTGGAGAGAATGGTGGTGACGATGTCCTCCTGGCACGTGAATGGGTAGGGTCTTGGGGGCCAGCTCCTTCACAAGCGGCCGATGCGGGCGTTCATCAGCTTCAGTCAGAGTGTTCCTCCGAGGCCGACCAGAATAGGAATCATATTTGTGGCTACCGGACCGTGAGCTGGAAGAGGTGCTGCTCGGCGCATAACCGTGATGATGTCCATGGTGAACAGGCACTGTCAGACGCTCAGCACTAGTCCTGGGCGATGTACGCTCATAGTATGTAGGCTCGTGGTATGGATCTCCAAATGTTCCGGTAGAGGCTCTAGCGGGTGTTGCTATGCGGTAACGCGGCGAGCCTGGACGATAGTATCCGGCATCCATAACGCCGGATTCAGCGAGCGACTTGTTCTTCGGCGAGCTTGCAGCGATCGGAGGATTTGGAGCAGACTTCAATCTCAAGGGATAGCTTTGGCGAGGGGGCTGCAGTGGACTCGGTCTCTTTGATGTCTTGGAGGAAACCACGACACTGTAGGCCATGCGTGTCAGCCGCCAACGCTGTGGAAGAGCTGGGAGAGGATGAGAGCACAAACGCAAAGGAATCTGAGACGAGTTCGGGCGTGGAACTGCGCTTCAGCTGCACATACATATGAAGCAAAACGGGCGAACTTCTGGCTGGGAATATGCAATGCGGCCTGGGAATCCAGGGTCAATGTGGGCTCGAGGGCAGCCAAGTGGGCGGAGGCAAAAGCGAGGGTTGCACCAGATGCCCAACTCTGGCAGCCTCACCGGCAGTGGAGACGCAGACAAAAAAAAGAGGGAAGAATGAGGTTATTCGGCGGGGATCACAGGCTCGTGAGGCTTGAGGTTTGACAACCTTGGATGGCCAGATGCAATGACATCGATGCCCACCTACTCTCGCGCAACTTCGCTCCCGGGTCTAGCCGCCTTTAGCAGTGCCCCGCGTTCCACGTGATGTGCTCAATTCACACCCCACCCCCTTTCCTCTCTCGCTTTCTACTTCCATCTCCCTCAGCCTTGCTGCAGACATTGCCACCTGTGCTAAATTCAGACACCGGATGAGCCGGGACACCGGACCATCACCGTTCCCTATCAACTGCATCATTCCTGCTCGCCCAGAAGCCCGATCATTCGCAGATCTGCGTGACGACACCACGTAGCATGCCTATGAGAAGGATCCTCGTCCACATATCCGGTTTGCATGAGCGTTTCAGGGTCCTAGGCGAGGGTTTGACCAATGGGAAGAGCGACGAGTATTCGACGAGAAGAAACTCTTCACCAGAGGGAGCGCGGTTGTTACCATCACTCCCATCTCACTGCATACGCAGTACCGTATAGACGAATTACCCTGCACCCGAGCCTTCGTTAACGGCTTTTCCGTCGTAAGCCGAGCCTGCATGGACGGACAACGTGCGTTTAGCTTATTCGCGAAGCCCCTATGAAGGGCACCTTCTGATGATCGAAGAGGCCATATCGTATGATTCAGGGAGCAGATCGGAGGAGGGCGCTCGTGAAAATGTCTATTGAAAGTCTTGCAAGGGGTGAACCTCATCTACGGACTACTTGCCACGCTCGAGAATTCTGATATGGTCCGCTTAGCAATGCCCAGCAACAGCTGGCACGGCTGTACTACCCTCCTCCTGCCATCCTCCTACCAACCACAAGACGGGCGATCGAATCGATTCACAGCTAGGTATCCGTCTTCTACTTTCTCTGCTCCGGTACCTGCGTCAACAGCTTCTCTTCCTTGAGCGCCGACTTGAGATTGTCCAATACCAACAGTTCCATGTCACGCTGCATTTCCAATCAGCCTTCATTCAGGATCATAACACACGAGCTTACCTGAGTCTCGAAGGTCGCGGTTCCAATATGTGGTAACAGCACCACATTCTCATTGTCCAGCAGGCCTTGGTGGATCTTGGGCTCCTCCTCAAAGACATCCAGGCCTGCTGTCGACACTTTGCCGCTGTTGAGTGCATCCACCAGCGCCGCCTCATCAATCAGGGGTCCACGTGCCGTGTTGACGATGACTATTCCATCCTTCATCATGTCGAACTGCGGCTTGGCTATGATATGCCTTGTTGACTTGTTGAGCGCGAGGTTCAGGCTCAGAACGTCCGATGTCTTGAGGAGTTCCTCGAAGCTCACATATGTTGCGCCATTCTCCTCGTTTTCGGGCAGCCTATTTCGGTTGTGGTACTGAATCTTCATTCCGAAAGCTTTTGCGCGCGTTGCAACTGCGGAACCAATACCGCCCATGCCCAGAATTCCGAGGATCTTGTTTCTTGGGTCGTGGCCGAGTTTGAAGTTGCCTCTCCATCTGCCTTTTTCAGGTCAATGCAAGTCTGGCGGGAGCATCGACCATCACTGACCTTGCCTGACGGCCTGGAAACACTGCGTCACATTCCGCAGAGCGCCTAATATCAGAAACATGGCCACGTCGGCTGTCGCATCGTTGACAGCTATCGGCGTGCTCGACACCTGTATGCCCCTCTTTGTGCACGCGGCAACATCGATGTTGTCGTATCCCGCGCCGTTATGGCAAATAAACTTCAGCGAGGATGGCAGCGCCTCAACGAGCTCTTCGTCAAAGTTGCCTGTGATGCTGTTCGATTCGTTGCTCCGGAACATTGCGAATACACCGTTGAACTCTCCATTTCGGCATTTGTCGATGAAGTCGCTGCGCGAACCGTCGGGGTATTCGTAGAGCTTGGAGGCGACCTGTCCCACTTCTTCCCACTCCTTGCGGGTATGATCGAGCTTACCGATGAGAAGGGCGGCTTTTTGCGACATTGTCGGCGGTTTCTTGTGGGATGCTTCTGACTCGAGTGCGAATGGAAGATAGTCGATGGTGACGAGTTTTAGGAGGAAGACGACGCAATCGCGGGCAGCGGTTCCTGGAGCTATTTATCAACAGGACTAGTCGTCTCCCCACAACAACCCGGACCGAGCCGCCCACGTTTGCTCCGCGTACTGTGTAAAAGCTTCCTCCAGGACCGAAGAGACCAGTTATTGTTGGCCAACATGTCAGAGTTTTTCCGACTTCCATGCCCAGACGACCTATCTCCCTCTTGCTACGCCCGTATGGGCTCCGAATTGGGCCCAGCAACTGGTAACCAGTCCTCATGGCCGAATGCCGTGGACTTGATAAGGCCCGATGACGTCCAAAGCTACCCCGCGATAGATACGCGAGTACCCCTCATCTGCCACCATTTTCTCCGAGCCTAGGAAACCCGAATCCGATTTCCTCAAAAAAGTCCGCATCCCAAGATAGTCCTGCGTATCCATTGTGACAGATGGGTGGGAGTTATGGCAGCTAAAATGAGGGAAAGGTCACTGCTTTGTACGATTGACCTACCTGCAGCCAGCCCGAAGGACCTTCCTGAGTCCAAGAAGCTGATATCGCTGTCCCCGCTGGGCGGCGTTTCACCTTGCCATCACTCGGCTTACTTGCTTCGGTAAGAGTCTTGGCGGCAGAAGCTCTCCTGGAGACGACTTCGTCTCTCCCCATCTTTCGAGACACCTCACCGTGCACTTGTCTCCATCCCAAGCATTACCCTCTTTACAAGTATTGCAAGCGGATGACGATGCCACGATGAGCTGTCCCGTCACTGCCCCTATATAATAGCGCTTCGTCTCAAACTTGCTTTTCAGCAGAACCGGCGAGGGTTTGTGGCAGCATGAGCAACTCTTAAATACGATGAACAGCGCCTACTCCGTACAACATCTGTCGAGTGCGGACTTTGACAAAAAGCCGATCGTTATGCAGTCTCATTGGCGTTGGTTCGATTGACCCCTTTGATCATGTCAGCAAAACGAGGCTGACAACCAGACATTGACGCAGGTACCGTGTACAGCCACCCCCAACTTAATTACCGCCGTCAGGATCCGTAGCGTAGGGTCCATTTTCATTCAAGTCACAACTTCAAGCTCTATAGTTGAACAGTGTTCAATTCCAGTTCTTTTTGGAGCAATGAAATCATGCGGCGGAGTTGCACTCTACTATGGTACATACCGGACAGCATCATATTAGGAGTCGCAGATTCTTGTTGATTCTGGACCGGACTCAGCGCCTACTAATAATATTACAGTAAGCTGTACAGGTTGAGTAGGCCACTACGGAGTAGCTCACGCGGATTTTAACCAGAACGCTGTCTCCTTGAATTAGCTGGACCATTGACCGACAACCACCAACGTCGATCCTCTCTCGCCTAAGCCAGCTTAGGAAATTAGGAGATGTTCAATTCCAGTGTCCAAGACGCCAATCTCACAAGCTGGTGTTGGTGGAGATCCGCTTACACCCTCTTTGGACCCAAGACTGCTCGAGCGTTGCGGACGTAAGCACCGCTTTACGTCTGCGGTAGGTACGGAGTAGTACTGCGCCCTTTCACATCCGACTGAACAGACAGGGGGTCGCAGGGGTATAGCTAACGCTGTGATAGGCCTGAGAGCGCCTCCGTCCAGGTATAATGAGCCTTAAAGCACCGTGCTCTAGCGGCGTAAACTAGACTGTAGCCAATTGAAATGCTTAAATTAGGTGATCTAACTCAGAGCAGCAGTACAAGGGGGTGTTCAGTCGGATGTGAGCGGGCGCAGTAGAGGAGGCTGCACTAATACAACGCAGGATCGTGGCTTGCAACTCAATCTTGAAGAACCACAGTTAGCGAACCCCGTAGACTGCCCGTGCTCTCTTTTATATAAGAGGCAAAGTCGCACATTTCAAAGGAGAAGCGGCAAGACAAGTTTATTCTTACCTTCCCTGCCCCCAGCACAACTTCAACCATCTTCTCCGACCACGTCTCCCATCATCAATACTTTCCTCCTTTGCTCGTCGCCATGAAATTCTCCATCGGAGCAGCGCTTTCCTTCGCCCTCCTTTCCTCCTCGACCCTCGCGGCCCCAGCTGTCTCCCCAGTTGAAGCCAGTGCCCTCGATAAACGAGAACAACGTAGGTCCCACACCCCAACCAGTGGAGAGGGAAACGCGGACTGACGCTCCCCTCCCAGCGCTATGCACAGGCCACGCCCACGTACGCGATCTCGACTGGCACGCCGCAGGAGGTGGATATGACAGGTGGTTCTTCCAATTCGCAGGCTTCTCGTGCACCGAGTTCGGCGACACGCTGAACCGGTTCTGGATGTGGGATGGGCCGATTGCGAATCGTCAGTGCTACGAGAAGGGTAAGTTCTCTCTTTTGGTGTCAAGTACTGTCTAGTTTGGTACCCCAGTGGAACGCGCGAAGTTTGTTCTAACGTGCACTCTCCCAGGCGACGGCCAAAGCTGGTACTACGACATCACGGTGCTGAAGGGCGAAGCCATTTACGGCCCGCTGCTGGCCTCCATCAGCGCCGTCACGGGCCAGCCGTGTACCGATATGGCGCTGCCGGACTGGGCGCTCGGAGCGTGCCAGGAGAATGTGCTCCACCCGAGGAGTAGCATGTGTCTCTGTGACGCTGCCTGCAAACTCCGGTACCGTAATGCTTAACGTTAGGTTAGCGCGTAGTTAGTAACTACTTTACGTAACCTTGCTTGTATTTCTAGTATATAGTACTGTGCCTAGCAACTCTCTGCTCTTTAGCGGAGTATTTTTGTTAATACAACCTATAGCCTACCCTTTTATATACACCGCGTAGGCGCTCCCTTATAGTCTTAAGTACTAATAAGTTGCTTAGGGTAAATACAAGGGGATAAGAGGACGGTGTGTATAATTTGTTTAAGGAGGGGTAAGGGGAGAGCCTTTTATTCTCTAAGGTAGTAACTTAGGGATATAGGTAGATCATTTATTTTAGTGTCGAGGACTGGACGCGCTTTTCAGTTTGTAATTATAGTCGACACAGGGAACCAATATCCCCTTTTCTAAGTTAGGCAAATGCGAATTGTAGATTTTCGATGCCGGCCCTCTGTGTGCTCTGCTTGGAGAAGAGTTGCGAGTGTCTTTTCGATTGACGGCAGGTGTCATGGGATGTTTGTTGTACTGCAACTGCACCCTCTCCCATCCCACTGAACACCCCCCTTGTCCTTCTGCTCTACGTTAGTTCACCTAATACTTCAAGCCTTTGAATTGGCTACAGTCGAATTAAGCTACAAGAGTACAGTACTAATGTTCAAGGCTACTTGTACCTAGACGGAGGCCACTGTTAGGCTAATTTCCTGCGTTAGCTATCTATCTATACTCCTGCGACCCCGACCCCAACTGCTGTTCAGTCGGGGTCCGTCGTGAAAAAGATGCAGTGTACCACAACTGTTAGTAGGATACTCGATATATATTGCTGCTCTTCAGCAAAATAGACCTTCTTGGCCTGGCCAGAATCTCCAGAAGGCGTTAGGGACATTATTACTCCCCTTGCTCCTCTATCGTCGCCTCCATACTCAACATAATCTCTTCCACTCCCCTTTCTTGTTGGCCGATCCCCGCCGTTTCTACCTCGTCCTCGAGCTGTAGCAACCTACACTTCCGCCCATCGGTAACCGCTATGGGCATAATTCATAAGCTGAAACACTACCGAAATCTTTTCCCTCTCTTGCTTGTCTGTCTTGCTTGTCTGTCTTGCTTATTTCTTTTTCTAGTCTCTTCTTCTTCATCTTCTTCTTCATCTTCTTCTTCTCCTCCTCCTCCTCCTCCTCCCCCCTTCTTACCTAGTCTATTCTTCTTCACACCCTCCATCATCTTCTTTATCATATTCATTATCATCACTTTCACGTCGCCCCTGTTCGCCAGCCGGTCCAAATCGATCGACTTGATTTCAATTCAATCAATTCAAGCCTATCCATCTCCCAGTCCCTCTGCCCTCTCTCTCCCTCTCCCACTCCCTCCCAAAATCCAGCCAACGACCAGGTCTACTAGAACCCCGAAGACAGGCTGAATACTGGCTCGAACCTCAGGAAGAGCAAGCAAGCAAGCAAGCAATGCAAACCCCCCATCATCCCCATCGTCGATAACCGAGAAAAAAAATCTGTGAGATCCTTCAAGCTCTTTTAACAACATTTATCCATCTAGCCAGAAAGAATGTCTAGTTCCGCCCATGCTTCTCCCATCTGCTTAACCGCACCCGAAGCATCCTGATGAATAATGGAAGGTGAGACAGGCAGGACCCATCTCCAGGCTAGTTTTGCCAGTTACTTGACAGACCCGTCACGGGCCTCACATCAATCATCATACCTCCTATTCCTCATCCTCGTCTACGCGTGCACACAAGCGTCTTTCATGACGAACGATCACTCGCGCACTTTACTTAAAAACCACAATTACAAGTCTACCTACCAATTCAAACAATATCCATCCAAAACCACAAACCAGGTACCGCCCCACCAAACCAGCAAAAATATCATATCAAATACATACCCCGAAGGCAGAGGGAAAACAAAACGCCGCCGAAACTCAACTCCTATGCTCCATCCGTGCCGTCAACGCCGAGCGAGAGTCACACGCTGCTGCGCTGTTTGCGGTATCCGGCGTGAATGGCCCTTCAGATTCCTTTGCATTCTGTGTACCCTGCTCGTCCAGCAGAGAAGGAATCTATGCTCATCCACCAAGGAAGAAATCTATACACCACCCAGTAAAGCTACGAAGTAACCACATCTGTGCGCATTTCTCTGCGACATCTGGTATTTCCGAAGGTCTCGCACCTACTAAACCATCGAACAAGTTGACTCCATCTCAAGAAGAGGAGGGCCAGAACCTCCCACATTGCCGTGTTCTCGCTCCATCCGAATCATTCGTGCTGAGAGAGTTCAGGACGGGTCGCGCCATGGACTTTCCGGCCTTGTGCTTCTCTCTGGATCCTCCCTCCTCAGCAGGGATGGACATGGACCGTTCGCCTGTCGGTCCACGGTGTGTGTCCTGGCTAACCTTGCCTGGAGACATCGAAGGCAAAAGAGTCCGGTTTGTAAGAGCCCTGCCATCCTGAACGGCAAATTACTGGTGAACGCTCCTGAGACGGACCAATCTCCTCGCAAGATCTGCCCTTTTTCGTTCTCGCAAATGCACTTTCCACAACAGCAGCAGCAGATCTCTGGAATGCAATCTGTCGATCCTGGACGCGGGATACGTGACTCGATGGGACCGGTAGTTTGGGGATGGAATCCGTGGTGATCCGTCTCCACCCTGTAGTGAACAGCCCGGATTTCGTTCACGTTGACTCACGGTGCTATGCTGAGAAAGAGCTGCCTCTGTGGTCGGCGGCAGGATTGACGGCCGTTCCAAGTTGCTAGATACCCTTTCCTCAACTTCATCAGACGCTTTTGGCCGGCTGCAAGTAAACTCTTCGAACGCAGTGGAATTCGGTTGATCGCTGCTAGAGCTTCCTTCTGCTAAGTTGCCAGGGCCTGAACTCGGACTTCCGCGCTGAATCCAACTAACCGCGGCTAGAGGCCCTGGCTTTGGAGGTGAATCGTTGGAAGCTTTGTGGCTAAGGGGGTTCCAGTTGCGCAACCCATCATGAGTCCCACTCCGCGAAGGCCGCTGCGCAGGGGCGTGAACAACTGTATCCCCAAGGTGTCGATTGTGCAAGGGGGAAGGCGAGGCTGGACTTGGTGGCATTGTCTGCGGTGTTGTTCTCATGAAGAAAGGACCCAGCAAAAACCCCATGGTAGGCTGCGTTCTCTAATCGCAGATCTTCAAGCCGCAATCACCTATCCCGCCCACGTTCCCCTTGTCAAAGTACCAGTCCTCAGTGATCAATTCCTGCTCCTTGGATCTCCAATCATCCACCTTGGCGGGAGACTTGAGGTCGAGGTCGGCCAGCTTCATATCGACGCGATAGTTGGTCGCGGGAGAAGTCGGCGAGTAGGTGCATCGTAGAAACAGCGAGCAATCTCTCAGGGTCATGGCCAGTCGAAGGTTGTGCATATCTACCTCCTCTCCTAAAACGCCTTGCGGATCGAGCTCAATCTGCTTCTGTTTGAGGTATCGCAGGAGCCCAAATGAGTCACGAGTCAGGGCGGACACCAGGTTTTCCAGGACCGCACGGTGGCCTATTTGATCTGATATCTGATGGGTCTTCGTCGAGAGGTACGTCCTGATTACCTTAGCTGCATAAGGACGCTGGCTTCTCTGGCTAGGCGAGAGGTATAGCGGACAGAAGTAATCGTCCCGACCAGTTTTGCCTGGATCCGAGTTCCTGAGAGCTTGCAGGGCACAGGTGCGACAGCGTAGTGCTCCTTGCGGTGCGTTCGGGGACTGCGCAAGCCATTTGGGCTTCAACTCGATGGTCAAGGTATGTTCATCCGGTTTTGCATGAGGATCCACCGACATGTCGTCCATCAGAAGGCCCTTAAACCTGTATGGTATTGGTATTGCAGGACGGTTTGTGTGTCGATTCATCTCCGCATTCAACCAGTCGATAACCTCATCGTCCAGGAGTACTAGTTCCAGGTCTAGCAGGAAGTGACGGAAGTTGGGAGTGCCTCGGGTGTCGAAAAGTGGTTCGATTTCATGATCAAAGTCGCTCTTGACCTGCTCCGCTGTAAGCGTCTTGGGCAATCCCTTGCTGACGCGCAGGACTTTGAACAGGAAGCCTTTGTGATGGTATAGGTGGTCGCGTGGTCCGACGAAGACAAACGGCGGCTCGTCCTGCGAACCGACTTTGTATTCCACAACGCGGAACACGACGTTGGCACCGCCCTCGGCGTGATAGCGAAAGGAGACGCAGGCATGTGCTTCTTGAGGTATACGTGCCGGGCGGCACCGGATGGAAGCCATGACGAACGAGAGTGTGCAGATGTGTACGGAGTATGTAGGATGAGTTCAGAGAATATAGGTAAAGAACGTGAAGAATATCATGGTGAGGGGAATGGGTGAGATGTGGAGGTCGAGTTCTGATATGGCAGACTCCCAATGCACTCGTGGATTCCGTTGGGAGGCTTAAGGGAAGGTGGGAAGTGGCGGAGGGTGAAGGTGAGGTTGCCTGTCTGGTCAAGGATGACAGGCTGACAATGAATGGTGCAGGAGTCGTCGGGCGGTTTGGTGGCTTCAGCAGCTTCAAGCAATAGCAGTAGCGGTAGCAAAGGGCCCAGAAGTTTTCCCGTAGTCTCCAGTTGTAGGTTATGCTTGATGGCAAGCAGGGGAAGGCTGTGGCTGTTGTCAAGCTGGGTGCTGGGTGGGCCATACACAGGCCGGCCTCCCTAGAAACTGAGGAACCTGCCCTCAAGACTCCTGAATTCAACCCCCATCCACTGAAAAAGAAGAAGACGCGAGAACGGTCGCATCGTGGGGGACGAAGAGAGAAAATGTGAGAAAGGGGTTTGGTCAAGAAAGAGAGCTGAGGCTGGTGGTACTCCCAAGCTTTTGCGAGGCGTTCTTCGCAGCAGCCAATCAGAGCGCTCCATTGCCTTCATCTCACGTACACTCCCCAGCACGAGGACAATGAAATAGCGGTCTAATAATAAGCTCAGATGACCTTCCGATTGATGCAATAAGATCCGTTAATTCCAGACAGTCTTATGGTATGATATGCGGTGAGTGATGGCATATGCCCTTGAAGGCCATCTAGAATACTACCATTCCATGAAATGCATTGGATCCCCCTGCCCGACAAGGGGTTTGTATATGTACACCCTGAGGAAACAAAACGCCGATGCCCCTGGGTATAGTCAAAAACAGTGTCATGTCCCTATGCCGATTTCGTAGCCAAGTAACACCTCTGTGTTGGTGCCTTCCCATCCCCTGTTTCCACCTGTGGATATCATGTACGAGCACGTCGGATCCAGGTATAGCTGCGACACGACACCTGTGCGATGGCCGGGTATGATCAAGTATGGCACCGCCGAAGTCCGGGAGCTGTCCTGCTCACGCAGGTCATACAACCGGAGAATGTCATGTGATGCGCTGGCGCTGGTCAGCACGGGCTATATCTCATGAAAGTTCAACTTTGACATACCAGACGAGATGCTTCGCATTTGGCATGGCACGCACTGCGCTGACGGCGCCGCTCACACCTGGAAACTTGAATGTTCTGCGGGGCTCCCTCAAGCTCTTGTGTAGGCTATATTCATCTACAGTGGCATTCCGGCGGCCAGCATAGATGAAGTTGCCGTCCGGGGACCAGCATGCATTCATGCACCATGGCGGGGTGGATCTAGGAGGTACGATTCGTGCAATCGGGTTCTGTTGTCGCCGGTCCCAGATCCGTATCGTGCCGTCTATGGAAGCATCCATGAACGTCGTCTCGGATGAGCTTGGTTGTTCGGCTTGCGCCGCTCCATTATCTCGAAAAACTGTCGTGATCTCCTCGGAGTGTGGAAGTCCGTTTGCGACGGCATCTACAGCGGAATTACCGTTAAGCATTGCATCCGGCTGAGCGTTTGTGGCAGCGTCGGTCTGCCCAGCTCCCGATTCCGGTTCAGGCGCCTGCACAGGCCCGCCTGCATCCATCATGTCGAGGTCTGCGTGTGAGTTGGCGTCCGCCCGTTGAACCTCGCTAGCAATCGCCCTGGAGAAGTCATCTTCGTCGTCCTCACCGAAAGGTGCCAATGCCGAGGGTCCGCCTGATGGGTCCTTGTCGTCCCCGAACAAGGATGCGTTGTCTCCGAAGAGGGAGTCCACGGGTGAGCCGGCCGCATCCTCATTGAGTGCTTCATTGCCCGCTTGACTCGGACGCGCCAAAGATGCCGCACCATTGGTGAGGCTTCCGTTAGCAACCGGGCGGGCGGCATTGTTTGATGAGAACGTGCCGTTCGGCAAGGGTAGCGTCTCCGTGTCTTGGGGAATGGGCAGGGTAGAGAGAGGCCGCTGTTCAATAGCTGATATCTGGCTACCACTGGTTTCAAACTTCCGCTTGACCTGCCCAGTGTTCAGATCCCAGTCGTTGATGGTTTTATCCCAGCTTCCGGACAGTACAGACTGCTCGTCTTGTGATAACGTCAGAACGGAGACAGCGGAGGTGTGCTTTCTTAGGGTGGTGATTCGATGTCCTTCCTGATGCCGAACAGACTGCAGGTTGATTCCGCCAGATTCCGTACCAGACAGTAACCAGAGCGCCTGGTGATGCACCGCAAGCGAGTAAACGGGCGAGAGGCTGACTGCGTCCTCGAGGCCATTCCGCTCTGCCGTGAATGTCAGACCAGGGCGTGACTGAAGTTTTTGTGCGATCCAACGTACCTGCATTATCCTCATTTTCCCAGTAACTCAACAGTACGCCAGCCTTTGTGACACTGTCGACAAACGGATGTCGTTGATTGACAGTGAGTGCCAATTTCCCATTCACGGTATCGACCCAATTGAACTTTCGGATGTAACCATCAGCACCGCCACTGAATACCCATCGCATGTCTGGGGTCGCCGTGATGGCGTTGATTGAGGTGCTGTGGGGGGCGGCAATGGTAGGAACGATATCATAGAAGGCTGCAGTGAGAGCCTCAGGGCGCACTGTCGGTCGGAAAGGGAGGCCGCCAGTAGCGGATGTCGATGCAACTCTCGGAGATGGCGAGGTAAACGTAGCCGTCTGGTTTCCGCTCTCTCCGGATGCATGTGGGGAGCCTGCGGTTTGAGGGGCTTGCGAGGGACTAGCCGCCTCGTCCTGTTCGTCTTCGTCATTGTCGGCCTCGCCCTCGCCCTCTTCGTCGTCATTGTCATCCTCGTCCCCTTCAGCGTCGTCCACGTCGCCATCACCCTCGCCTTCTGCATCCCCGTCTCCTTCGGCGTCGGCGTCCACATCGGCATCTACGTCGGCATCGTCCACATCCTCCATGGCCTCATCTTCATTCTCATTGTCTGAACTTGTATCCGGGGAGCCTGTGGGAAGGGTCAGCAAATTGTTCACGCGCGTACTTTTGAAACCCTTGCCATTTCCGTTCTCGTCGTCATCGTCAAAGTTCATGGTGCATCCGATGGCTACGGAGCAATCATAGGCGCACTCGAAAGTGAGTTTACCGCAAAGAGCGGGAGCTTGCGATGGCGCGGAAGATGGCACAAGAGAGAGACGGGGGGGGAGAGAGCAGAGCTACTATCGAGCTATTCCACGCCTCGTGCGGTGGTCGGGCGGTATCCAATCGCGGAGTAGTGATGTTCAGTAGTGAGGTGATGTCGGGGAAGCGTGGGGAGCCCTGGAGCTCCCCCAACCGCAACCCTAGCACTTCAGCAAAGGTCGCGGCTTACTCAGCAGCCATCCATAAATACTACCTTCCACCGTCTGCAAGCATCCGCATCTCACTGATCAATTGCCGCGAAGCTCACAGACGACACTTGGTCTCAGCCATGCAGCAGATTTACAAACATCCAGCTCGGGTTGATGCGTCCAGCGTAATGCGACCCCTCCAGCTCGGCCGTTTCTGCACGGAACAATGTCAGAGCGGAAAGTTGCTGTGCACTGTGTACCATACTGTGTAGAGAGACAGTCTCGAATTCTCTCCAGTAGGGACTCCATTAGGGTTCCGGAATGTATTCATTCTGCCCTTGCACTCTGTTGCCATGGAACATAACAAATAGCATGAGGGGCGTGCAACTCTTGATTGCGCTCGCTCCTCTGCACAATCGCGCAAGCCGCCTTCGATTTGCGGTCAAGTATCCTTCTGTTTGGCCCTTCTCTCGTCTCGAATCTCTTTCACTGTTTCAGTGCTCCGCTTCCGCCGCCTCTCAGCTTCCCTCTTAATTTCTATTGTCTGGCTTCTACCGTCGTTTGTCTCACTCTCCTCGCGTCAGTGGCATCATTCCGCCTGTAGCATATCCGGCAGCGGCCTCCCTGCTATACGACGCTTCATTTTCGTTTGCTGCTTTTGTATCTGCTGCCCAAGGTTCACGGCTTGCGAGCTGACAAACACGCGTCAGCTGGGCGTGCGCGGCCGGGCACTGTTTGCATCGTACCTTCCCAAAATCGACCGGAGAAACCCTCTGCACGCGTCTGTCCTCCACAACACAACACCACCACCACACACCAGTGATAGCCTCTTCAATCCACCTGTAGCTTGCCCAACGACTTTCTTTCAGAATGCCAGGGAGGAGAGACCGCAAGCGTCGCCCTCAGCATCACCTCCAGCTCCAGCACGAGCGTCGGCAAGAGGACGTCAACAATATGTTTTCGACGCTGGCCAGCATCGCAGATGAAGAGAATGGTAAGTTTCCAAGGTGAAGGGCGTCTTCCGCACATCCCTGAGTGTGCTTTGGGCGTCGTACTGTTCGATTCAGAGGGAAATCGCTCACAGCACCTCTAGGAGAACTGAATGCTCACCTGACCGAGAGATTCGGCATGATGGTGATTGCCGACATCAACGACTCGCGCCTCCGGCCGCCTACCACGCGGGTAGTTAAAACCACGAACGAGATTCGTGAATACTACAAGGAACCACAGGCGCCTGTGGTCGGTGGAAACTGGGTCAGCAAGCCCGAGATCCCCACCCCAGACGAGATAATGATGCCGTCTCATGCGGTGGACAACCGTGAGACCATCATCGATGTAACAGAAGGGAAAAGCCCACTGCGTCCGAATAAGGTCCTCGGTGCCTACGAGAGCATCGATGAGTACCTGGGGACGCAGTATGATCTCATAAGAGAAGATGCCATCGGTCCGCTGCGGGAGGCCGTCAGACAAGTTCGCGAGTCGCCGTACCTCGATGAGGTCGAGTATGAAGGCGGCAGCATCGGATTGTATGAGCCAGTATGTATAGATTGGACTCCTTCCAAAATACAAGTGTGGAATGGCTCACTGATCGCTCGAAGGTCTATATCACTTCAGTCATCTTTTCTCCGCGCGGATTGGCCGTCAGAATCGCCTTCTCCCTAAGCCGAGTCAAGAAATATATCCGCTGGGAGCAGTCGAAGCGTCTGATCACGGGCACCCTCGTGGCTCTGTCACCAGCAGACGATTGCTTTCAGTCCAAATGCTTGCTCGCTACGGTTGCCGCCAGGCCTCTGTCTGCGCTACAGCAAAATCCACCCGAGATCGACCTTTTCTTCGCCCGCCCCGAGGACATATCGATAGACCCCATGCAAAAGTGGATTATGGTTGAGGCTCGGTCAAGTTTCTATGAAGCCAGCCGCCATACCCTACAGGCACTTCAGCATATGAGCCGGGAACCATTCCCTCTCCAAGAGCACCTTGTCGGCTTGGACAAGAACATAGAAGCACCAAGGTATCTGCAAAAAAATCCATATGTCGACATGAGTCCCCTTGTTGCTATGAACGAGGAGGACGCATTCCAAAATATCAACGTTCTTACGGACTGGCCTGACTCGAATGCCCACGGGCTCGATAAATCCCAATCAGAGGCGCTGAGAATGATGTTGACTAAACGCCTTGCTACTGTCCAAGGCCCGCCTGGTACTGGCAAGACCTACGTTTCCGTCGCGGCCTTGAAGATTCTTCTGGCGAATACGGCAAGAGATGACCCACCTATCATCGTCACTTGTCAAACGAATCATGCACTTGACCAGTTGCTGCTTCACGCTGCAGAGTTTGAATCTCAGTTCATTCGACTCGGCGGCCGCTCAAAAGATAGGGGCAAGATCAAAGAACGCACTCTGTACGCAGTCCGTATGAGCTTCTCCCAACCCAAGACTCCACATTCCCTTCGATTGCAGAGCCTAGCAGCGCATAGGCGGTTGACTAAGGAAATGCAACTGTTGTTGGCCCCATTGGAAGCTGGTCAACCTCCCTTGGACCACAGACTGCTTATGAGGCTTGGGGTGCTTACCGTGAAGCAAGGCGAATCCCTGGAAATGGACTCCTTATGCGCTATGGGTATCCCCGCCGATTCTCCGGGCATTCAAATGGAGCAGTGGATCGGGAGATCTTTGGTTCCTTGCACTCATCCAATGCGTCCAGACGACTTCGGCACACAATTTGAAGAGGATGATTTCGAGGTGGAGCAGCTTCAGGAACTTGAGGCAGAAGCTGTGGCGCAAGACGACGAGGACTTTGAGACACTGAGGGGGGAGCGGACTCTGCTCAATGACAACGTCAGAGGCAAGCCAGGAACTCGTGAAGATGATGAGCTCATCGAATTGCTAAGACACACTGATGACCTCTACACTATCCCTGTCAGGGATCGCGGCTCTCTCTACAACTATTTCCAAAGAGAGACAAAACGGCTGCTTTGCGAGAGGTTCCGTGTGCTCGCAAAAGAGTATCAAAAAATCGTTCTGCAACTCAAGATAGCACGTTGGGAGCAGGATTACGGGATCTTGCGAGATCAGAAGTTGATCGGGATGACTACGACGGGTCTCAGCAAATACCGCGCACTTATTGCTGCCCTCCATCCAAAGATTGTCATGGTTGAGGAAGCTGCAGAGACACTTGAAGCTCCAGTGACTGCGGCCTGTCTCCCATCTCTAGAACACCTTATTCTGGTCGGTGATCATCAGCAGCTGCGGCCTCATTGTCAGGTCCGGAACCTTGAAGATGAGCCGTTCAATCTCAACTTCTCGCTCTTCGAACGTATAGTTCTCAATGAACTCGAAATGGCTTGCCTCACAAGGCAGCGACGGATGATTCCGGAAATTAGACGTTTGCTCCAACCTATCTATGGAAAGAATCTCGAAGACCATCCGACGGTGAAGAACTCGAATAACCGTCCACCTGTGGAGGGCATGGGATGTGTTAACTCGTTCTTCTTTCACCACGAATGGCCAGAGTCCGTCGACGGCAACAGGTCATCCATGAATGAAAAAGAGGCCGACATGATTGTAGGATTCGTTGACTACCTCGTCCTAAATGGCATCGATCCTGCTAAAATCACCGTCTTGACATTCTATAACGGTCAGCGAAAATGTATTGCCAGCAAGTTAAGCAATCACCCGAACCTGAAGAGTCCCCACATAGCACCAATCAAGGTGGTAACGGTTGACTCCTACCAGGGGGAGGAAAACGATATCGTTATCCTCTCACTAGTCCGATCCAACAAGCGGCACAATATCGGCTTCCTGTCTGTTGACAACCGCGTGTGTGTCGCTTTATCACGCGCAAGGAGAGGATTCTATCTGTTTGGCAATGCAAGAATGCTAGCCTGCGAAAGTGCTACGTGGGCTGAAGTCGTGGAGACTATGTATGGAAAGAAGGAGTCAAGTAAAGAGGACAAGCGTCGACATCTAGGATTCTTTCTCCCATTGCAATGCCAGAGACATGAGCGTAAAGTCTTCATGCAAGGTATGCAGTCCACAGTTGATGTTGGTCATTGCCAGTGTTTTATCATGCTAATCGAAACACAGAGCCTGAAGACTGGGAACTAATCAACGGTGGGTGTGATATGAAATGTCGCTGTCTGCTGCCGTGCGGGCATATCTGCATGAAACGCTGCCATCCGTAAGTTGCCAGCCAAACAAAACATTGCATCCACACTGACATTTCACTAGATTCGCCGCAGATCTGATCAACTGCACGCAGAAGTGTACGAAACGAGTGGAAATGTGCGGCCATCCATGCACTAAGCTTTGCTGCGAGCAATGTGCCTGTCAGAGATGCGATATCCGTAGCGACGGTACCCATCCCATGCTGAAACCCATGCCGCGGAATGGCGCGCGGGCTCCCAAGCAGTTGCCTCCGCCTCCACCTGTTCCTCTGCTGGGCGAGACTTCGGGAGATCCGAGCCACGGTGTCGGGGACTGGCATGCCTACGCCAACGGAGGCCACGCAGCCGACGATGCCGAATTCGTCCGCAAACTGCAAGAGGGGAATACGAAGTATGTCGAAACTAAAACTGCAGCCGAAGCTGCCGACACGGGGAAATTGATCGAGCTGTCACCGGCCACGGAGAAAGTTGCAGCATCATCACAGAATGCGGAGCTTTTGATCGATGTGGATGCAGGTGTTGGGGGTGGTTCTCAGACTTTGGAGGCCCAGCCGAATGGAACTTCGTATGCTGCTGCTGCTGCTGCGGGCAAAAAGGGCAAGAAGAAGAAGACCAAACCTGTGCAGAATCTGCTGGATTAGGCGTCTCGCGCGCCTGCCTGGCAGAACTTCTACTACGCTATGCTATCCCGTGGTCAGGCTTCCTGGAATGGACGTGGTAGAGAATACGGGGAGGAACTAGGAGTTGATCTCAGATGTACGATTTTAGAGCTCCCATCAAGCTGATCTAGCAGTGGGACATGAGCATGGGAGTGGCACATGCCAGGAGAGGTGGCACCTTTTAGTGTGCGAGTGTGCTGCTGTGCTGCTGCAATAGCTATGTCGGCGTTCAGGATAGAGGCGAAATGCAATGTACAGGCTTTTATAACCGTGTGTTTCCAACGGTTTCTTGCTTGGGAAAGTGTTGATGGGGTAGATCCGAGAGCTTGCCCATGCCCCTATAAAATGCAGACTTCCAACAGTCTAGAACCTCGCCCCGGCGGTAATAGGTTCTCTCGAAACGAGGAGTATGTTGATTTGGTCTGGGTATTTAGAGGCCTCTTCGGTACCCTGTACAAGTGACCGGGCATAAGAATGAGTCCTCAATGCTCACTGTTCTTGCTAAAGACAAAGCATCGCGAATGGCAAAGACATGGCAAATGGAAGATGGTAGACGTGGAACTCCCTTCCCTCCTTCCCTCTTGAATTCCAAGAACATGCGTACTATATTCCCAAGCGTTCAGCACGAAAATCTGGACTGTGGGATGGTTTGTTCCAACGGGGATCTCATGTAATATATATATATGTACATACATACACGGTCTGATTTGTGTACATGAAAATCATCTCCGCCGACTTTGCTTTCTGCACAGCTCTTCTACCTCCTCAAGTCCCGATCGCGGAGCTTGCGTTGCAGCCGGCCCATCTCGCTCCTCAGGAACCGAGAGCGGACCCACCACACTCCCCTCCCTTTCTTGTGGTACGTTGTCGAGGCCTTCAGACACACCTGCTTCGTTAGTATCGCTCGACTGGACACCTTCAAGCGTTCCATCATCCGCGCCGGTCACAACCTCGCGGTACAGCGGGCTCCCCCAAATCTCATTGACCTTCCGTTTATAGGCACTGAGACGCAACCGGTTCTTCTCTCTCACCACCCGATTATACCTCTTGAGCAATGGCCCCGTCCGAAACATGACGCCGAACTGCGTGTGCAAGGTCCTCCTCAACGCGTCCTCGAAAATGGGTACGCCGCGATCCCGCAACGCCACCAGAATCCGCAACCCCGCAGCCCAATCCAGACGCCGAAGGATTCCCTTCCTCAGGAAACGTAAGCGGTGGTGCTTCTTGGCCGCAACGCGGGAGAGCATTGACTGTTCGTACGTCGCGTTGGTGGCGAAGCTGAAGCGGAACCCCCAGACGACGATGGCCCGTTGGAAATTCTTACCGAAGAGCCGATCGATGGTATGCCACTGCTCCGGGAATGCCTGGCGCACCTTTGCGGTCGCGGAGTCCAGGAAAGGCGATTTCGGCAGGTGGGCGAAAACGGGGTTGTCCCGGGGAGCGTACCAGCACAGGAGCCAGATGAGAAGGCGTTGGAGCTCTCGCAGTCGGCCGTAGAGGCCAAAGCGCCGGATGAGTTCGGTCCAGGCCACTGGGAAGACGACGCCGATTCCAGACTCCAAGATCAAGATGTAGCATCGGGCAAGGAAGCGAAGGTCATCGACTTGGCCTGGAACGGATACGTCGGGAAGGCGGTGCCTTCTTCGTCGTCGGAGAATCGTCTTGAGCGCTTTAAACGAATCCTCTGACAGGAGAACCCCGTGATCGCGCATATCCTCGAGCGTCTTCACAACCTGTGTAGGGTGGAATCGCTTGATCCTTGCTTGCAACAATAGGTTCCAGGACTCTGTGCTGACATCTTGATGGAAAAGAGCGAGGATAGCAAGCGTACGGTGGGCTTGCATGCGATCGTCTTCCTCGAGATACTCATTGAGTAGTTCCTTCTGCACCTTGGCATCGTCGAACACATCTGGATGCTGGTCACAACGAAGCAAGCTCCGTACCAGGCCGAATCTGCCTTCCATGGCAAACTTTTCCAGAGCCAGTGAGAAGACGCAGCCGTGCAGAGCGATCCCACCCTCCTTCAGCTCGCGGAATCTTTCCGGTAATTCGGTGATGGGATCGGTTCGCAATCCCATTTGTCGCAGTGCCACTGGTCCAATCTCATTGACTCCGGCCAAGATGAGACCCTTGATGACGGAGGCCGGAGATATGGCTTTGGTAGCGAACAATCTTGCACAGAAAGGGTCATCAAACCGGATGGGAGCGGTGTCTCTCCCTTCGAGACGACGCATAAGTTCGTGGTTGAGCTTGGACTTCTTGGGTCGTGCCGGGCTAGAAGGCAGATCCAGATGTCGTGCAATGGTGCCTTGATCAGCTCGAATCAGAGAAATCGGGTCGGGAGAGGAGATTGAGGAGAACTCGGCAATGAATAGTTGTACAATGGGGTGGGAAGCAGCCGAGGGAGAGGGTAGGTCCTTCCGGTGAGTGCACATGAAGTGCCACCGACGAGCCAGAGTGATTTCGCCTTGATCACAAAGCACGGGGACGATCTCGTCGTATACATCGACTTCGCTGCTGCTTCTATAAATATCCATGAACGTAGATAGAGTAGCTTCGTCACGCGTCGGCTTCGCTATCTGAGCGAGCGCGCGCAGTGGAAGCTTTCTCAACCGGAGCTTGTGCACCAGCCGATGATGGATATTCATGGCGAATTCCGGATTCTTTCTGAGCCAGCGTCCCATACACAGCTCGTACAGATGGGGATAGACCTGTCCTGTCTCGTCATAGTAATGCGCCGCGTAATCGATCACTCGCAGTACGATCTGTGCGTTCTTGAACAGTGTGCCCCAAATGGCCCTCGCCTCCCGAGTGTCGGCCGTCGGAATTCTGTATCCTGTATGGAGCATCATGAAGTAGACCTCCTTTATCCCGTCGAGTCCTTGTAGCCTATGTTGGTACGCCAGCAACTGTGCCCATAAGACCGCCTGCTCCTCCTTCGGAGCTTGGGCAATCCTCGCTGGATGCCAACGGTCAAGTATTTTCGTCTCATCGCTGAACTTGCTGCCTCTTGGATTTAAGTTTTTGTATCGCCGGTCGATGTCGATACTGTCGCGGACATCGGACTGCACATCTTCGTTCGAGTTGGAGCTGCCAGTATCTGAAGAGTAGCATCGGTACGAGGATGCCGCGAGGAAACGCTGGGCAACTAAGACTCGGAGGGCGGCTGGGCGGTTAAGCAGCCTGTCCAAGGCAGCGGGCATGAAATCTTTCAGGCGGGTGGCCCTTGAAGTGACCCCATCGGAATTGGACACATCAAATCTCCAAGGAGTGTTCAAGATAATCTCCAGCACTGCTTGATTTCTGAAAGATTCGGCTGACTAAGTATCTTGGCGCGTCATTGCTCTCCCGATCGTGCGGTTGCATCAACCGACTTCAACTCAACCCTGCAGCACCGCCAGACTACCTTCCCCCTTCCGAACCCATACCGCATACTCTCCGCTCTCCAAAATGGCCGGGTACGTCTCGGGAACATCCGGCAGAGCCATCGAACCCGCGCCAGCGAAACTGACGTCGTAACAGCTGGATCAACCGCGAGAACCGGGTACCTCAGTACCAGCGCATAATGCAGGGCGCCGATAACCTCAGACTCTGGGAGAAGGTGTGTTCGCTCTACTCGGTAGCTGGATGGAATCTGACATGCCGATTCTCGCAGGCCCGCGGCAAATGGATGATTCCCGCCTACAAGGTGCTGCTCTTCACCACCTTCGGCTCCAGCATGTACATGATGGGTCGTTTGGTTCTGGTATGTACCGGTGATTTCTCTGGAGATTGATATCCCGCTAAATGTTATTTGTAGGGGCACAAGACGTGGTTTGGCAAGAACTAGATCGATTGACACTTGATGAAGCACCTAGCGCATCTCAGGGCGGCTGGGAGGGCATTGTGGCTTGTATCTTGTACAAACAGTCAACAGAAACCGCTTATAGTAGACTTTTCTTTTGTAGGACTCGATAGTGTGGCATTGCCCACTTGAAGCTTGATTTCTCTCAGTGATGTATGAATGTGTGGGTGAAGATGCCACATTCGCCTGGAGGTCACAGGTGCAGTGAAGCTACCAGTCAAACCCACAAAGATCAATTGACCCAGAATTAAAGAGTTGAACTCATGATTCCATCCAGTGTAGCTCCCCCAGGGCTCCAGTCACACTACAGTATGGACAGCATCAATGTGCCCCTCCGCATTGATGCTAGCGCGAACACCAACACCTTGCCGAGCTGAATCGGGACATCATCATCTCTCGACACCACACCTCTGCCTCGTCGCCCAAGCTCTCTCCACTATGGCCGACTTCGTCAAGGGCATCTTTGGCGGCCAGAAGCCTGCTGCCGCTCCAGCTTCCGCTGGCGGCGATGACGGTAAATGATCTCAATTCCCATCTTCTCTCCCCGATCCGGCCCCTATCTCGATCTACCCTTCATCCCCAAGGACCATGCAATTCAATTCAATACTAACCCCCATATTTCAGACTTCGCCGACTATGCAGGTGCCCCGGAACCCGAACCCACTCCCATCTCCGCCATCCCCTCCGCAGACTCCATCCCCTCTGCAGCCCCAACCCCTCCGGCTGTCGGTGCCGTCCCCTACACAAAATGGTACCGCGTCTGGGAGCGCACCACGCTGGACGACTTCAAAATGGAGATGTACGTCCTCCCGTTCATCTTCGTCATCATTGCCGTGCACTTGTTCGGCACGCGCAAGAATCGCCGCAAGGCGCGGCAGTGGGTGAGCGTGCATGCGCCCGTGTTGAGGCAGGAGTTTGCGCAGGTGGGGTACTCGCGGCCAAAGGGGGACGTCGAGGCGGAGGAGCTCGACTTCGACAGGTTGCTGCGCGAGAAGAAGGTGGACGAGTACCTGACGTACGCTACTGGGAGGCAGAACGTGGCGTTTGTCGACTTCAAGTTGACGCTCCTGAAGCGATACAATCCGCTGATGCGGTGGGGAGAGGTGCTCATCGGCTTGTTCTTTGAGAGTCTCCCCGCGCCCGAGGAGCGCATGGAAGCTACTGCGTACGCGTTCGACGGTCAGGAGAGTAAGATTGTGCCCGGGCTCGGAAAGGGCGAGGACAAGAAGAGCGTCTCCAATAGCACGTACGACGGTTTCGTGTTCGCCGTCGTGCACAAGGATCTCATGAAGAGGCTCCGCGAGGAACGCTATGATTTGTCTCTCACGTCGACGAAGGACCATCCCAAGCTTCCGATCTGGACGACGGTGATGAGCGAGAGCGCGGAGGTCACGGAGAAGCTTCTCACGCCCGAGCTTGTCAAGGCTATCAACGACGCGGGGGATCGATTCGAGGCACTTGTCATCACTGACCAGCCTATGGACCAGCCAAAGAAGTACGCATCCCCTTTCCTGGCCCTCACCCCTTGATCAGCACCAACTAATTTTTTCCTTCCCAGACTCGACGAAACCACTCCCCGCAAACGCCTCAACCTCTCCCTCAAACTGCCCTCCTCCTCCTCCCCATCCGCCTATGACTCCACCCTGCCCCTCTTCACCCTCTTCCTCCGCCTCCCCGACTTCCTCGTCTCGTCGGCCCACTTCCGCCCCGAAGCCCTCCGCCGCATCAAGCAGACGCGCGAGGACCAAATCGCCAAGATCCGCAAAATCGAGGAGGAGGAGAAGGCCGAGGAACGCAAGCTCCAGGGCGATCGGGCGAAGAAGGAGAAGAGGGAGCAGTTGCTTTCGCGCATGAGCGCCGAGGAGCAGAGGAAGTATCTGGAGAAGGAGAGGGAGAGGGATTTGAAGAGGAAGGAGAAGAGGAAGACGGTGAAGGCGTAGGTGTCTGTGTTAATCATTTTATCCGAGGGGATAATTGTGGTTTGGTGTGTAGGGTGCATAGGGGTGATGACGGGGCGTGTCTGAGTAGAGAGGGATTGACGAAGGTGCGTTTGCGTCGTAGATATAATTCTGTGTACTTATACAATCACCTGGGAGCCCTTAGGCGCCTCTGAGAAGGACGACCAATTTCAATCAAACAGAAACTGTCCAGATGTGTTTGTGTTCCGCCCACGTTTGCCATGCCCCGTGATCTGAAAGTGATAAAGATTGATCCCATTTCCACGCCTGTTCATCCGAACAGTCCTCGCTCTAATTCTAGCAGTCCTTCGATAATCGCCCTTATCAAACGACATGCTCGGTTGCCCTGGATCTTACATATGCGTGCGCACTCAGTGGTTCCCTCCGATCCTTTTCCCATTCATCCACTCGCGTCAGGCCACTGACCGTCCCTTCTAGTACCACCCAGCGCCATCATCGTCGTCATCCCACGGCTCGCCATTCTCATCCAACCAGAACCAATCCACCGGCTCCCCATACTGCTCCTCGTCCGGTACCTCGTCGTCCTGCTGCTGATCCTCCTCCTGCGGAGCCTCATCCTCTGGAATCTCGTCCTTAGGCTGATCCTCCGCCGGCGTCGCATAGGTCGGCGGCTCAGACTTCTTCCCCCCACCACCACCAGGACCACCGCCCGTCTTCCCCAACTCCGCCGCAATCTTCCTCACATGACTCCAATCATGGCTATCCTCGCCCAGACTCCAAGCCATGACCCCGCCCAACCCATACGCCCTCACAATCTGCTCAAACTTCCTCTCAATCAGCTCCAGCGTATCCCACGTCCAGAAGAGATTATTCTGCCCGTCGTAGTAATACTGCCCACCTTCTTCATGGTCCGTGACACCATTGGCCGCAGCGAGCTGCCAACTCCCAAAGACGTCCGCGTCGGTACATCCCGTGCCGAAGGCATGCTGGCACGCGCCGGAGCAGTGCTCGGGACTGGACCCGCAGTTCCCGTACTGGCTGCAACAGCCACTGGCGCACTTGGTCATCTTCTCGGGTCCGCACGTCCCGTCGTACGAAGTGGTGAGTTGCGCCAGGTCGAGGGGCTGCATGTGCGAGCGCTCAAAGGTCCAGGCGCCGGACGTGAGGGTGTCCTTGCCGGTGACGGGGTCCTCGGCGGCGACGATGGGGCAGCCGAGCGGGGGTTGTTGGGCGCACGAGGGCGTCGTGGTGAAGAATTTGGCGTAGAAGGCGAAGCCGAGGTTGAGCTTGTTGGCTGGGGCGCCGATGGCGAGGTAGTTCTCTATGGATTGCGTGGCGCCCTTGACGGACGTGTGGTGCGCCGTCACGTTGTCGCGGCGGTTCATGAGGTCGTAGGACATGACCTGGGATGGGTCAGTTTTATGTCGGGATTCTTGTAGTTGGTAGAAAAACTTACATTGACGTAGTCGACCGAAGGCCAAATCAGGGGACCCGCCTGCTCAGTGAAGGCAATCATGTCGCCCTTCTTCCCAGGCACGGCGATGGAGAGGATCTTGTCCTTGCCGATAGCTGAGCGTACGGCAGCAAGAAGCTTTGGGAAGGCTTCAATCTCGTAGACCTTCTCCGAGTTGGGCACCTGCTTGTAGTCGGCGCCGTTGCCTCCTGGGTATTCCCAATCAATGTCTATAAAAGGTCAGGACTTCAAAGCATATACGATGGTCCAGAGCAGCACCTACCAACTCCGTCAGCGCCAGTGTTCTCCAACATGATCTTGACGTCCTGGGCAAACCTGCTGATTCCAGCGGGCGATCGAGAAGCTTCACCGAAGCCAATCGTGTCACCCCATCCGCCGATGGCAATCATGACCTTCGCACCGGGGAACTCTGAGCGGATGGTGGAGAGGGGGACCTTCGGCTGGAACGCCGCCGTATTGTTGGCCATGGCGAACGCAAGAATGACATGGTCGATGCCTGCCCGATCCGCTGCGTTGGTTGGTCGAGTGGGATGCCATCTAGGGGAAGTGTCAGTTGTCAAATCACCGGAGCAGTGTAAGTCAACCTACTCGTCGGCATACATCAAGAAGCGAGCGCTTGATGATGCTGCCAGTATGAGCGGCGCGGCAAGCGCCAATCCTGGGAGGCGCATGGTTCGTTAAGTATAGAGCTGTCGAGCTCTAGGGTGGGCGTCGTGTTGTAGAGCAGAAGACTGTGCAAAGCAAGAAGATTCCCTTTCAGTGCTCTTGCCTAGAGGTTGGTTGTCTAAAAGGTGGTTGCAACGGCAAGGAAGGTGCGGACGAAGAAGTAATCTCTTATAACCCGCATTCCGCAAGGACGCGGAACTGTGACGCAGTGTCGTCACCGTAGGAGGCCTTTCACCGCCAGTGTTGCGGGGGATAACCCCTGAAACCAGACATTCACTGTCCATCGTCCAGGTGACGGGGAGGCAAGGGCAACTGTTTTCACGGCTAACATCGCCTAATACAGGCCATGTATTAAAATTCGAAGCACTGTTCCTGGAATGAGACTGGCTGATCCCATATCCCGACTATTACTCTCAACACAAGGCGAGATGGGAGATTGTGTACTTGGATTTTCTCTTGTAGGCGTATTCTGCATCTCGACTGACGGTGAGGTATTTTCACAGTTTGAGAGATTCGAAATCTATACCTGACAGCTGTCAGTCGCGTGTGGTCTGGAAGAGTTCGACACATACCTACCTAATTGAGGGTTGCTGGTGTAACGTGGCTCGTACAAGGAATGTATCAACGCCGAATCCGTACATATCCACTGTAGTGTAGAGGTATCCCATATATCAGACGCTCACAACAGAGATTTTCAGGTCTGAAGGGTCCACTGTTCGGGGCCTGCGGGGAATTCGCCTTGCTGCATGCGCAACCATACTGCGTTACCTTCGACGAAATGACACCGGTAATAGCAAGAATAAATCCTATTCATATGGTCTGATGTGTTTGAAAGCGGTATTTCCAGGGCGTTGTTCTGGGGGTACCTTCACATGAAGCTGAATCGGAGGAAGCGTATGTGGGAGCCGTTGGTGCAGAAGCTGAGCGGGCATGAAATGGACCTTGCGAGCACTGACAGAGCTGAGAAATCAAACGCGATGTACAGACAACACGGAAGACACAAGTCTAAAGGACGATGACAGGAGAGAACAGAAGTTGAAGACTACTCTAGGGATAGGAGGGCGAAATGGCTCCAAGGGTCCAGAGCAAGCTCGAATATAAAGACAAGGACGAGTCCATGTATGAATAGGAGGCGATAGCGGTACCTATACAGAGCTGATCGGATATTTCACTCAATGCACATGTACAATGGCAGCGTTGGGCGGCGGAGTTCAGAACTGGTTCAGAGTGATCCATGGATGATGGGATGTCGTTAGTCTGTCACGTGACAAAGACATGTCCCAACCAGGAATCCATCAAAATAAACAAACCCACAACGCCGAGGCGCGAGCACAAACAACACCAGAAATCGGACGAGACCGGAAGCGCAATTCCCAGCCACCGCAATAATTCTGGCATGGACGGAAATCACATGCCGGCGACCAAAAACACAAAAAGCAGGAGGCTGGGAGAGACATGGATCGTCGATGAGGGGTGGCTGTCAGCACACAGCTGAAAGGGCCCATGAAATGCCTCAGCACGGTTGCACAGAGGGGATGAGATGGCCAATTGGACGCCTCCACGCGTGTGAGAGTAGCAAATGCACATCGTTTCGTTATTCGGCACACCAGAAAGCGAGAAGCTATCAACAGAAAGGTGCACTCTGTTGTTTTGATGGAATTATTACACAGTATGATTGAAGAATTCAGCCCAACTCTGCCGTGATGTTGTGATGCCTCGGTCCAGACGAGGACGGAAGGGGCGGATCACCGGTGGTTGCCCATGCAACACAAAGGGGCTGATGCCAAGGGCCCGCGCTATGCCGTATAGGGACAGCTATCAACAACGCTACCCAACCTCGTCCCCAGCCGCGTCGTCAAACCGCCCTCTCGGCCACTCCCCCACCCCATCAACAAGCCCCCCGGCTTACCGCCTGTTACTTCTTCTCCCTCCTCCGCTCGAACACCTCATCATCATCCGCTTCCTCCCAACCTCTTTCCTGCATCCAATTGCACATCCCCACCCCCAAATCCATCCCTACCTACGAAGCTGGCGTCTTCATAAGGCCCTCTTCGCAGCCCTTCATCCCCTCACTCTCTCCAGAGACCCCTTCAAAGGAGCCAAGAAGTTCTTTCTTGTCTTCCTTTCGAATTGTTCTCGTAACGGTTCGAGAGGCATTCAAGAGAGAACGCCGCGACTCCAGCCAACCTGGACTTTGACGCCCGCGTACCGATCCCCTTCAGTGTCTTCCCGTCCTCGTATCGGAGCGACGCTGTCGTCACCAAACAATCCACCAAAGTCAAGGTAGAAGGAGAAGCACCGCTACCTTCTCAGGCTTCGCACGTCGGACGGGAAGGTCACGAAGAGCATCGCGAATCCTTCTCTGCCACCGTCAACGTCAAGCCCCACGACAGCACCAGCAGCACCCGCCGCGACACCCGCTACAGAGAGGAGGTCCGCGTCTACGAGCAGGACCGCGTCCGCCGCCCGCAGCAGCACCAGCAGCAGCCGCAACAACAACAGCACCTCGAGGAGGTCCGCATCCACGAGGAGACTCGCTTCAGGCAGCCCGAGCATCGACGAGAACGCGTCGAGGTTGAGTTCCAGTCCCGTGATCGGTACGTTCATGTTTTGTTTTCACTTTTTGTGCACGATTCAGAAGTGCTGCACACACCAGCACAACAACCAGCCCCTGAGCTTGGCTAGCCCGCAGCCCGCAGCCACAGCCCGCTTAACCCCCTTCTCTCACTGGTTTATTGTTGTCCGAGCGACACGCATTGGTCCCCACTTTTTCTTGTTGTTATCTCTTCCCTGCTCGACCGCTGGCTGACCCTTCTCTCTTCTCCCTCCACAGCTACCAGCAACCCTACGACCGTTACGTAGGAAGCCACATCGACGTCCAGGACAGGTCCTACGACAGAGAGTTCAACCCTGTCGACGGCCCTTCCCAGTACGCTCCCACCCAGATTGACGTCTCCGAGCGTCAATACCGCCAACGCACCCGTCCCATCGTCGCCGGTGCCGCTGTTGAGCAAGGTTACTCCAACCTCTCGACCCACCCCAGCTACGAGCAACCCTCTCGCTACCCAAGAGAGGAAGTTCGAGTAGAGAAGACTACTCGGACCACGGTCGACGCCCCCAAGAAGTACAAACGTGATATGGGATATTACGACGAGGACGGCCACTACCACTCCTTCCGTCACGGTCTCCACAAAGCTGCTGATCGCATCCTCCACCCCATCCACGGTCACCGCCACCACCACTCGTCCTCGCATTCCAACGTCAGCTCTTCTCACGCCCCTAGCCGCGAAGAAGTCGTTGTAAAGAAGGAAAAGTACATCCAGACCGCCGCCCCTGCCTCCGCTCCCGTCTCCCGCGTCTCCGTCTCTGCTTCCTCCAAGCCCATCGCCAAGGTCCGCTACGCCGCCTCCCGCACCATGGCTCCCCCCAACACCATCACCATCCCGTGCCACCACATCCGCATCGGCGATCTCCTGATCCTCCAGGGCCGCCCTTGCCAGGTCATCCGCATCACCACGTCCTCGCAGACGGGCCAGCACCGCTACCTCGGCGTCGACCTCTTCACCAAGCAGCTGCACGAGGAGTCGAGCTTCATCTCCAACCCGGCCCCCTCGGTCGTCGTCCAGAACATGCTCGGCCCTGTCTTCAAGCAGTACCGTGTCCTGGACATCCGCGAGGATGGCCGCGTCGTCGCCATGACCGAGACGGGTGATGTCAAGCAGGGTCTTCCTGTCCTTGACCAGAGCAACCTGCTCCAGCGTCTCACCGACGCCTTTGACAATGGCCGCGGCAGTGTCCGCATCCTCGTCATCAATGATGAGGGTCAGGAGCTTGCCGTCGACTACAAGGTTGTTCATGGATCTAGGTTGTAGATGGTCTCTCCATTATGGTATGTCTTCACTACTGGGCGTGCTTCTCCTGGAACATGCTTGCTAACGGTCTTCAGTAGGTCGCATCTGAGCATCAATGTGTCACGCTTACACGAAGGAGTTCTTGTGCTTCCTGCCGGCCATGCCATGTCATTTCGAAATTGTGTTCATGTATCTTGTTTGGCTTCGTGAGGGGCCATTGGCAATTGGGACTTTGCTGTCGCGTAACATCCGTGTCGGCCTGCCTTGACGTCTCCCTTTTTGAGTAAGAGGGTGATGGCGCTGGGCGGGCGCTGGCAGGGATGTGGGCAGCAGCGGAGTCGAGGGTATGTGGATAGTAATGAATGGACATGTTTGCGTTGCTTCTATGTTGTTGAATCTGCTGTCTGTGATGTCTTGATTTACTGATGCCTTGGCATGCTTGCCGTTGCCGTCGTCCTGTTTTGACATGTGTTGAAGCCATGTCCTCTCCTTCCCCTTCTGCTTCTGCCCCTGCATCATCCTGGACCCCTAGATCCTCTCCCTCTTCATTTCAGGGTCTCTATTTCCAATACCAGTAATGCATCCGTTTTCTCACTTTCCCCAAGTTCTAGGCTCCCTCCTGTGTCGACCATCCATGATACCAAACCACTACCACTCCAACTTGACTTCCTCCCCCTTGAACGTCTCCTCCCAACCCCCTTCGCCTTCCCCGTTGTCCTTCTGCCTCATCACCACCTCCTTGACCTCCAGCACATTCCCCTTTCCCAGCGATGCACCGTAGTAATGCGGGAACCACTCACCGGGTTCCCCTTCCTCCCACTTCAACGTCCCTTGTCCCTCTTTGCCTTCCCCATCGAGGCCCCTGTCTGCTAAGTCGGCGTATCGTAGGACCAGAAGCCAGATGTGTGGTGTGGATGGGAAGAAGCGGGATAGGACGTGGGGGACTTGGTGGGCGGTGCTGAGGTGGATGTAGTTGGAGGAGAGGTCGAGGGGGGAGAGGGGGAGAGAGGAGGGGAGAAGGGAGGGGGAGGGGGAGGGAGGTGCGGTGGGGAGGATTTTGTAGAGGTGGGTTGGGAGGGGGGAGGGCGGTGGCATTTTTATTTTGGGGGGGAGGGGGGCGGGGTGGTTGTGGTGGTGGTGGTGGTGGTGTTGCTGTGATGGTGGAGGTTGGGTCTCTTTGTCGTTGGTGGGGTTATGGAGGTAGATATGTGGGAACGGTCGATGAGGAGAGTCGGAAGAGAGACTGGGAGAGGGAGAAGCGTGGTGGGATGTATTTTGTAGGGGAGTCCAGCGGGGTTTAGTTGTTGTTCTGGGAGCGGAGTACACAGTATGTATCTGTGAGAAGGTGGGTTGGATTTCTCAGATGGAGGAATCAAGGCCAAGCTCCCCACTTCCCGCTCCTTCACCTTTTCCTTTTCCACCCCTCGCGCCGCCTGATTCCAGTTTCCCTCTCGCTCCCTCGGAAGCGCCAGTGCCGCGCATATTATATTTCCTCCCCTCCAACCCAGCAAGCCGGGAGCACAGGGGCACCAGAATGCCCCGCCTCGACGAACACACGCAGCAGTACCTGCGCGACGCCGAGACCGGCGTGCTGCGCGGCACCGAGAGGGCGTGGGACAGCTTCACCAAGTTTGCGCTGCGGGACAATGTGCTGGAAGTGGCCGCGGGGTTAATGTGAGTGTACAAGTAATCTTTTCTATTCATTCCCCTGCTGTTTACTGTGGTACCGTGGTACCTATACGTCACAGCAACGGGTAAACAAACATGCACACCGCACTCCTCTCCCCAACCCAACAACATACCCTACCATCTATATAACACGTACAATACCAATACTAACAAACACCACCAGCATCGCCACAGCCTTCACAGCCCTAACCACCTCGCTCATCACCTCCATCTTCCTCCCCCTCATCTCCCTCCTCCCCTTCCTCTCGCACAACCTCTCCCTCCAATTCCTCACCCTCCGCCGGGGCCCCGCGTACAACGCCACCTTACCCAGCGGGTACAACACGCCCGCGCAGGCCCTCGACGACGGCGCCGTGGTGCTCGCCTGGGGCGACTTTTTGGATAAAGTGGTGAGGTTCTTTGCGATTGCGGGCGTGCTGTGGGTTGTGGCGTTGGGGTATGGGAGGGTGAGTGGTGGAGGGATGTTGGTGAAGGGGACGGTTAAGTGTCGGTTTTGTAGGAGGTGGGTGAGTGAGGGGGCGAGGAGGTGTGGGGAGTGTACGAGTTGGTTGGATGGGACGGGGGGGGAGGGGGGGGATGGAGATGGGGGGAGTGAGTAAGGGGAGTATTATACAGATTATGGGGGGATGGACCTAATGGGAGTGGGTGAGGGGGGGTGTTAATACAGAGTATAGGAGGGAGGGAGGTTTGTATCGTTAGAGAATTAGTATACCCTATTCTGTTCTCCGCCATGTGTTTGACGCTTCCAAGCACAATCTACATTTCACTTCGACAGTTACGGCTACACGCTAGACCATTCCATGTCTAGATACCCATCTATGTATCCGGAGGGTTTAGCAGATGGTCTACTGTGCAGTAAGCCAGGAAATCGTCGTTCCCACCACACAGCACAGGAGAAGTTTTCCATTCTCTTCCTGCTAACTGCGGAAATGCTGGAGCGGAATGATTGCCATGGTAACTAGTCGATCCCATCGGTACCATGACGATGGCGTACATGAATGTGCATGTACAGCGCAGCATCCATGCATCCATGTACTGTGTAGATCGTCGAGGCGAGGCGGCACATATACGCTACTGTACAGTAGAGTACAATACGCGGGTAAAGCAACCGCGCGATACCTGTGCAAGAAGTGAAGCCATGCTGCAGGAAATAGGTGCAGCTACCCTGCCTGCATCGTACACAGGAGTAGTAATAGTGTACCCCATCAGGATCTCGCCGCGGAGGGAGGAGACACGCACTGTATGAAAGCCCTGCTCCACGATCAGATGATCGCTAGTTGATCTCCCTTTTCCCGTCCTATTCGAGCTGCAGCTCCCGGGACGTCTTATTGCACATTCTGTTTGCATTACAAATTACAATTATCTTACTGTGTATATTCGTATAGCTCTCTCTCTCTCTCTGTGTGTGTGTATGCGTGCTCTGTAGTGCGAAATACGTCTATGGATCCCATAGGTACATAGGTATATGAAGAACAGTGTACTTTGGAGTCGAAAATTGTAAACGCCGACACCGGGGCGCCGCCGAATGCCATTCCAATTCCCTAATACTCCCCCATTGTGTGGCCCCTTTTATCCAAGTCCTCCTTCCTGGAAGGGTGTAGAAATGGTAATGGATAGGTACAAGTGCAGTGCGAATGCTAGACAACGAAACTAATAGAACGAAACAGAGAAGGGCGAACAATTTAGTAGATAGAAAAAAGTCTAAGCGGATAGATGCGAAACGGGAAAATGAAAAGGCGAAAAGAAGTAGAAGGCCTAAAATGCAAATACATGTGCGTGTGCGTGAGCGTGTATGTTCCAGTCTTTCTCAAGGACGCCGGAAAATGCATGCAAGGACGAGGTCAAACAAGTGAAGGGGGAAAGAGTAACGGAAAGAAAAAAAGAAGAAATGGAGAAGAGAACACGACGAATATACCGCCGAAACAATGCAGAACCACCAATCCCTCAATCAAGATCCCTCAAATACACCTCCGTCGACCCTACTGTCGACCGAAATCTTCCATACTCTCTACGCCTCATCCCCCTCACTCGCGCTCTCCTCGACGGTAAACAAGTCCGGACTCGGCTCCCTCCACGACCTCCTCCTCCTCGTCGCGCCCATCAGCGCCGCGGCATTCCCATACCGGCGACGGCCCCGCGCCCTCGGCCTCACCCTCGCCTTCGCCGCCGCCTTCTTCCCGCTGGCGAGCAGTTCCTGCGCGCGGCCGCGCGTGGGCTCCATCTCCAGCGTGAGTCCGAGGTCTTCATCTTCATCTTCATCTTCGTCTTCCTCGTCTTCCTGCTCGGGCGAGGCGGGAGGGGAGATGAAAATGGGCGGTGGACCGCGAAGCTGAGGCGCCGTGTGCAACGTATCCAGCAGCCGATCATCGTCGAGCTGTACAAAGGACTCATCATCTTCTTCTTCCTCTTCCCTATCGTCTCCGTCATCTCTCCCTGCAACCCCATCACCATCATCATCGTCATCGTCATGATACCGCTGATGGAGCTGCACGTGATGCAGCCGCACGTACCGGGCCCACTTCTCCGCGACCGACGACTTGAATTTGCTCGTCTTGGGGGACGTGGAGGTTGCTGACGCGGAGGACGTGGCGTCGGATACGATGATGCCTGCGCTGAGGGAGAGGACGTCGTATGGGTCGTCGTCGTCGGAGACGGGGGAGATGAAGTGGGCGAAGGGGTCGTCGTCGATGTCTGGTAGGTCTTGGGAAGGGGAGGGGGTCTGAAATTGGGTCCTACTCCGGGAAGAGGTGGAGGGAGGGTGGGAGATGGGGATGGGTGGGTCGCAGGGAGGAAAGGAGTAGGAGCGGGGTCCCGGGGAGGATGGGGAGGTGGTGCGGAGGTAGGTAGGCATGGTGGAGAGGATGTAGTTGGTTGGTTGGTTGCCGTCTTGATGTGTGTCTTTGATGGTGTATGTGTGACTGTGTTCTACCGTAGAGGAGAAACTTGTTCCTTTGATCCTTCTGGCTCTTCCTCTTCCTCTTCGTATGATGGTGTCCGGCCCGCGGCCGGTCGAGGGTTGAGGCAGCAAACGTCGGGAATCCAAGAACAGGGAAAGGGGAACAGGGCCAGTAACGACGGACTTCCTTTGCAGATGTCGAAAGAAGCAAGGAAGAGGGGAGAAGAGAAGGAAGTCAAGTGTCACCGCGCCTCAGTGATTCAGTGATTATATACGTGACAGCTGCAGGCGGCCTCTCGTCAACCTTGGATATTCAAGTTCCCGTGCGTACACCGTGACGGCTAATGACCGAGGCGCAGTATGTCAGTCAAAGTACCCGGTGGGAAGGGTGTGTGAATCATAGGACTGAGACAACAGTGACAAGAAGGTGGTGGGTGCTGCCTTGAGTGTGTGCAAGCGTTTGCCTGGTGGGAGAGGCCAGAATGGTTAATGAGGCGGACGGGAAACGAAGGAAACCCAAATGCTCTAACCCCGACAGTTCCCTTGGAGCAGCACCAAGAAATGGGCAGAGAGGAAAGGAATAAAATGGAAATGGATAGTAGAGATACTTATACCGAACGCCATGCATCTTGCAAGTAGTCTACTGCCCGCCTCACGAACCTGCACCCCGCGACCGACACCTGCAGCCCACCCACCATCTATGTCCCCCAACCCCAAACGAGCAACGCCCACCCAAATGCTGATGCACAAAATGACCTCTCCCAGCCTCGCCGCCTCCTCTAGGGCCCGCCCTTGACACATGATGGGCACAAGATGGTGTAGGGAGCAAAGCCGCCAGAGGGTCATCTGCAGACGTCCCCTGCATTCCCGCCGCGCGCATGCGAAAGAGTCCAAGACATGCGTCGGCACAGGTTGCGCGGCGGGATATGCAAAGGCAGGGCGATCGGTGCAGGAAACGACCATTTGCGGCTGTTTCCTTGATTCAAGGAATCTTCAGTTTTCGCACATGGGAAAGTCGTGTGCATAAGGGTGGGGAAGAGGGGAAGAGAAGAGTGACAAGAGGGGAGGCGAGAGCTTGGTCTTGGGTCTTGGTCGTGGATCTTTTTTCAAGGCGATCCATCATCACGCGCGCACCGCCAATCAGGCGACAAACCCGCCATCCTTTTCTTCAAGAGATGGTCCTCATCAAGGCCGATCTGAGTGTGGATGCGGCTGATTGATTTGATGGTTCCGAGTAGCACCGTAGCAGTAGTCTTGCTAGTGCAAATCCCCCGCTATTTCCGTGAAATTCTCCTCAGTTAGCTTGAAGCGCCCGAAGCGGTGAATTCTACAGAGTGTTGTGGCAAACCTCAGTCTTACTGTCAGTACACCGTATGAGGCCGACATGTTGCTCAGCACCGAGTTTACCAGAGTAAAGCCCGTCATCAGCTCACCACCAACTCTGATTTCCTCTTGCGGCGCTGTCTTAACTGACAAAGCCCGCACCACGCACACCAATACACCATCAAGTGCCCGCGCGTGCGGCTCACCCACCGACCCACACCATCTATCTGCCATCAGAGTAACAGTAAGAACCCAATCGCCGTGTCACCTGCAGGTGTGCGCTCATCCACTTGGGCCCTCTTGGCGTGGGCGTGTTGGATGTGCATGACAGCTTGTACTGTATTTGGATATGGCTATCTAGTATTTTCCATGACTTTGCCGTGCCTTGGAATTGCTGGAGTCACTAATAGATACGGCGAAGTTGACAGTGGAGGAGCCGCATCGAGATCGCGATGCTTGCACCGTCCAAGCCACACTTGTTCACAAGCAGTTCGCAGATTGCTCGTTATATTCGTCGTATCACATTCATCGGTTCATGCTCTACCTAGGTACATACAAGCCGTCCATGCGCTCCATACCCATCAATAGCCTCTATCGAGCCTTAACGGCATCCCAATCCTCCAAGCGGAGTTCATCGCTTTCATTCCCTTCCCTGTTTACCTCCCCAAACGCCGACAAGAATGAACAGTAAGCTGTGTACACAATCTGGCAAGGGTATCCATCAACCCCGAACCCCTATCTCGTGAACCACTCAAACATTTACCTTTAATCTAAGCATCGCTATCGCTCAGGCTATCCCTCCGAGCCACAGCCCTCACACCGCCCCTCCGATATCCGTCCATGACGTCCCGCCCGCGTCTGCCTCCGTGGCTGGGACCTCCAACCTGACTAACGCTCTCGCTGACACCGACGCTACAGGCAGAGCTCAAGCCGGGGATGTAGCATGGGTAGGAGAGAGTCCCTTGGACATTGCCGTTCGCCTGGGCGAACATGTCCGATGGAGCATCAGCGTCACGGGATGCGCGATGTTGCTTGCGAGGAGAAGCGGATGAGTGGCGGCTCCTCGCAGCGTCTCTGCTGTCACGGTCGCGGCGCGAGCGGGTGGCCTGCGACAAGGCTGCTGGGTCCGCGTTGGGGCGGTAGTCGGAGTAGTACGAGGACTCGTTGACTTCCGAGGGGGCGGTGCGGTTGTCGGTGTAGGCGCCAGTGTAGACGGTGTTGGTATCATCGCCAGAGACGAACGAGTAGGCGGCGGAGGGAGGAGAGCGGCGGGACTTGCGAGGTGCTTCCGAGGCAGTGTATGTGGTCATGGGGGCCTTGACCATGGGCTTTTCGCTCATGGGAGCCTCACTCATGGGGGCCTCACTCATGGGAGCTTCCGAGGAGGTGGCTTCGGTGTCGGCGCGTTTGCTCTTCTTTGCTTTCTTCTGCTCTGCCTTTTCCCTCTTTGCCTGTTCCTTCTCTGCTGCTTTGCGGGCTTTTTCCTCGGCGGCGGCCGTCCTGGCGGCGTTCTTCTCAATGAGTTTGGCCTGACGCATGCGTTCCTTTGCCCGGGCTTCCTTGGCCTTTTCTTCCTTCTTCTTCTCCTTGGCTGAGACGGTGACTAGAGGCTTCGAGGATACGTTGGAGCCGAGATCCGACCCAGTGTTGGAGAAGTCCGTGTAGACGCCATCGGCCTTGCGATTGAGGCCGCCTACGCGTGCAGGCTTCTCCTCACGGTATGCGCGTACGTCTTGGTCCTTGTAGTTGTTTGTGCCCTCGCGACGATGCTTCTTCTTGCTAGCGTCACCACCACGGAGTCCAAAAGCACCAACGCCACGGCCTTCCTCCACCTCTCGCATCTCACTAAGGTCGGCACTCGTGGCAGTTTCATCCGTGTAGCCGACACTGCTCTCAGCGCCGTAGCTACCGCCATGGACGACACTCCCGCCGCCCAGCCTGGTGCTCTTGGTGGCATTGGACAGGGTCTTGCCGTCCGGACCTTTGCGCCGCAGGACAGTAGACTTATAGTCCTCCCAGTCGTTCTCTCCCCACTTGAATCCGCCATTCTTGGCCCAGAAGAAGAACCACAACGCCGTCAACACCATGCCCATGCCGATGATGGCGAAGAGTGCTTGGAACCCTTTGTTGTCGAAGGCGTCCGGTGGTTTTGTGCCGGCAGAGAAGTCGACATGGCGATCGGCTCGCTTTGCGAGGTGCAGAGCTTGTACGTCCATGGGAGAGAGGGAGCGAGTGTCGGAGTTGATGGTCGGGGCATGGTTGGTCTCGGCGAGGAACGAGCGTGGGAGGAGCGAGAGGAAGGAGTCTGGAGTAGGCGCCATGATGTTGGGTTATCGAATGCTCGAAGACTGCGTTGAGCTGGGCACAAGGCCTGAGCCGGAGCTCAGAGAGGGATGTGGTCGTCGGACAGTGTTTGTATCTCGCTTGGTGATGGTGGGAGAAGGTTCGCGATGTAGGATAAGAATGCAGCAGCGATCGTTTGCTGCGAATCCGCGCAAAGACTAGAAAATAGTCAGAGTTGAACTATCGGGCGGATGGAGTGGGGATGGGTGGGGAGTGTTGTTCCCGCTGTTACTTGTGGTGGTAGTTGTGGCTGGTGTCGAAAATGAGGTGGTTGAGAGGAGGCTGGGGTGACGCAACTTTGCAAACAACCCGCGTCGACCCAGCAACGATTGGATGGACTAGGGAGACAAATATCAGTACTCCGCATCAAAAGATGCTTGATCCGCTAACATTATTCGAAATAGAAGTTCACCGTGCGATTTAGATAGATTATCCCTATGGCGCTGCTCTGCCTAGAGCTATCTCCACTACGTTGGCTCCACCTTTTCCTACCCTGTGCCTGCTGTCCACGGGTGAGCGTCGAGCGAGTCACTACTCAAATGAAAGCTCATCCGCGTTGATTCCCCACCTTCACAATGAAGCGCCTTCATCCAGCCTTGCAAAAAGTACTGCAACAACATGCTCGCCGTACGCCCGGTTTCGCACCCACTTAAACGTGGACATTCGTCTCTTCAAGGTGCAATGACCCAATATGTCGTCCAAATAACCTATATATGCAATGATTCGAAATTCACATCCTACATCTTGGACCAAGTCGGCCCCACCCATCTAGCGCCACTCCTTCCTCATCTCGCTTCTCAATAGATTGAAAGGCGAAGGAATCATTTCTCTGATTCTGCGCTCCCTTTCTTCTATCCCGCGCCGGAAAATGCCGTCCTTTGAAATGCCATATTTGATACATAATGTTTAAATAGAAATTATTATTTAATAACAGGCGGCCCGGTAGTCTAGTTGGTTATGGCGCCAGTCTAACATCGGTTAGGTACACTGGAGGTCCCGAGTTCAAACCTCGGCTGGGTCATTTCTTTTTGCCGTTGTCCATCGTCCGTCAGAGCAAGCAGCGGCGATATTATTTTTTCAGTCTTGTTCTCCTTGGTTGGTCCCCATACGTCCGTTACGGTTCCTGTAGCACAGTAATGAACACTTTTTCCCTTTTTGATATGCTAACTGCTGTCGTTCTAGCTCGCCTTGTTACTATAAGTACCTACTACATATTTCTTTTTGTTCAATCAATTCTCTCCCTCTATAGTCCAAAACTCCTCTCTCTCCACTTGTGCTCCCTTCCTTGCCTCTACACCCCGCAATAATAAGTGAACGGTTTCCGGGAGGCCTGTTACAATTATCAACACGACCCTCCTCCCAGCCATCCCTCTGCACTCATATCCAGTCCAAAACAGCCATCGGCTCATCCAATATAACTCCGTACCTACTTCCCAAAGAAAGTTGACGCCTAAAGAACTTCGAGGTGTCGTCGAATTGTCGTGGAACTTCGCCGAAAAGCGAAGCCTACTTCACTGCGGAGAAGGAAGGAAGAGAAAGGAGATGGTATCTTACCCACCCATCGCTCGGCTGGTGTCCACTGGTAACGGCAGCATGCTATCCTACACCAACCATCCCAGCAGGTGAAGCTCCACTAGTCCGTAGATGATGTTTATTACAAATAGTCGAGGCTGTGTCGGCCTTGTTGCAATTCACTGCCATGTATCCGCCACTCCTACCCTAGACAAATCCTTCACTCCTTCCAATCAAGCACTCCTTCCAATCAAGCACCGAATCATTCGTGTAGATGGGCAGCTCAAAGTACCCAAGCAAGCAAGAAGAAGAAGGGAAAAAGCAAAAGGATGATATTCAGAAAAAGCCGTGGTATCTCAAGCGTAACCAGGAAAAATTTCCAAGAGGAGAGGCATTCATCCCAGAGAACAAAACCCAAACATACGGAACTGAAAAGTGAACAACAACAACAACAGCGTAATCAAGACCAGACGAGAAGAAAAAAGGCGCTCTCCAAGAGCGAACGAAGAGAACAAATCCAAAACAAATCCAAAAGAAAAATAAACACCAGACGCATACCTCTACCGTACCGAACCCAGACCTTATCCATGCAAACATCATAATCGTAACAATCGCCTTTCTCTCTCTCCTTCTCCCTCTCCCTCCCCTCACATGCGACCTCACTCGCCCTCGGAAAACCCCCCATTCTTATACGTTTACCACCGACCCGGCTGCACCGGCACCCCAGGATGCATATTCAGCAAATACTGCGGACCGGGCATGGTCCCGCCTCCAAACACCTTGCCTCCATTCGCATTCCCACTCCCATTTGCGTCCCCGTTCGTCGGACTCCCCGCCCGTCCACCTGCGTAATACCCCGGCCTGTCGACACTAGCCGCGCTCTCGCTCCTCAAACTCGCACTCGCACTCGCACTCCCCACATCTTTCCATCCCTTCAGAGTCATCTTCATCCCCATCCCCATCCCCCTGCCTCCCGAAGAACTCATTAATCTCTGCTCATCCTCCTCCTCCTCCTCCCGCTGACCTCCTCTCCCCCTCCTCCTCCTCGCACACCGCTGCACAATCAAACACAAGAGGAAGATTCCGAGCGCTACAGCGCTGTAGACGAGGATGATGGGGCGACTCTGGCCGCCGAGATGCAGACCCAGGCCCCCCGTTAGGATGAGGCAGACGAGGGTGAGGGAGGCGAAGGGGACGTGGAGTTCTGGGAGGACGGTCGGCGCGAGGCGGGTTAGAGGCCAGAGGGGCAGGAGGACGGTGAGGAGGAGGGGGAAGAGGGAGATGAGGGCGAGGATCTGGTGGGGGGTTTGGAGCGTTCGGGACTGTGGCATGTCAGTGTTGGTTCACTTGAATTGCATCCCATCCCATGAGGAATGGGAAGGAAGAGGAACGGGCCTCCAAAGCACACTCACCCGATTAAACTGCCCCCCAACCACACCACCCACCCCATAACTCGCCGCCAACATACCCACCAACACGGCACTCACGACCCCATGCACCCACCCCCTCCTCCTCCTCACCCAAGCCCCCACGGCAACATTCACCGGCCACACGACGAAAATCGCCAAACACCCCAGAACCGCATGCGCAACTTTCTTCCCATCGTGATCCTTCCTCCCAAAATCCCCATCCAGCATCCTGACCCCCCTCATCTCCTTCTGATTCCCCTCAGGTACACCTCCAACACCCGTGGCCGCAACGAGGTCCATCTCGAACCGGCCGAATCGGCCATGCCGCTTCAGTCCCGCGTTCTTGTCGTCGCTCATCATCGCGTGGCCCGGGCCGAAGGCGAAGATCATGGGCGCGGTGCGGGACGTGACGTCCAGGGATCCGCCGGGCCAGGCGCGGCAGTAGCGGCAGACGGCGTGGAGGACGAACATGCCCGAGTCCGGGTCGATGCGGGTACCTGGGAGGAGGGAGATTTGCGTGGCCGGGGCGAAGGAGGGTTCGGTGTGGGGGCCGTGGAGGGAGAGGCGGGGGGAGAGTGTGAGGTCTGTGAGGGGGAGGTTAGTATTTGGTGTTAGGACTGATCTTCGCGGATGCTGTTTTCGCGAGGAGAGTAGCGCAACATGGAGAGAAGATACTTGGAACATAGACGTACTCTTCCCGCTCCCATCGGCATACACGACAAACATCAGCGCGCCCTCCATCCGGCTCCCAAACCCAAACCCCACCCAGGAGTACGCCGGACTCGTCATGTACATGTACACATCGCCCGAGTCGGAAGTGGTGTCATTGGCGATGTTGAGGGAGAACTGGGTTTCGGTTTCGGGGACGTAGAAGGTGGATGATGGGGGTGAGGTTGGCGCTGGTTGGGATGATGATGACGGTGATGGCGAGGCTATGGATTGGGCGTGTGTGAGGGATGCTAAGATGGGTGTTAGTGGTCATGTATATAGTTGTATCTGAGCGCGGATGATATTGGCCGTGTCTCAGACAAGGCGTCGCTCCCATCTCGGCTTCCAAGATCGATGAAACGGATAGTTCAGGCAGAAGATGCGAACATACCACTTAGTAGCGCCAGAAGCGCACCTAGTCTTGATATCCTGATCTCCATTTCCTTCCCTCTCTCTCTGTCTTTCAAGGAGGGGGAAATGTGGTGGAGCGAGCGCACTGCGCTTCCACAGCGGCAATTGTAACGTCCAGCGCAGTAACTCGGAAAGTATCGAAATCGATCGACTCAAGCAAAATAGTAGGTAGGCAGGTAGGTAGGAGAAGTTCAAGTCAAATCCCAATCGTGCAAACGTCGTGGACTGACCAACACACCAGGCGCAGCGCAGAACCAGCAAGTCGAGAAGCAGAATTCCGAAAAGAAAATCAAGGAAGCGAAAAAGCGAAGAGGAAGAGAAAACCGAGAAAAAAGAATGCGCGTAAGACGTGCCTACATACGGCCGGCAAACGGTAAATGCTCAGCTGCCTGCATACAGTAGATGGAGCATCTGCACGCTGGCTGCACCACCATGGCCTCCCCGCCTTATAGGTACCCCAAATCTCCCTCTCCCTCACATTGAAACACGTCTCAGGGTTGGTTCGCCGACCTCGCCCATGCGTGCGGGGAGGCTGAGGCCAGCGCTTCGGTCTTGGGCTTTGCTTTGCATGTCTCTGGCGTGGCCGTTCCAAACAGTCGCCGGCGCTTAGCAGCAGCCAGACTACCCCATCCATCTCACCGCAGCAATTCCACACGGATCGAGATCAGGGGCCCGCACCAATCGCAGACAGAATCCGATTTCCAAGAATGCGGGCGCGTAGCGGGTGTTGGCCTTGCAGAAGCAGCAGGGAGTGGGATGGGTGTTGTATTTTTAGCCCTCCACTCTCCCTTGATTTCCAAGGTGGTCCAAAAAGGGAGGCGCAACCGCCCACCACTTCACGTTAGAACAGGCTGCCTAACCGCTTCAGGCGACCAAGCTGCGCGCCTCTGGTCAAATATATCCTCCCTGCGCTGTACACAGCAATGATCTAGAAACTCCGCAGAATCACCATATACATATTGCCAGGTATACTATATTTGCACTGCGCGATACTCTGCAAACGACTCGGGAATGTAAAAATATACTCTTGGAAAACATTGCACAGCCGAAGTCGCACTATGTAGAAGATACAAGTAGAATGCATCTATTCATAATCATCATCATCACCGCTGGCATTGGCATTGGCATGACATCGTGAATTACACCGTCCCCATTCATCTCAGAAGAAGAAAAGATAAGAACCACATCCAATCCCTTCCCTTACCAAATGAAAAGAACACCCGTCCGAAAGAAGACCGAAACAATGAAGACAATGAAAGACAAAAGGAAACGAAACAAAGCATGAATGAGACTTGGGCGCCTCTAAGACAAGTCCCTCGTTCTTCGGTACATGATGTGCTGGTGTCGTTCATGAATCATTAGTGCAATCGTGCGTGCATGCAGGCGCCTCCCTCTCAGACAGGACACCTCGTTGCCAAGGATCCACTGCTTGAACCGTCATGATGTCATGTCGTAAAGTCGTTTATCTTCGTCTTCACACTCTTGTGACTAGCAAAGTCGAACCGAGACAGGGAATCGACCATTGTCCCCGAAAGAGACAAAGTCGGCTACTGCCGCATTCTTCAGACTATTCGTCCAAAGAGGGCAGTGAGGATCGCTTTTGCATATGCTTGATGCGCTCCAGCATGCCATAAGCCACTCCCCATCGCCAGCTCACGCTGAAACGCCGGCTGCCAACCGCTCATCGATATCGGCGACGGCTGCTGTCGTACGTGAATTCGCGCTCATAGAACCGCTCATCGTAGCTTGGCGGTCTCGGTGCGCGAATCTCCTCGCGCTCATACTCAATCTCGCGGATGCGAGACTTGCGTCGCCGACGGATGTCGTCGGAAAGCTCGACGAGCTGCAGAACATCCTCCTATCCACCGGTGAGCAATGAGTCCTGAATCTGCAAGCGATCAACTTACATAGCGAAGATACATCATGACGTAGAAGAAGTAGTCCGTCTCCTCATAGTCATAGCCCATGATCTCTATTGCCTCCTTGACCACCAGATCCTTGGTGATCTCGGTCCACATATCTTTCTTCTTCGGAGGAGGCGAGGGCAGGCCATAGTCGGTGGCACGCTCGTCATCCCCACTGATGAATTTGGACCTGCGGACACCATTGTAACGCTGCCATGTGATCTCTTGAGCACCACCTCCGATGCCGTCCATCCGCACACGGCTTGTCCCAGGAGGGACGTCGACAATGGTCCAGTGCTTGGTTGCTCCGTTATAGCCTTCCCCAGGGTAGGCTCGCTCCATGGCCTTGCGGTTGTAGTAGTCGGCCTCGGACTCAAAGTCGGAGTCAACCGAAGGTGTGGCGCGGCGCCTTGGGGCGCTCAAGGAGCGGGCTCTCGTGTGTGATATATCCATCTCTCTGGACTTCCTCTCCTCTCGCTCAAAAAGAATATCTTCTTCAAATCCACGTCCGCCTCGGCTCCTACAGTTGCTGTTAGCCGTTGACCGGACTTGGAATATGAGCCGTTGACCGGACTTGGAATATGTGGTTACTCACTCTTTCCGGCGAATTGAGATTTCGAGACTCTCATCGCGAGGTGGGGTTGGAGGGGGTGGAGGAGGGGTGGGCGATCTGGCTCGCTCGACGCCTTGGAATTGTCAGAACTAAATATGCCTAGAATAGCGCCAAATCACCTACCGTGATCAATGTGACGATGGTGCGTAATGATCTCTTGGATGATCGGAGGTCGAATCTCTGGTTGCGGTGGCGGAGGAGGCGGAGGAAGCGGCTCTGGGCTCGGAGAACGCTCCTCCTTGCGTCTAATGATGATCTCGTCCTTGATGACTTCTCGCGGCGCTGGCGGAGGAGAAGGCTCACGGCGTCGAATGACGAATTCCTCTCGTTCCCTCGCAACCAGGTCTCCTCGCGAGCGAGGAGGAGGCAGGCTGCGCTCACGCCCACGCACTACAAATGTGTCCTTGTGGTACTCGGTGTCGCGGCCATGACGGCTATCATCTCTGTGCTCGTGGCGGAACACATATTCCTCGTGGTCGACATCACGCCTGGCAGGCTCGCGTTCACGGAACTTGACCTCCTCTCGCTCGAAGTCGACTTCGCGACGTCGCGGTCTGGAGCCGTCACCGCGGCGGAAAGTGATGTCATCCCGCTCGACATCTCGGACCTCGACCCTAGGGCGTGAGTGCGATCGATGGCGGATCGTAACGTCGGTCTCGTCCCTCTCGACGTCTCTCGGACGACGACGCTCCCCATCGGATCTGCGGATTTTGATATCTTCACGGTCGATCTCTCTTACGCTCACTGGCGAAGGTGGGCCGCCTCGCCCTCCTCGAATCACCAGGGTATCCTCTTCGACTTCGCGGCGTCCGCCTCGCGAGCTCCTGGTGGACGACATGTCTTCCTCTCGCTTTCGCACGACGAGCTGGCCGGCGGTGCTGGAACGGCCATAATCGTCACGAAAGAAATCGGGGGCACTCCTGCGGGGGTTGGTGCCGCGAGAGAGTTCGAGGTCGAGTTCGTCGTAGCTGCGGTCAACACGGTCGCGGCCGCGGTAGAAGTCGCGCTGACGCTCCTCGTACAGCTCAGCGGTCGGGTAGCGGCGCGACATGGCGACGATGGGAGAGGGTGATATGGCTGCTCAGCAAAAATGAGGAGGGAGGGGATCAGGTGTCAAGGCAGCGGGGAAGGTGAGCCGGCAAGTGGGCAGGCTCAGGCTGGGGGAACTGGGAGGGATGAAGGAAGCAGGCGGGAGGAAGTGGGAGGAGTTGAGGATGAAGAAGGCTGGGTGAAGCAGGCTGTGTGGACGAGTTAAGGAGAGCTGGCCTTGTTGGGGGGAGGTTTGTGCTGCTGCTGGGCTGATGGAAGACGGGTGCAGCAGGTTGTCGGGCGGGCGGTGGGCAGACACACCCCCCGTCTGTGGCTTCGACCCGCGATGCGATGACGTCTTCCCTGGACAGACAGAAGCAGACGCTGGCAGGGTCAGGCACATTGGGCGAGGCCCGGAAATCGAATTTTCTACACAGTACAGACAGAGAAAAAAGGGACAGCTTCACCAGGTTTACTGCGCCGCGCACCGAGGACACGCCGCCTTTTCTGATACATAGACTACTTTGCTCGCTGGAGGCGGGGAGGGGACGCCTTGCCGCAGACCGAGATGATCCGATTGTCTGTGAAAAGGCCGTCTCACTTTGGGCGGGGCAACTGCTTGCCCCATCTCGAAACATGCACACCTGCCGTAAGGCTTTTATTCTGCTTTTCCAGCCGGGCGTTGGCCTGCCAGAATTTCCTCTGGCCGGTGAGTCTCTTCGCCATTTCTGGGGAGTTCGGCGGCACCCCTGCTGCGTCTCGCAATTCCTGCTGCTCCATGCTTCACCCCACAATGCCGCACAATGACGTCCACCATGTCATGGCTTCGGCAGCGCCTGCTGAATTACTTGTAAAAGAAGCCGACAATTCGAGAATGAATGGGGCCGTCAAATGCTGATTTTTTACCGCAAGACAAAGACGACGTGGCCATTCATTGGGGCGAGGGGGGAGGATCAATTGAAACGGCTGCACCGCCTTGTGGACTCCGAAACCAGGCTGATGTTGGACTGTGCCTCCATACTTTAGATCAAAGAGTCAAGAAAGTTGTTTGGAGATTCACTATCTGGCCTTTCCGATACCCGTAGATCTAGAGCGAGGCCATGTAAAACTAATGACCGCATCTACTGTACTAATCCTACAACAGCAGTAGGCTAGCTCTGGTATACGAGATCCCTTAGCGTATTCCTACCTACACCATCAATCAGTCTCCAGCCTACTGCCATATCTGGTACCTAGACTACCCGAGCCCTCCATAGTCTATCACAGTACAGATGGCGGGGATCCAGATCAACATCACCTGCCCCGTATTCCTCGCAATCACACACGCATAGGGCGCACACCACAGCTCCCTTGTCGCCATGACGTACATCTCCAGACATCCTGTATATATATGATATCCGTCCCTCCTGCTCCCTAAATACCAAATACACAGCAAAGCAAAATAGACCCACCTCCCACACTCCTGTATACGGTCACCCATCTTCCATCCAAACATCCAATCTCCAAACATCCAACCTCCAATCCCAACACCATGACACCCCCTCCCCGGCCCCCCCCAAACCACATATCCGGCTCCTGCCTCTGCCGCAGCATCACCTACACCCTCTCCTTCCCCTCCGACTCCACCCCCTGGCCCCCAACCGTCCAATCCTGCCAATGCACCATGTGCCGCAAACACACGGCCTCGCTCCTCCCCATCTTCCTCGTCCTGCGGCCCTCGAGCGGCCAAATCGCCCCCTGGCCTCTCGACGCCGAACGCCATCTGGGAAAAAACACCACGTACACCGAGTACGCCAGCTCGGAGAATGGATTGAGGGGGTTCTGCTCCCGGTGCGGGAGTTCATTGCTTTTCAGGAATCGACGGCAGGATGCAGGGGATCAGAAAGAGAGGGAGAGTCAGGAGACGATGGATCTGTTTGTCGGCACGCTGGATGAGAAGTGGCTCGTCGATGACAGGGAGATGGCAAAGGCGCTGGCTACGCCGAATGAATTGCAGTTCTGGTGCAAACATGCCGTCCAAGGGGTCACGGATGTCGTACGCGGAGGGACGAGGCTCGAGACTGTGAGAGGGACGGAGATGGATTGAGTGTGGATTACGACAAGGGCGAAGAAGGGGAGAAAAGAAAAAACGAAGTCATAGTGACTAGTTTGGTAGATTACAGGTACACCCAGCTCCAAACAACGCCACAAAGGAATGTGATGCACTATCCGCAATCCCATCACGTCACAACACCAGAACCAGCATGCAGAAATCTGTAGATTTTGCGAAGCGAGACAGCACTGTCAAGTCTAATTCTTCTCCTCCACAACCACCTCCTTCTCAGCCACCTCTTCATAAACAGGAGGAGCCTCGCATTGAGGGAGCACAGCGTAGTTGGTCTCGCCCTCCTCGGGAACCCACACAAAGGAGCGGCCACGGTACATCTCATTGACGCCCACAACAACATAGTAGACGCTCCAGGCTACAGCCCACAGGAGCCACACAATCATGGCGCCCAGGAGCATGGGAGCTCCGATACGCATGAAGGCGTTAGCCTTGTGCTTGTGCTGCTTGTGATCGTGGTGCTTGTGGCCGTGGTGGTGGTGGGGGCGGTTGCCGTCACGATGGTCACCTTCAGGATGGTGGTGGCCGCCGTGATGGTGCCGCTCGTCTCCATCATTCGCGACCTGTCCCACCGCACCCCCCTTGAGCTTGTGGCACCCATGTTTCATTGCGCTTGCCATGCTGTGGAACTTGTCCTTTAGAGCCTCCAACTTGCAGGACAGCCAGTCCTTGCAGTCTTCTTGTGCTTGAGCAGAGCCGTCGCTCTTGAACGACGCAATCATGACATGTCCGTCGGCGTCCTGCAGGAGGTAGATGGTGAGCGGAGGAACACGCATGGGCTGGTATCCAATCTGTTCAATGATGAGGGTGACGGGAATCAGATCGAGGCCGCTGTCCTTGTGTACTGGAGCCGAAGGGTAGAAGGTGGTATAGCCGGTAACGCCCAAGGGAAGCGGGTCGTTGGCGCCATATTGGGTGACGTCGAAGAACTGAGGAGGGCCCATAGCACTCTCGAACGAGCGCGGATATATCTGGACGCCGTCGAGGAGCAGGGTCTTGCGATCAGGGCCGACTTCGAAACTGAGAAGCTGCATCCATTAGTACGACGGACCTTTGCGGGCTCCGGAGCTGACGTACGAAAGAGTTTCCAGTGTCCCCGGCCCAGGCGAGCTTGTAGAACGAACCCTCCGCCGTCGCCCTGGGGCATGTGGGACACTCGAGCAAAACATCGCGCCTGTAGGGGTCTAGCTGCGCTGGTGTTCCGAGCGATTCGATGCCCGGGAAGTCGTCAGCCATCTGAGGCGGTAGGAGGATGGCGTTGGCCACGGCGACCAGCGCCATCGAGCTAACCAAGCCGAATTTTGCAAGCATACTGGGCGGAGTAAGGAAAATAAGAGATGGGGTGAAGCTGTCCAGGACAGTGTAGGAGAAGAGAATGCTGAATGATGGAAGAGAGGATCCCTCGGGCGAGGCTGAGTCCTTAGCCTGAGGGGCGCTTTGTCTCACCACCAGTCTGACCGCGTCATCGGCACGTGACCTGGTTCACTTGTCTGGTGGTCCACGGGTAGTCACTCGGTCGCAGAGTAGTGAATTTCAAAAAGACAAATTCAATGGGACCCGCGCAGTGGTACATGGACTGAATTAATCAGGAGTGCTGTAGCCTATATCTACAATTCACGGCAGCCTGAAGAAGTCAGCATTCGTGCATGTAGTGAGCTCGCTTTCCAAGGTTGGCTTCACCGAGTCGATGGAGAACGCTCGGAAAGACGGCGAACGTACATGGAATGCCAGAATGCACATTAATGTGTAGCTTCTCACCTTATGGTGACTCGTAGAATCTGCCGCCTAACTGAGCTATGCATGTCGCAAAAGGATTGCTGTAAGGGACATTCGAAGCTTCTACAGACGCGTCGCGTGCAATGCCCCGATGCATCTTTATCATACGGTCCCTGGGGATGCAGGATAAAACTCCCAAAATAGATAAATGAAGGGCAAGAAGTATTCCGTATGCCACGCAATATCCGTATGTCTTCGGCTCTCTATGCCGGAGCTGAGGTGTCGTGTGGTGGTCGGCGTCGTGGAAGGTTTGGTGGTGTTGTTGGTGTTCCTAAGCTGGCTGACTAAGCGTCCGACCGCGGCAAAAGGGGATCTGGGGAAAGCACCATTTCTGCAGCGAACAAACCGACACTTTGCACCGCGCGCTTTCCAGCACCCTCAAAGCAGCCAAGGCCCAAATCACTTTTGGAGGAGGGGCGGCCCAAAAGTTGATGTTGCCAGAATCCGCCGCTGCCCCTGCCCAACTCGGTTTAGCGCCCTCTGTTGATTCAGGCGCTCTTTTGTGACCTGCCGCCCATAGATAAAGGCGTTTGCCCTCCGCTTTCTCTTTGCTCTTCTTTTCTCGCTTTTCTCTCCCCAACCCGCGAAGTTTCCACACCCAGCGACCGCATCTCTATCCATCCACAGCCTCGTGCTCTCTGCCTTTATTCCATCAACTCCATCAACCTCCACCCGCTCTAACACTTATTCATCATGACTGGACGTAAGTATGATCTTATTTGCACCCTGCTGCCGCGCATCGCATCGCGTTCGCTGTTGTTGCTGCTGTTGCCACCCTGCGTGGTGTTGTATCTATGATATTACCATCACCACCACACGCGCTTGGAGTTTAGCGGCACGCGTCGCGCCCTCAACCACCACGGCGCCGCTGCAGCACTATGCACAGCAGCACAACGCAGCCATGTCGTCGCTGCACCTCCTCTTCTTTGATGCACCTCACTAACATTGTCTTCCTCCAGGCGGCAAAGGTGGCAAGGGCCTCGGAAAGGGCGGCGCCAAGCGTCATCGCAAGATCCTCCGCGACAACATCCAGGGCATCACCAAGCCCGCCATCCGTCGTCTCGCTCGTCGTGGTGGTGTCAAGCGTATCTCTGCCAGTATGTCTTCCTCGCTGTCGCACCATTACCTCTCAACGCGTCGCTAACCCCCTTCTTCACAGTGATCTACGAAGAGACCCGCGGTGTCCTCAAGACCTTCCTCGAGAGCGTCATCCGTGATGCCGTCACCTACACGGAGCACGCCAAGCGCAAGACCGTCACCTCCCTCGACGTCGTCTATGCCCTCAAGCGCCAGGGCCGCACCCTGTACGGTTTCGGTGGTTAAGCGTTCTCGTCCATCGCTACGTCCGTCCGGCACTGCACTGCACCTCGGACGGCTGGTGTCTGGCTTTCTGTTCATCTCTCGGCAACTCATCATGCATGGCGACTTGCAGTGATCAGCCTCCGGCAGCGTTTGCTGACTAGGCTGGCTTGCTGACATGCTGACCTTGGTTGTCTGTGTTTCTTCTTCATGGCTGGGATTAGGGAGAATCTGGGCTGGCGTTATGCGGATCATGTCTTATGTCATGAGCTTTGATGATCTCATGATTTCGGTGCGAATGCTGCCTGCGAGAGCGGGTATTCCGGCGGGTGATTCGGTAGTCAATACATATCGTTTGCTACATTGCATGTCTTGCGTATGCCGTGAGGTGTGTGAATGCATTGAGAATCAAAGTTGCAGACTCAACTCAGTTGTCCCCGAACCAGTGAAGCCTGATACGGGTACGTCTACATGAGAGTGTCGTATACGGCCGACCTTCGGCTTCTGTCTGTCACTGGTGGGATAGAGAGACTGAAGCTGTGGAGCATTCTGTGAAAGTCCTTGCTAACGATGCTATCGAATCTATACTTGGGACAATCCATTCCATTCCAGATTCCTACTGAAGCCATCACTCAAGGTCTTCCAATGCTTCCACTACCCCCATCCCCCTCACCCACCCCCATCCAACTCTCCACCCCGCTCACCACGTCCCTACACCTTCCCACAACCCCAAACCCCCCAGCACCACCGCCCATCCCCCTCGTCAACCCTGCCAAACACACTGCCTTGCCCTCCCCCTCCACCCACCCCTCCACCCCATCCTCCACAACCAGCACATCGAACCCGCGATCCGCCGCCTCCCGCACCGTACTGCTGACGGCCCCCTCGAGCGCGATGCCGCACACGACCAGGTTCCTAAGCCCCCGGGCGCGCAGCGTGGCCTCGAGGTCCGTGTACGTGAAGGCGCCGTAGCCCGGTTTATCGACGACGGGTTCGTGGGGCAGGGGCAGCAGCTCGGAGATGAGGTCGTGGCCGCGGGAGCCGCGGACGAGGAAGGGGCCTAGGGGTCCTTGGGCGCCTATTATTATGCCTCCCCGTCTCTGTGGCTGTGTTGCTTTTTCGTCTCCTTCTCTTTGTTCTTCTTCTCCGTTTGCCCGGGCGGGGTTTGCGTTGTAAATGGGACTGGTATTGGCGTCTCTGCCGGTGGTGGTGCCTTGTCGATGGCTGGTACAGCGACTCCAGACGTATCTCTCCCGGGCCCATGCGGTGCTGCCGCCGCTCTCACGGAACCCCATCCGCGTGTGCCACACGCCGAAGCCCGCGTGGCGGAACGTGCTCAGCAGGCTGACGAGGCGGGGCACGAGGGACTGGAAGCGCGCCAGCGTGTCGGGCGGGAGGGTGCCCGAGGTGGAGAGGTAGCCTTGGGAGGAGAGGAGGTCGCGCTGCATGTCGATGAGGAGGAGGGCGGTGGTGGTCGGGGAGAGGGAGGCGTCGTGCGGCCAGGGGTAGGGGTGGGTGGTGAGGAGGTGGGTTGTTGGTGTGGGTGGTGGCATTGTGGGAATTCTGGGGATTGTGGACGGGATGAATGAGAGTAACGTCAAGGGCAGAATTAATGAGATGGTGACGGTAAGGTAGAGAAAAGAAAGAAATGGGGACGAAGGGAACGAAATGGCATGGCCAAGTTGAATACAAAAATATACGGAAAAGGAACAGCTGCACACCGTGACAAGTGAATACAGAACCAAGTAGTCGGGCTCGTGTAGTGCTGCCATGTGTTGTGTTGGAGGAACTAGACTTTAATCGTCAGTCGAAGGGGCGGTGAGTCCGCATGCTACGTGTGAACATGGTGGGTACTCGGCTTCCCAAATCGGAACTGGAATCTTCTTTTCAGAGTAGCAACATAAACTACCCTTACTGGAGTATCGGTAGGTAGCTTGAATGATTGCAGCACAGTCGGTGCATGACATGTATGTATCTCGCAGGAAAGCTGGACTTCAGATCCAAGATGCATGGCCGAGGAGGAAAAGTGGGTCCGTTGCTTCGTGCCTGGACGCCGGTTGGGAATACATTTTTCTTATTCTTCACCATACTGCTTGCGAATCTTTGCTTGCTCAGTCCTGTCTTTTCTGCTTGTTCAAGCTTTCTTTCTCTTCTTTCCCTTCTCATTTTGGAGTTCAGCACGAATGCTTCTGCGTCGTGTGTGAAGTGCCACATATTGCTGTTTTCCTCCACATCAGAGAAATGGCAGAAACGACAAGGTGATGGGTATCTTACGGTACCAGGACCAGTTCCCAGTGATGAAGCTTCGCCCGCAAGACTCGGGTGGTGTTCAACACCAAGCGTGAGTATCCTCAACGACTAGCCCTCTCCCTCCCCATCGAAAGCAACGGCAAACATCTTGCCCGCCAACGCAGCGACCTCACCACCCAACCCCTCCAAAGCCGCCTTGATCCCCTCAATCGTCTCGGGTGACAATTGCCCCTTTCGAGAGTAGATATCCAGGCCTGCCGGCGTGAAGAGCGTCTTGGCGAAATGCGTCACTACCCACTGATTACCACCCTCGACGCAATCTGCCGCCTTCTCCTCGCCGTAACCTAGGATCTCCCACTGCGAACTCGCAATGACCAACCAGCCCTTGCCGCGCCAGCGGTACCCCAGACTGGCTTTGGGATCGCCGTCGTCGTGAGTACCGGTGCTCGGTGGCGTGGTGATATCCGGGACATGAAAGGGTTTGTCCACGCCGTGCACGGTTTTTATGTTCGAGGAACCCCCCAGGGCTTGGTAGGTGACTGTGTCGTCCAGTTGGGGTGGGGAGGTGTTAGCGATGCGCCTGTAGGTGATCTGTACGTTGCGGTTCTTCTTCCACATGGGAAGTGTGGAGTGTGTGACGTTCCATGTCCCTTCGAGCCAGCTGAGGGACGGTGGTGGAATGGGTGAAGGAGCCGTGGAGGCGGAGCTGGAGCTGGAGCTGGATGGCGAGCGTAGGGTGATTGAAGAGGATGATGGGGATGGCATAACTGGATGCGAAGTGCACGCGTTGCGTTGGGTGAACGTCACCAGTGGTGGATACAACCGATATGGCTTCTACTGAGTGCTGGGTTTTACTGTATTATGCGCAACATCTTCGAACTGTCACTGATAATGCTCTCGAATTGTGACTTTGTGACTTCTGCAGATAATGTTAGTCTTCACAGCGACAACACCCGACCCGACGCCAAGCCGCCAACTCCGCCAAGCCACTTTCTCAAAACTCCATCCGTGCCACAACTTCCCTCCGAGCCTCACAGCCTCCCAGCATCACAGTGGCACCAGTGGCAAGCTCTCCAAACATCGAGTTCTTCATACTTACTTGTGCGGATCGAGTTCGCGGCTAATAATAGAGCCTGGATAGTTATTGGCCTCGGAGCGTATCGGCAAGCGGCACTGGCCCAGAGATGACGAGGCCTGAAACCTTTTCGCGTCTCGGGGCTGTGCTTGGAAGCTGGAGAATGGAGAAGCCGCTCCACTCTGCGTAGGTGCCAATCATAATGCACGTCAACGGCTTTTTGTTCGCCGCTCGTCCTCGTGCGTGCGGCGTGATTGCGTAGGCTTGCCGACTCTGCGAGTTGCGGTTCTTTGATCTTCTTGTGTCTATTCTTTCATTCACTCCCTTTCTCGATTCTCTCGATATCCCGCCTTTCTTTCGAACTTTTCGAAGCTGAAACAGTCTTTTTTTTCCAGCTGATTCAATCGTTACATCACAGTCGTCTTGGCAAAACTTTCATAATCATTTGTCTAGTCGTATTCACCAAACTCTCAATCCTCATTTGTCCGAGCTAAAAAGCATTTGCATCCGGAAGCAACTCTACCGCATCACCACTGAGCCTCTACACCATCAAGCATGTATTGGAAAACGCCCCTACAGGCGACCTTCCTCCTTCCCTTCCTCTACTCCACCGTCACCGCCCAGGTAGCCTGCAACAACTCTCCCCAACTCTGCAACCGACCCTACAGCAACATCACCCACCTAGGAGCTCACAACTCGCCCTTCCTCCGCGACGAGTCCACCTCCTTCTCCACCTCGGGCAACCAATACTTCGACACCATCACCCAACTCGAAGCGGGCGTCCGCCTCCTCACCGCCCAAGTCCACAAACTCAACAACACCGAAGGCAACCAAGCATGGCATCTCTGCCACAGCAGCTGCGATCTCCTCGACGCCGGCACCCTGCAAGACTGGCTCTCCAAGATCAAAACCTGGATGGACAGCAACCCAAACGACGTCGTGACCCTCGTCCTCGTCAACTCTGATGACGCCACCCCGCAAGACCTCGGTCCCCTCTTCCAACTCTCCGGCATCGACAAGTACGCCTACACGCCCACCTCCTCTCCTCCCAGCAACGGCGTGTGGCCCACCCTGAACGCCCTCATCCAAGCCAACAAGCGCCTCATCACCTTCGTCGCCTCCATCACCCCATCCCCGCAATTCCCCTACCTCCTCGACGAATTCTCCTTCGTCTTCGAAAACAACTTTGAAAACGAATCCCCGACCGACTTCTCGTGCACGCCCAACCGACCAAGCGGCCTGGGTACCCCGGAGCAAGCACTCGCTACAGGCCGCATGTTTCTAATGAACCACTTCCTGTACCAAGCCCAAATCTTCGGCATCCAGACCCCAGACGAGGAGAATGTCAACGTCACCAACGCCCAGTCGGGCCGCGGGGCGTTGGGTACGCAGCTCCGCAATTGCGCGACGCAGCAGGGGGGTCGGCCGCCGACGTTTGTCATTGTGGATTTCTTCAACGTGGGGCCTGCGGTTGCGAGTGTGGATGCGGTGAATGGGGTGCAAGGGAGTGTGGTGGGCAGGAGGACGCTGACGGATAAGGTCGTGATGGGGAGTACGTCTGGGGTGGAGGGGAGTGTGGTGAAGGGGAAGGGGAGTCTGGTCGCCGTGGTGGTGGCGGTCGTTGTGCTGGTGGGATTGGGGGTGTAGGGATGAGTAAGGTTTTCTGGTATTGGATGGTTGGCTTTCTTTCGATTTGCATAGCGATGGCGTTGGGGTTTTTTGGCATTGAATGAAACCTTTGGGACGCTGGAAGATAGCGAATGGGATTGGATAAGAACCGTTATTATATGTATGCCCAGAGTGTGAGTCGGTTATCGAGGACCGCTGCTCACTGCTGTGCTGGTCATAGTTGTGCTATAAACATTAGTGAAACTAGAAGTATTCCAAAAGCAAATGTTCAAAGAACCAGCCTGAGAGTGTACATATGTATATGAATGAATCTTCATGTTCATTGGCTATCGAACGAAGCCGACTAGCCGTACTACCCTCCCTCCTTCCCTTTGCTTTCTTTCCGAATTCTCCTTTTACATATTCACATATTCTCCAGCACATACTTCAACCCCGCCCACATCTCCTCCCCACTCGGCTTGATCTGCTCCGGCGGCAACACAAACCCATAGCGGCCCGTATCCCGCAACTCGACCGTCATAGAGTAGGTCGCGTTGGCCTTCTCGTAGGCGTAATCCACGCTGTCGCCCGTGACCTGGTAGATGGTCTGGCAGATGGGCCCCGCGGTGAAATCGGTGCCATGCACGGCCTTGATGGCCGCCACGGCGCCCTTGGAGATGGTCTCGTATTTCGCTGCGTCGGGCACCACGCCGCTGCACGTGTAGCCGTAGGGGTACATCCAGAGCTGCGAGTACGAGTGGATGTCCATGTACAGCTGGACGCCTTTGCCAGCGGCCACGCCGTCGAGGTGGCTCTTGAGGACTTTGGTCTCGGTGCCGTCGCCTGCGGAGGGGCCCTTGTAGTCTTGCGCGCAGGGCGAGGTGCTAGCTCCGCCGCGCTGGTCCCACTGGTTGGGCCAGTTGCGGTTGATGTCGCGCCCGACGCACGAGGCCGAAGGCGTTGACTGACGGTTCTTGCGCCACATGCGGTCGGAGGATTGGGAGAAGGCGAAGCCGTCCGGGTTGACGATGGGGATGATGTAGAAGTCGTACTTGTCCTTGAAGGCTTGCGTGGTCGGGACCTTGGACGTCAGGAGTTGGTACGCGGCGTACTCGACGACCATGGTGGTGATCCATTCGCGGGCGTGCACGGTGCCGTGCCAGACGATGCCGGGCTTGGAGTTGGGTCCCGAGCTGCCATAGATGTGGATGCCCTTGATGTCGCGGCCTTCGTGGGATTTGCCGGCTACAAAGGTTTGGGCGTTGGATGGGAAGGCGGCGGCCAGGTCGGAGAGGAATTGCAGGTGGTCGGCTATCGGGTGGTAGGCGTTGAACCAGGTGGCATCTGGTGCTGCTAAATGAGTGGAATCGCGGTCCTCCGCGGTAGCGGCTGCTGGAGATGGAACGGACTTGTTAGCTTGGCTCTTGCTTGAGATGGATCTTGAACAGACAAAGTGAAATCAATGTACAGATATAGACGGGGAAATCCCCTTCGGCGGCAATCGATTGGCCGAGGTCGTCGTGCATGACCTTGACTTCAAAGTCGGCGACGGCCTTCTCCCAGGCGTCGATTTGCGTCGGCGCAACCATGACATCGACGACGTCGCTGCTCTCGGCCTTGCCCTTCCATGTCTCGACTCCTACATCCTGGACCGCTTTGCTGAACTGCGCATTGTTGTGTCCGACATTGACACGGTAGACTTTCCAGCCAGTGTAGTCGACTTGGGTTGCGACTGAGGCTGCGGAAGCGAAGCCCAGTGACGCAAGGCCCAAAGCTGCTGCTACCTTCATGATATGATATAATGATAGAAGCAAAGTAATAAACGAGAGAAGAGGGGCAGAGAGGAGCAGATCGATGATGATGTGCACCCGTCCGCCTTATTTATGCCATTCGATGTGGGAGCAAACACCAGCCATGGAGTCGTCCAACAGCCATAGCACCGCGGATACCTGCTTTATTGCACCTGCCATTCATGATGTGGTTGCCCGATTCGCGTACGGGGATACTGCCGCGCGAAGGGCAGGTCCATGGGCGCTATCCAGCTGGATGGGAGAGGTTTAATCTATTTCGCATGTCTGGGGATCGGCTGGCTGGATGTTTATTTGTCAATTCATGACGCCCCGCCACAGCCTGTTTCATCCGTCTGCCTGCTTCGGGAAGCTCAGTGGCTGCGGGGTCCATGTCGATCAGGAGAAGACACAAAGGATACAAAGACTATCACTCCGTGGTGTGCCTGCGTTGGGGGCTTATCGCGGGCGGTTCCCGGTTACCCATTGCTGCGAAGGCCGAGTGACCTGCCCCTTTGAACGAAGAGACAAGACAGGGGAGGGACAGCTACAGCAGGCTGTAAGCTTGGGTCCTGTGCTGCTGTGAGAGGAATCGAGGAAGCGACTACTGTAATGAGCGGGTTGTACGGAGTATATATGGTACAGGCTGAGGGGGCGGTTACAATGCAATCGCACGAGCTGGTTAATAGAATCTGTCCTGCGGCTTTGCCGTGTGGCTGGCTGGGGAGGCGTTAGGGCTAAACTCGGTTGGGGCGAGAAGGCATTTTTCACGTGATGTATTTACGCTAAGCTCAAATGGGCTCAAAATGGAACGCATGAAACCTAAAGCTGCAAAAGCTGCGAAGATGACATCGCCTGCTCCAGCTTCACTTCGTCGTCTTCATGGTGCACCATTGTGATAGAACACGTTACTACGCCCCTCAGATTGAAGCAGGCCTCTGCAGGATGAAGTTGGCTCCCCGTCTGAGAACCAGCAATATCTCCGCCTCCTCAGCACAACTAAGTCAAACATCCCATGTTCACCCAACTCGTATCCCGTCACAGGCCGCTTCATATGTGGTTGCCATCAAGATGTGAAAGACCATAAGGGATAAGAGGGGAGCTCGCAGCCGACACTATAGAGTCATCCCTAGAGACCCATAAAGCCGGTTGGCAAACGCTTTGAAGAGCTATGTTGGGGCAATGGCATTGAAAGACAGACGCAATCCGTCAGTGGCTGTCACCTTCGCGAAAGGCGTTGGTACAAGCATCAGGAATCGAAGTCAAATGGAATCGGAAGAGGAACAGAACAGTGATACACATTCTCAACTCACAGGAAGCCTCAATGGGTCGCTCTCGTGTCTTCGCTCGTCCTGGCCCCTGAGTCGGCCGGCTACTCGAATGGAAGAAACGATGCATGGATTCCTGAATACAAAGTAAACGGATTCATACGAAGACTTCCAGCAGTGGATACAAGTCGCAGGAGTTTTAGCAACTATGATCTCGGCCACGACACGAACAAGTCTTTGGTGACCTCAACGGATCTAGTGTACATGCCAGCACTGGCCCACAGGCTACATTGAAGGAGCCTCGAATGGTCTGCGTAGTCACAGCCAAGACTATGATCCGGACAGGACAGACAAATATGCAGAATGGCAGCAGGAGGTACGCGTCAAATGATCCCAACCCGTCCTGCTTTCCACTGTCTCCACTGCCAGGGGAAGCTAGAGGAGCTCCCCGCGTCAGGACGTATTTCCTCATTTGGGCCACTTCTGCAACGCTGTATGGCTTTCGGCACATCTTCTCCAGTCAAGACGAAACTAGCCAAATGGGGACGCATGTCGAGGTTACTCATGAGCAGCATCGGTTACAGCTCATTTGCGAAGACGCACGCCGCTCACAGCGCTGAATGGCTTTCACTCCTACGAACGCAGTCCGTTTTGATTTCAGACAAGCTTGGGCCTCGTGATCAGGTCGATCTCCTGGCAACGCTCCATAGCCGCTGATGTGCTCGTATCCTCCGTCAGCCGGGTCCCTATGCAAGCGCGGGAACACCCAAGCGAGGATTTTCCCCAGACGCCGCTTAAGCACACTGCATAGGCCTGCTCTAGCTATGTACCGGTATCTGCAGAGGACAAGGCAGATTCCAGGAACTGCCTTCGCGGACAACCACATCGCTTGGCCTCGCTGTGTCTCTTAGGTCTATCAACTACGATTCGTGTCCGTCTCTATTACTTTTCGGCTCAGGCTAGGCACCGTTTGCAGCCTTGTGCAGGTGGAGTTACGGCTAGGGGACAGTTCCGCATGCGAGGATGGGTCAGTCAGTGACCAACTGCGTCCAGGAGGGAGACCGCAGGGTGGGAAGCCGGCCCTAGTGGAATCAATGCTCCACGATCTGGCTACACTTGTCAATGGATTGGTGGACCTAGTTCCTCCGACTCGTACGCTCGCATCGAAGTACCTGACCACGTCTTATGCCTTACCCATGCATGGAATAAGGGAGGGATGTGCTTATGGATCCACCTTGGTAGTGTCAGCACTTGCAATGTGCCAACATGTGCGTGCACCTGGGGAAGCTGCGTAAAGGCATCTGACCTCTACTAGAGAATCTCCGGCCACCATAAGGCTTGACGAAACGATGTGGCTATTGAACCCGTTCGCAAAAGGCGATATGCAGAGAAGTTCAAATCTCTTCAGGAACCAACCCATATCACTCTCGTAGTTTCCACATGACGGAGTTCCCGGTCCCAAGAATGCAACGATGGTCAAATCAGGTAATGCATCCTGATGGATCTCGCTGCATCAATACTCGCGGTGGAGATGTGGGCCAAAAATAGTGGAAGAGTGCATGCTCCTCCATGTGTTGCACTATGAGCGCTCACGAGGTTTATATTCACGTCTCCCCAGTGCAACGGTTGTTAATGAAATAGCAGCATCTCAAAATAGCTACCGGGACCTCAACCGATCTCAGTGCCCACGGCATTAACATCATTCCCGTGGTACTCACGATTACTCGCAAGTCATAACCGAGTGCACTGCACCGCTGCTGGCACTTCGATGGTTGGGACACCGTACAGCCTACTACATCCCAAATGCATCTGCTCTTCACAACCGATTGTGATATCTTCGAGGCAATGTCATCCGATAATGCCACCATACCTCAAACGGTGGCGTCCCATAGCCGTTTCAAATCCCGTCTTCAAGGACCTGGTCAGTCACGTCTGTTCATTCCTTGGCAATACGATGTCTGGCTGGCCTCTGTCCAAGGAGCATCCCGTGTCATCCAATTTGCAGTTCCAGCAACGAGAATTGATAGCGGGACAGAAGTGACAGCGTGAGCAGGTCGTCTCCAGCAGCAAACTGACCGCGGCTTGAGAGACAACCTGGAGCCTGGAGCGCGCTTACGCCGTAATGCCAATTATCCAGATTGTCAACAGCTTCAATTCCCAGGCTTGAGGCGAAATGTGAGGCATCCAGCGGGTCGTTTAATGTACATTCATATGTGCAGAGATTGAGCGAGAGACGAGGCCAGTGAAGTGTCGTTACTTTATGCTGTTGCGCTAGGTCCCAAAGGAGAAATGAATGCCAGTATGTGGCCTGGTCGATCCCTGCAGCTCATCGGAACCAGCGCGCCCACCTCGTCAGATCGATATTACCCAAAGCCGAGTAAATAAACCGACCGTGGCAAAATGCCAAAATTGTCACATAAATTACAACCACGCTGGGTCGAGACCTGTTCTGTCAGCACGAGATTCCGGATGTTGGGTCCCTAAGACGGCCATGGTGCTCAGCCCAGTCGGGCCTTTGGTATCCAGCTACCATTGACCTTTTGTTGCCACCTGTCACCTGACCCAATATATTTCACTCGGTTACGGCCTGATCGTAAAAGTCGATTGTTATTTTTGGCCTTCTAGAAGACCCAGAGGCCTGTCGAGAGGCTCTTTGTGGGGGAAACGCAATTAACCTTCCCATCGAAGCTTTTCGTATTCCCACTCTAAGAATTCCATCCGCCTTAGCGTTTGCCCGCGCCGTTGGACGCATCACGGCGACTCCACTGTTCCTGACATGGCTAGACACCATCATGAGCACTCCGTCCCGGCGACAGCTCGTGGGAATCATCTCGTATTTGCCATTCGTTTGCTTGCCTAGAGCATTGTCACACCAGCTAGACCGATCCTACGCAATATAGCACTTCTGCGGCCAGACGCAAAGAGTGCAGGCAGGACCAGTCCAGTCCCCCAGGAAATGTCTCTCCAATACACTCAAGGGTATAACGGAGCTAATAATAACACAAGCTAGCCGGAAATGAGGTTGTGATGGCTCGTACCGCCATGGTGACAACAACCTCGGGAGGAGACGAAGTGGCCAGATACACACAGCCCAGAAAGACCTTGGACCGGGAACGCTAGGCGTTGGATATTGATATCGAATTCTGGTCACTGAGGAATCGAGTATAAAGCCTGGGTAGATCTCCCTCCATTGAGAACCATCATCGACCAGCACTCCTCTCATCTTCTGATCCACAGTTCAAACCACAGAGTTCGCTCTTCAGCATCTCCATCACCAAAACCATCAAAATGCACGCCAAAGTCGCCGCTCTCCTCCTCCCGGTCCTGGCCGCCGCCAACCCTCTTCCCCAAGCCAGCAAGCCCGACCCGGCCCAGATCACCATCGTCGACACCAGCTACTCTGGCAACGGCTGTCCTCAGGGCTCCGTCTCCACCACCACCTCCCAGGACAAGACTGTACGTGCCCAGTGTCTTCCCATCCCGGTTCTCATGGTGCTAACAAATCCAAGGTCATCACCTACGGCTTCGACAAGTTCCAGACCTACATTGGCCCCGGCACCAGTCCCTCGGACAAGTCCAAGAACTGCGCTCTCCACCTGAACCTCAGGTACCCCGGTGGCTTCCAGTATGCCGTCGTCGACGCCACCTACCACGGCTTTGCTCGCCTTGACCCCGGTGTCACTGGCACTTTCCTGACCACCTACTTCTTCTCTCAGGATGCCTCCAAGACGGTACGTCAACAGCTCCCACCTCTTTCCCTTGGGGGACACCTTATACTGACAGACTCTTCTCTCTTCTCTAGTCCACGACCCGTTACTCGATCAAGGGCACCGAGAAGCTCGCCCTCGGCGAGGTCTACACCAAGACGGACCAGGTCGAGACGACGGCGACCGTCTGGTCCCCCTGCGGCACCAACGGCATCCTCAACATCAACAACCGCATCTCGCTCACGAGCACCGACTCCAAGGCCAGCGGCGAGCTGTCCAACGACGACGCCACCGTCGCCTTCACCCAGCAGCTCCACGTTGCCTGGAGGCCTTGCACGCCTGGCTCAGGCAACGGCAGCGTCGGCGGCGGCGATGTTGTCGGCATTGGCCAGCCCAGCTCTGATGTCGAGTTTGGCAGCAACTAAGCGGTTGTGGCTCTGAGGGTGCGGAGAGGAGAGTGCGTGGGGAAAGGGGGAGTTTTTCTTTCTTCGGTCTGGTGAGAAAGGGGAAAAGGTGATGGGGGGCTTTGTAAATAGCTGCTCTCCCCCGTGGTTCTGACGCCGATGGATGATGAGTTGTTGAATCGATGATTTTGCTTTCAGAAGCTCTGCCTCATGCTTTGCATCCATTGCTGTGAACTTCATTTTTCTTATTAACCTGCAGCTAATCCTTTTCTATGACAGCAGGAAAACAACAGGGGGGCAAGGATGTTAATTATCCCAAAGAGATATCCGCACACTAACATCATAGGAAACAACAACCCTCACATACAGCGGCAGCAATACCTATTTCTCAAAGATAGTGCAGGAAACCGGGCGGTTGGCGTGTTCAACAGCTTATCGTAGCTGCTGCGTGCTCGACATGTTGGGACTTTTCATGTAGAGCTTGATCATTGCAAAACACGCTGCCAGCTCATCCAATCGCGCTTCAAAGTCCAAAATCAATATCACACTTTTCGATGTCGTTTGAATTCGGGACAACTTGACTGTTGGGGGCACAATGGGTCATGTGATTGAAAACCGACCACCAGACGCATGGAATAGTCGAGTGTTGAGAAGGTTTAATCTCCGTTACCAGGAGGGTAAGCACAGTAACACTCGTGTGACAAGGCAGAAACGAGGCAGCTGAAACCGTCACTATTGTTAATACAAGGGGACGGAATGTAGGCAAGCTCACTGCGTGATAACATAACACAAACATGGGAAGTGGCACTATATGTGCACCATGGAGAGGGAGCGAATGCCCACAATCCCCTTTGTGAAGATCATTCGTGAATACAGAGGAGAGAACATTTTTATTGTCGCAGCTGCTCTGGGAGAATGGAAATCGATGTGGAGAGGCAAAGGAAAGAGTAAAGAGGAAATAAAAAAGAAGAAGAAGAGGAAAAGACCATCTAATCCAGAGATACAATCATACGCCAAAGCGCCCAGTATCCATCCTTCCACTCTAATCAAGCCTGTCATCTCCATCATCACCGGTGTTTTGTGTTGCTTTCCGCATCCCAAACCCAACCCAAGCCAAAATTTCACCAGAAGACCCTCAAGAAAGAGAAAGAAAGCAAGAAGTAGACTCCATTCCAGGAGGAGAGACCAAAAAATTGAGGACTGGAGGTGGTCTTAGAAATGTATCTCGACCGCACATGCATACCAAAACATGTTAGATGAAAAACCAGCAAGTAACGCTTTTGTGCTTTCAACGTGATCTGCGGCGCTCCTGAATCGCTCTCAATACCTCCAACCATTCGCCATCATCATCGCCACCGTCACCCACCCCTGTAGAAGGCACGAGAGATATCAGGAACCGAGAGGTATCGAGAAGCTCAACTAGCGTGTATGGACTTACCGTTTTGAGCCAGCCTCGTGGGCGGGGATGCGCCTTGCACCAGGATGGGATTGCTCTCCACCGCCTGGATGTTGACGTATCCCTCGCGACCGTCCGCGTCCGTCACAAAGCGCGCCAGAGTGATGCGGATGCGGTAGCTTCCGGCTTGCCAGATTTCGAGGCTGTTGAAGATCATGACGCCGACGCCGCGAGGATCGTCCATCTCCATGAATGAGATGGAGCCGTCAGCGGCGGCGTCTCGGAATGAACGGACCGAATCCAATCGCGGGCCCCGGAGCAAGGTGTTCAGCCGGCGAGGGTCATTGGTAACGGTCGAGTTGGGGCCTGGGACCAGGGTGGCATAGGCATACAAATGACTGGAATCACCGACGACGTGCTCCGGCTCAACGTTGGTGGTCCTAAGTCGTACGATGACTGCTCCGGCGAGGGGTGCTCCGGCACGGGCGGTGGCAGGAGGCTGGACGACCACATCCATGGCGTAACGGATGTCTTCGGGAGATGCTGACCGCCTTCCTCTTGATCGTCCGGGGGTTTGACTGCCCGGCCGTCTCGAGGTTCTTGTGGTACCGTTCCCCGGCGCCCGTGGTCTCGCAACAGAGCTCATTGATCCGTCTGTACCCTGAGGTGTCGTGTTACGTCCGTTGGATAGCTGTGCAAGGCGAGCTGATCTGCGAAGACTGGATGATCGGGTCTGCGACTGTGAAGCGGCGCGCCGTGAAGTTGAAGTCAATCCTCTCCTCGACGTACTCCGGGCGGGATGTGAATTTCTACCTCTTCCGCCTCTTCGGCCCCTTTGCATCTGACGAAGGATAAACACCTACAAAGGTTACTTAGTAGAAGTTTCAGGGAATACCTTCCGGGCAATGCTCAGCCTGTTGATGCAGTTATGCCGGGACCAGATGCAAGAAACAAACAAGCTACAGGCAAAAGAGAGTGCGAAAAGAGTGACACAATCGAACGGGGAAAAGGCGCACAGCGCCGGCAGCCCTAATGTACCCAGTACCCTTCACACCATGACGCTACAGGATTGGTATGAAGCTGGGTGCAGAAGAAGAGGAGATTGAGGCTCAAGCCATGAGTCAGGCTCCATGGTGCTCTTCAGTAACCTCACCAGGCCCTTTAATCTTATCCCGACTTCTTTCTGAGGTCAGAGGGCCGGTCACTGCCTTATCTGATAAGATATAGGTGGTGAGGTGAGGTCGAAAGAAGGACAGGACCTCGGGCTGGGGGTGCTTCATTGTAGGGGAAGCGTATAGGCGCTATCATGCGGGCGGGAACCGAACAGGCTAAAAAGGCATGGGCGGCGTCGAGAAGCGTGAAGAAGGGAACAGGGACCTAGGTGAGGAAAGAAAAAAAGCTCGGCACAGGATGGGTGAAGGGGTGTCAGGGTGTGAAGGATGGTGAAGATGGAGCGTGAGGTGTAGCAGGAAGAGCAGGAAGAAGGTTGGGGAAGCATTGACTAAGCCCCTGCGAGCGAATATGCATCCTTAAAGAGGAAAAGCACGGTTTGCCATGTGGGGAACAAGGATGGCGGGATGGGGAATGAGGCAGGAGCGAGGGAGGGAGGTGCAAGGTGACAAGGGTTCGGATGAATGAGTGCTGCTCACCTGCTCACCTCCGCGTTTCTTCGTCTATACAACAACACCACCACCACTCCTACCACTGCAGCTTTGCACCACGCTCCCTTTCGGGCAGTCGGATAGCGACCGGGTGTGCAATGCCGGGAAGGGGAGTGGGGAGCTGACGGGATAGATCGTCGCGCGGCCCAGTCCGTAAGTTGGGGGCTGGTGCCGGAACGGATAGATGGGATTCCTGCATCACCGTTGAGATATATCAGCCATGCTTTCCTCGAATCGCCTGCTGCCGGAGCATAAAGGCCCCATCCGAGCTCACCTCACACCTCATGTCCGTGGAGTACATACCCGCTTCCTCGGTTGGCCGTCTCGGAACCTGCTACACGGGCAACAGATGATCGATGCTAGGCCAGAGCTGTTCAGAGGCAACGAATGCTTTCGAGACTGCGCTGCAATGATCAATCGACTGATGCACTTCTCCATTCATGCCTCAGACACGGCTCACCGTTATATACTATAAAACGCCAGCTCCAGTCCTTCCCGCGACAAAGGCTGTTGCCGCTCCTGGTGCGGGTCGCGGCCGTGGGCCTCCAATATTGACGGCGCTGCCGCACGCCCCTCCAGTAGTACCCTTACTCGCAACCTCTGGTGGATCAACTGCACAGCTGTCGCCTTGCTTTCCTGCTTCTGCCCGCGCCGTCGCTGTCGCTCGCCATATCAGAGACGTCCCTATGGCTTGTGGCGTACTCCACTGCTCGCTTTGGCTCTGGGTTTCCCAGCTGCTGCACCCCTTCTGTTCACCCGTAGCTTCGGTGCACGAATGCAAACCGGATGAGGAAAGATAAACTTCCAGATGCAGTTATCCGTCAAGGCGCCAGGTGCTCCCTCAGTGGTCAGTGGCGACGCAGAACAAATCCACCTAGGTAGCTAGATGCGTGTCATGGCCTTGGTGTACTGGAGAGCCGGGTTAGCAAAACGGCGGAGCCCAACCAATGGAACCCGTTCCATTGGCTGCATGTGCCAGAAAAAGCACTCCTTTGGTACCTCCCATTGGCGCACGCCTTTCCTCGCCATCGAGTGGCTGCCAGAGGGTCGTCATCAAGGGTGCCGAGCTGAACATGGGCGTCAACATTCACCCCCTCTGCCAGACTGGAGCAGGAGTGCTCCAACGCCTGCTGCGGCACCGAGGAGAGCGTTTTCATACAACAACCACTTATACCGAGGCTGGCTACTGTTGCCAATCGCAAAGGTACCGTCCTGCACGCAGGACGCCGCACTGTCCTCGACGCCATCTCGGAGCGTCATTGTGCTCATTGGCCACGTTCTTTTTGCAAGTCGATACGGAGCCGTGGAGAAGCCGAAATCAATGAGGAAGGTGATCTGTGAAATAGCAAATCTACTCGCGCTGCTTACTGCCCTCTTTGCTCGAGGGCATGGAAAGGGATCAACGGAAGGGTCAGATTTCCTGTCTATGGGGGGTGCTTCGCAAGGGGCCATGCTGGATGGTACGGATTGTCAGCGCCGCTAGTCCCAAGTGGCTGGGCCGCTTCTCTAAGCCTCCCGACGCTGTGGTTAGCCGAGCGATCCCCTCGTGTTATGTCAACCCATCGGATTCCGATCTTGATCTGATCTCATCTCATCTCATCTGGCAGTCTACACATCTGCACTCCTCCTCGTCGGCCACGAGACATTTTGCCTCCCATCATCGGCAGCTGTGTGATCCGTTGCAGTTTTTGAAGGCTTTAAGCTTTCGCAGCACAAACTCTGTGCGCGCAAATCTTGTCATGCTAGGAACGGTAGACCCTCTTCCAAGTCTGGATTCTGTCAACCCTCAAGTCCCACCTTGTCGGGCTACACCGCGTCTCTCCCCCGGATTCACTATCAATTCCATGGATCGTCCCCTCGAGGTGGCGCAATGCTCCGTCTCTGGACCGCTCGCATGCTGGTGTCACATCCCATGACTCGTGCCTGCTATCTGGCAACCTGGTACTGCAGAAGAGGCACTGTCGAGTGGCCAACCCACCTGCCTTAAGCAAGAGTTCCATTGAGTGAACAACCAGACATCGAAGTGCACAATGGACATCCATCGACCGGCCATCACTTCATCTGCTTGGCCACCACCTCGAAACCACGAAGCCCGGGAGTCCCCCTTACCACCCAGCAGATGTATAAATCGGAATTGCCAGTGCGTCCTAACCCAAAGTACACCTCTTTTACAGAACACAGGTTTGGTTAGTGGTGTTGCCAGGTCGCCGATATCTCCCTAATGGGCACAAAGTCCAGTCAGGAATGGAGTTGGCCTCTGCAGACTGCCTTCAAGACGACCGTCAAGGACTCCTTTCCAGTGTACGAAAGTCGGTCTCGCTATAACATCACGACAGCATGTGGCGTTTATCGAGTGCAGCAGTTCGACGTCCATTCCCAGTCTAACCTTCTCCTTTGACATTCAGTCAGCCACACTTGCGTCATGGCTCTCTATGCTCACCGCTTTGCCCCTCTGGTGGACGCACTGCCCAGCCAAAGCGCCGCCGACCCGTCTCTCTTCCTACTGTCGTCTCCCCTCTCCTCGGGCCATCAGCGGCAATATCTGAATTACTTGCCTCATTTTCCTTGCCTTTTTCAGCCAGCTACTTCCCCCAACTGCTGGCGCTCTGCTCCGTCTTGCGCCGCACTGATGTTCGGACTGACGTGACGGCATACGCCGGTGGCAGATCCAGGGGGAAGCGAGTCCGTCGCATCGTCGTTTGTTTTTGCCTGTTCCAGAGAATCAAAGAGGCCTCGTTTCCTGGTCGCCCATCCCCGTTCCGGTCTTCACTCGCATACGTGTGACGGATTGGCAAGGTGCGTGTGCGAGCGCTTAGTATTGCTTCCATGGCAAAGGGGAGTGTGTGCTTTATGCAACTTCAATACTTGAGAGATGGACGAATTATGCGCCTGCATGCATCTTGATTGTGGAAAAGGAGATTGTAATCAGAGGCATAGCTTGGAGCCAACATGTATACAAGTAACGGCAAGGTTACTGACACATCCCTTGAGTTTCTCCAAACGTTGCAGCGACTCGAAAACAGAGCTGCAAGATAATGGAAAGGATATTGTCGGCTTCAAAGACCTAATTGTTAACTATAAAACTGTTATTGCTATTGCTATAAACAATATCTATCTGTATATATTTGCTGTATTCTCCCTTCTTATCTTAAACTGCATTAACCTAGACGCACGACCGCCGCAAGCGGGAGGGTGGTTCAATAGTTTAAAGATGCGATTGAGAACACGACTAGTGACCTCCGAGAGTACCTTGAGCGACTTCATGAGCGGTTCCAACGTCTTCGCGCTCGAGGAACTCACAACGGTGCATTCGACAGAGAATGGACCACTCGGGAGATGGAAAGTGTTAAACAGAGCGTTGCAGCATGCTCTTGCGCTTTAGATTACGTTGCAAAAGTAAGGGTAAATAAGTTGAACAGGTTATTTCCGACATCCTGTCATTTTTCCACATCTGGTGACCTTATTTCAGCGAAGAGAGTCAGCGGTAGGTGCGGAGCAACGCAGTGGTTGGGAACAAATGTCTGACGCTACTCTGCAACAGTTCATTCAGAGTCGCACCAATGCTTCGGGGATAGGGAAAGTGTAGAAGAACAGGCGAAGGGAGCCATTACGTTTGAGGAAAAGTATGGAATTGGGCATAGCTTGAGGTTCCCTTAGTTGATTCGCGGCAATTTGGAGAGTAGAGGGACCAGTAGCATGATCTATGGCAAACTGGTAATAATGCTATGAAGGTTTAAAAAGATTCTTCCCCTCTCCCTGATCCCTCTTCCCATTCCCTTTTACATGATCCCTACTCCTTGTGGAGAAGTGTATGGAAGCCTGATCAATTTGGTGAGTTCGCCCTTGATGTAGACGATCTTGGACGGCTAGGCCAGGAACCTAATACGTCCCTTCCCCCCTCCTTAACGTACTCTCTGTGATAGATATACTCACAAGCATCAACGACTCACGCAACCTGAGCCCCGTGGATACTGGAGCCACCGTTCGTCACAAAATCTTATCGCCGCATCCACAGAGCTGTGCATGGTTCATAGGATTTGGCGACGGAGCGATAAACACTACATCATTTCAATCTTGTAGGGACTGCACTTCCCCTGCATTTTCTCAATGTGCGACCCACTCGACTGTGCGACACAAGCGTCTGCATTTATTAACTTCTGACGGCCACCCGGTGTTACGTGGTCATAGGCGTTTTGATCTTAGATGGACTAACAAGGCGGGAACCCACTGACCAACTGAAACAATCGGATTTCTATGAAGACAGGCGGAAGCTCTCTGGACCAGGCGTACCATGGCTCCCTTTCCTCCTTCATCCTACACGTCGGACCTCTCCATCCCAACTGATTTACCCTTGTTCTACTCGTATTATCCTACGAAAATCGGCACCAACACCCTACATCCTCTCCACAGGCGTCAACCCCAACAACCTCATCCCATTCCCCAACACCTGCCTCGCCGCCACATACAAGGCCAACCTCGCCAACATGGTCTCCCGCTCACTCCCTACGACCTGCAGGTGATCATAACTACTGCTCAGACTATGCGCCATCTTGAACAGGTACGTCAAGACGGTCGTCGGCTCCTGTGTCTTGACCGTGTTGAGGAACACATCCGGCCACAGCGCCAACTGCCGCACCAAATCAACCGCATGGGGTTCCGTGAGCAGCGAGAAGTCGACCTGGGTGGCGAAATCCACGTCCGCGAGGTCGGGATGCGCGGCCCTGGCCTTGCGCTCGATGGAGTTGAGTCGCGCGTGTGCGTACTGCAAGTACGGTCCCGTGTCGCCCTCGAAGCTCGTCATGCGGTCCATGTCGAAGTGGTAGTTGTTGATGCGCTTGCCCTTCATGTCCTGCACCATGACGGCTGAGATGCCCAGCACGTCGGCCGTCTTGTCCGGGTCTTCGACCTGGGCGTACTTGTCCGCGTTGCTGCGCATGACGTCGTGCATCTTCTCGCCCACGTCCCTCAGAATGTCGTCGAGGAACTTGGCGGTTCCCTTGCGGGTAGACATGCCCAACACCATGCCGAAGTTGATGTGCTGGCATTTGTCGGCAATGTCTTTCCAGCCCATGGCCTCCTCGATCTTGAAGAGTTGCGCCAGATGAAGATCCTGCTGGGATGCAACCACATAGATCATCTTATCGAAGTGGTACTTTTCCATGCGCTCCTTCGCCGTGCCAATGTCGCGGGTCAGGTATAAACTAGTGCCGTCCTTTTTCTTGATAATGGCTTTACCCAGTTTCTTGGAGTACTTCGTCAAATCGACAATGACAGCCCCCTCGCTCTCCTCCGAGACGCCCTTCTCCGCCATGATCCGCGCTGCCTCCTCCATGCTCTCCTCTTTCACTTGGCTCTCGCCGCTGTAATCGTCATACCGGATATTCAACCTCGCATACGTCTCCTTATACTTCGCAATCGACAAGTCACGGAATTTCTTCCAGGTACCCAACGCCGTGGGCTCGCCATCAACCATGCGCTTGAAGTAGTTCCTCGCCTGCTGATCCACGCCTTCCTCCTCAATCTTCTTCAATTCCGCCTCCTTCACACTTGCGTCTTGGCCCTCCTCTCTCACTTTGGCGATCTCGGCCTTGAGCGCCTTCGCGGCGTCTGCCTCGTCAGCAGCAATCTTGCTAATCTTGACGTACACATCGTACAAGTGGCCGATAGGGTTCTTCTCCAACTCCTCCTCGGATCCGAACTTATCGAAGCCCACGGCAAGGACACCATACTGCTTTCCCCAATCGCCCAAGTAGTTCATACGAACAACATCCCATCCCGCACCCTCATATAAATTCGACAGAAACCCACCAATAATCGTACTCCTGAGATGCCCTGCATGGAACGGCTTCGCGATATTCGGGGAGCTGAATTCGACGATGACCTTCTTCCGGCCGGCGGCGGGGTTGCTAGGGTCCTTGAGGCCGAGGTTGGGGTTGAAGCCGTACGTGGGGCCTGCTTTGAGGATTTGCGGGAGAACGATCGAAGTGAGCGCGGCGGGCTTGAAGAAGAAGCCAACAAAGGTACCGTTGACGACTGGTTTGGCAACGAGGGGGGATTCGGGGAACTGTGAGACTTCCCATTAGTTGAATTGTTTCGCGAAGTGACGCGTAGGTGGCGGGGACGATGCGACAGTTGGCATACATTATCACCAATCTCCTTTGCGAGCTCCTTCATATCCTTCCCCTTTAACCTTAACGCCGGCACGGCCATCTGCAAATCTCCATTCTCGGGCTTTGCCGTCCACGCCAGCGTCTTGTATATCGTCGCAGCCTCAATGCCTGTCTGCTTCGCTAGCAGCTCCGAGATATGCGAACGGTAGATGTCGAAGGGATTGAGGGCGGGATACGTGTTTCGTTCTTGCGGTACGGTGGAGAGGCCGACTTTCTGGAGGGTGCTGGTGATGTCGGCGATGGAGAGAGTATGGTCGGTCGCGTGGGGATCCATGGTGGCTGTTTTGCTGTGGCGAGAGAAGGGATCGAAGAATTGGTCCTGTTGCCTTTGAACTGTGTGGAAACGAGAGCGGTGGTGATGAAGTGGTGTGGTTCGAAAGACTACGTTTGCAGCGAGGTAATTGATGCTGCGCTTGCTGGGGCACAGAGTCACAAGATGGGGAAAATGAGTCGTCGCCAGCGGCCGTCCCAGAAAGGTAGTCAGAGAAGTGAATGGTAGAGGAGTCGGAGTGCGACCGCGCGGCATGCAGAAGTTGCAGCGGTTGACTTTTTGGGCGGGGTTGAGTCAACGCAGCCCTGCGATTGCTTTGCTCTGCCCAAAAAATAGCGGCAACGCTAGTGGCAGGGGTCGTATCGCCAAGATTTCGCGGATAGGCACAGGAACGGAAGACATCTTCTTGAAGTGTTGACTTTGGAAGGACTCTGTGGAGCCAAGGTAGAAGTCCTTGGCAACTTGACTCGCCCTGGAAAGCCATGCATGGATGGAAGAAATCTCAAAGAGAATCTTGAGGATAAAAAAAGTGACAAAATCCAACGAGGCAGTTTTCGTCCCCTTTGCCAGTGACATTGGAGAAAGGATAGCGCCAGAAGAGTACGTAATTTTCATCTATGAATCTCGGAGAGATATGAGAAACCAGGGCACTCAAACGTCGTCTTGGAAACTGCAAAGCCCACATTCACTGCAAGCCCGCGTCGACTCAAAGGGGTCCCTAGGTCCTTCACCGTTCAGGGACGTGTTTTATCTTGACTTGACTTGAGATATTGTGTTGCGTCTCACTGGCCGGGTTAACACAGCAAGTCATTGCAATTGAACTCTGGGTATGAATTCTACTTAGCGTCGAATCAGTCAAACATCACGAGCAACTCCCACCTTCTTCCTCATCCCCTCACAGGACTCATCACAACCTTTCGGAGATGATTGAAGACCTCATCATATCTCTCCCAACTCCCGACCGGTCAACGGGCTCAGTCTACTGGGTTCTACAGCCGTCCCTCTGATTGGTACACATATCGCTCGGTCCCCTCCTCTCCGTGCTGAGAGCGGAAAAAACAGGCGCAGAGGTCGTGTCGTACTGCATATGCCCTTCTCGTTGCGAATTCAGCTCTGCCTTTCTCCTTGGTCAGCTCATGCAGACTGGCAGCGGAGAAGAAGAAAAAAAGCAACGCGTGATCGGCAGTTTCCGGGTTCGGAGGGAGCCGCAAAACAGAGGCGAGCATCTGGGGGCGAGCACGAAGAGGCCATTGTGCGTGTGTAGGTATGTGTACTTATGAAACGACCAAGAAAAAAGCGGCCTCGATTTTCAATTGCCGTGAAGCATATAGACTTCCTCCTGTCCAAGCACAGTGCAGCAGCCCAATACAAGCTAGCTTGACAATCTGGTATCGCTCAAGATGAGAAGTGGAAGACGAAAATAATAGGACAATCAAACACAAACGCTCCCTATTTTGCTTTCGTGAATAACTCTCGTGCCACGTCGCTTCGTCGCCGTCATCAACATCATCATCATGCTCGTTATCCAATCCAAAGCGCTTCAACCAGCAACAGCCGGGAAAGAAAAACAAAAAGGGGGGTATTAGAATCCACCAAGCCCAAAGAATCAAGTAAACCGCGAAAGGGATATAAATCGAGCCTTAAGTCACAGCGAACAAAGACGAACAACGCTCGCTTCGGACGAAAAGAAACGGAAAAAACGAAAAAAAGAGAACAGTTATGAGAAGGGTTGAAACAAGATGGCCAAAACATGTCCGAGCGCAAATCGTACAATTCAAGCAATCCTTGAAATAACCCGGGCCGCCTCCACGCCCGCAAATCCGAGGTCAGGTTTTGTGTGCGTGAGCGTCCCTGTCTAGCCAAATGGGAAACGAGCAGGTGAGATGTTGCAATGGAGGAGCCCCTTTCATCGGCGGCGTTTGTGGAGTGATGCCACAATGAGACTTTTTGGTAGAAAGACTTTTTGCGGTGCCGCATCGAACCCCCCGATGAACCAAGGCGTAGAGTGTAAGCAAAGGGAGAAAGGGTATGAGAAAGTAGAAGCAAAGAAATGAAAGGAAACTGAAAAGGAAAAGTGCCCCAGTATCGTCCGTCTATTGGCGGTACAACTTCTCGCCTTTGCGCCGTAGAGGGCGAGCCTCAACATCGCGGTCGCGGTCGCGCCTGCTTTGGCTGCTGCGAGAACTCCGCGTGGAAATCTCTTCGGCTTCACGCCGCGACCTCTCAATCCTCTCAAGCCGCTCAGGCCTTTCTGCCCTGCTCACAACAGTTTTTCTGTCATAAACGCTGCCCCTTTCGCTGCGATACGCGCTTTCATTTCCGCGACTATCAGCAATGACAATCTCAGCCATACCGTCCTCGCCAGGCATGATCTGCAGGGTGCGACCTTCCATATCTCCGTTGAACTGGAGGCGAGCAGACCCGTCGACGCGAAGGCGTAGCTCGCCGCCACCATTCGTGACAGTGGTTCGAGCGGATTGACTGACGCGGCTTGCCTTATCGCTGCCTTTACTGCGTGAGGACCCTGCTTCCGAAGCGCCAGAGATGATCCTGGACCCGCGTTTGGCAGCTCGGTGGACTTGATCGTTCAACGGGGCGTCGCTTCCACGGGTGCGCTGCTGATATGCCTCGACGTCGTTGGCGACCTCGCGTAGCTTGCTGCTGCTGGAAACTTCGTTGCGTATGCTGGCATCTGTCCGCCGGCGGCGCTGGGTGGGTATGATGATGTCTGCAGCTGCGTCTTCGTCGAAATCTACTCTGGAGCCACGCCGATCTGACTCGACTCGATACCGCGTTTCGCCGCGATATCGCTTTTCGTACACCTGACCCTGATATGACCGGCGCCTTTGCGCCCTCGAATCCTCGACCATAATCTGAGCATTTCGTGCAGTTTCAAACGCTGATTGCGCCTTGGGCTGATGCAGCAAGGGCGGACGAGAGGGCGCTTTGGAAGCGGACCGCGATGGAGCCGCACTAGCGCTCACTCGCGACTTGCGAGAGTGCCGCTCATGATCCCGCTCAGGTTCGAGCGTCAACGACTGAGACATTGAAGATTTTCGCCGTTCGGACTTGGACGAGCTTTGTCGATGGCTGGGTTGACGCTGAGCAGAAGGCTTGGCCTTGGGTGGCGGCATAAGGGCACGGCTGTTTTCTTCCTCCTCGTCTGAATATCCCGCTTCAGAAGAGCTTTCGTCGTCGTCGTCATCGTAATCGTCGAACCGCGACCGAGAAAAACGTTTCTGGGTTGCGCTACTGGGGACGTTGGAAGGATAACGAGCGGAGGGCATGTCGCCGGTATCCTGCGTCAGCAAAGGCTGCCCATATACCTGTAGCGCTGGTCGGCGAGCGTTGAAGTTGGATGAGGTTCGAGAATGCATTGGCGGTCGCTGCATGTCGTACTGAGGGTGGTGCATCTGCATATGGGGCGGGGCATAGAAGCCGCCACCAGAAGGACTGGCTCCCAACATAGCATATCCGCTCATTTGAGGCTGGGGGAGATTGTGGTAGGCGGATAGCGCGGGCGGAGGTCCATGTGGCTCATGAGCCTGAGGGGGATATTGTCCAGGAACTGGCATTCCAGGGACCCAGAATAGTTGGGATGGATCTCCAGCAAAGCTTACTGGACGGCCTCGAGTAGCGGACGAAGCGCGTCGTGGTCGTGAGGTCTGGGCCGGTTGGACGATTGCCGAGCCCTGCGCGTATGAGCCTGGGTGACGTGTATATGTAGGCGATTGGGGAGCGTAGGAGGTGGTAGACGGTGCAGGATCGGACCGTTGTGACCGCTGATCGTCGAAGGGAGGGTATGAGATGTCGAGACCGGACTCAAGTGGAGACGGTTTTGGTCTGCCACGGCGAGGGCCAGGGCACCGATCACAGTTGGGATCCTCGCACTCCTGGCTTTCCGACGTCTGGCGCTCCCTTCGTGGACGGTTTCGAGACGAAACAGAGCCGGACCGCGCTAGAGGCCTCCTGACACCGCTCTCGCTGCTATGACGCTCATCCCTCGACAAGGTAGGACGCCTCTTGCTCCCGGCAGGGCTGTCCGAGGGCAGAGGGGCAGCGTTCGCAGGGGCAGCCGGAGGGCTTTGCGACTTTGCACTTGGTCCCGAATCAGCGCTGCTCATGGTCGCGGCGGTATGGCTGGAATACCCAGAGTCGCTCTGGAGGTCAATGTTGGTGACCTTTTCAGCGGCGGGTGCCTTGTCGCAGTTGAGGTCGGACGGTTGAGATCTTCTGGCAGCGACATTGGCTCCGATGTTGGTCTGGCCTGAGGCATGGCCTGAGGCAGCGGCGGCGGGGGAGCGACGGAAGGATTCGTTGATGCCGCTGTCATGGTCGCTCTCGTCGGTCGAGTGGCAGTCCTCGACCGTCGCCTGGAGGCTGCGAGGGCCGGCCATGGTGGGAGGAGAGGGGTGACGGCCAGGCGTGCGACGGCTACGTCGAGAGGAAGGGTATGTGGGTTCTGGGTTGTCGGAAGTGGGCTGTGGAGTACGTGGTGTGTGGGTTGGAGGAATGGTGGTCAGCGAGGCCTGAGGCCACAGGCCCAAGGCCGACTTTGGCAAATTGGGGGGCCTGCGGGAACGGAACGGTGCGATATCGATAGCGGGTAATAACGCGCACCTCACGACTGCGATCGTCTGGCAACACTCAGGCGGCGGTCAGAATAATAACAATGAAGCGAGGGCATCGGGCGCAACGGCGGCGGGGGTGTTCCTGGGCGAGGGCGGGTGGGAGAGTTGAGTCGTGAGGAAGAGTTGGTGGTGAGAGGGAGGAAGGGAGAGAGGAAGCTCACACGCACCGTGGCCGTATGACGAGCCTGCCTGCAGAAACAGGGGAACTTTTTTTCACCCTCCCTCTCTCTCTGGGTTTTTTCTCTCTCGCAGTCGGGTGCGAACAGACGACATGGGATAATTTGGCTCAGCGCTTGCCGGCTGGCATGAATTACTTATATAACGGCCTAACTTAACGCTCATAAAATACGGGCTTCGTTGGGCGCACACGGGCACCACGACCAACCCTCGACTCGACAAGTATTTAGTAGGGCCAACTTTTTACAGCCCATCATGCTGGGCAGCAATCACGGAGCGACGGCCGCGAATCTCCTCTCTCCCAGCAGCCTCCCAGGAGTCATCCCTCACTGCTTTCTGGCAACTCTGGCAGCGGGGCGAAAGCCCTTGCGCAGTGAATGGTGGCACAGTGCCAACGCTGGGCTCATGACTGTGTGCTCCATCAGAGAGTGAGCCGTCATTGCATCTGGCACGCACCTGGCGAGCTCGACTGCAAGCGTTATAACTTAATTGCCGTCCCAGGGTCGACAGTGCCCTCCCACATGCGCTTGTGTTCCACCCTCGCCCGTCACTACGAATAAGTAGCCCAGTCGCAAATGTGCGTAATCATGGCCTGCGTCTGAGGAGGAAGACTTGCTGACCGGATGGATGGCTGTCGTTCGCTCTCACGACTTGGGTGCATGGCGGCCGGATATCTGGTCGAATCGCCACGTCTGAAACTGCATGGCCGCAGCATTGCCCCGGGTCCCTCATGCATCTCCCTCCATCTCTCTCTTCTCCAGAATCTGCCATTTTCACCGCTTCTGCTGTAGGCCGCCAGAGCATCCATCCGATGCCATCTCATGCATCCATACCGCGAAAAAACATTCATACATTCAAAGGTGTAGCCCAGCTTGTACTGTACTGTCTACTGTGTACACTGTACGGAGTAAGTACCCACGGTAGGACTGCACCTTATTACTCCAGGGCAGTTAATTACTGGTAGTAAGGGTTTAGCGGCTGATCGCCCTCCCGCCCGTTAGCCCTCGACAACCACCACCCCTTCCCTCCCCACCCATGCATCTGCTTCCTCTTCTTAATCTCCTAAGCATCGCTGCAGAGAACCATTGCTACTTGCGTCTACTCTTCCTTCCGTCGTGATCTTGCCAGGCCATTGCTTGGTCCAGCCAACGTCAAGCTCGTTCTGGCATGCAATAAGAACACTGCGTCTCCACGCCTCCATTCACTCCAGCAGTCTTGCACGCTAGGAAAGTTTTCTGCTCTTCGCCACTACCCAGAGTCCTAGAGAAGCACGACTTGTGCTGAGTTGTGCTGACCTGGGACGCGCAAACCGGATCTGCACCAAGATCATGAGCACCCTCTCGCCATCGAGATATCGACCAACTATATAGAGCCACTTGTATCCCGTGTAACCTTTCCGCCTACCCTAGTCCTCCGCTAGCCTAGTCCAAGAATTCCGGTGAACATTTCAGGAAACAATTCGCCACACCATATCTGTACACGACAGTCCCTTGGTCGACTCGGAAGGAGGATACTCCAGCGAGGCTCCTTATAGCGAGGCGAGCCGTTGTGAGGACCCATCTCGTGAAGCAATCAGTTTCGTTTTTGAGGAGCGGTCCACGTGGAATATCCCTGTAGGAATGTGCTCAAGACAGACGGCACGAAGCTGCTATGCAGTGTGTGTCGTATGGCAGCGTTGATTCTTCTGCTTTTCGCTGATTTCCGACTCTCATGATTGCACCAAAAGAAGCCGAAGTCAGTAATGCGCCGAGTCGCATTGCTGAAGGTCGTCAATCCTTCCATCAGTGCTAGTTCCCTCAGCTAAACTGCCCCAACTCTTGATCACCTTCGGCTACGATCCAAGAAACATCATGCTGTCCGCTCATCCCAAGAAACACTGTAGCACCTTGAATTGCTCTGCACCAACAAGGTACAACGTGCTTACATAGGTAATCATCGGGATCCATGTCTAGAGTAACACAGAGAGCGTGCAAGATATCTGTTCCGACCCAGCAGTAAACCACTGTTACTGCATCCTTGGATTCCAAACAAACAAGGCTCTATGATATTCCCTTGCGGTTGCTGTGTAAACTAGGGTCGGCGACTTTGCGGCTCCAGCACGCCCTACCATTCGGAGCTTTATATATCATAATCAACACAAGATCGGTATCGTGACAGAGCGATATCGGGTACTTTTGTGCAACGGTCTGATGTTCCTGTAAATTGGGGTTTACGTTAGTATCCGTCAATGAAGCCGGTTTCGTTCGGTTTCGCTGTCTATGTAAATTTTGAAATCAAGTTTTTTTGCCATAATTCCTGCACTGGTGAGATGGCCGAGTTGGTTATGGCGCCAGGTTAAGGTTCTCTTAACATCTGATTCCTGGTCACGAAAGTGGCGTGGGTTCGAGTCCCACTCTCATCAACATTCGTCCTTCCGTGTGGAAGGGTTTCGGGAAACTCTTTTTTTTTCATTCCAAACTTCTTTTTATGCTTTTCAGAAACTATGTTGGTGGCCAAGAGGGGATTGGGGCGAACCACGTGGGTGTATATTTGGGATTGGGATCAGTTTATTAAGAATGCTCGCAGTGGGTGGTTTCGCTTTTTAGCACGAGACTGACACTCGTGGCTTCTTCACTAGCCCGACGGTGAAAGCCCGTTGTCAGAACTCCGGACTTCATTCGGTACTTCTCTATGACTCAATCCCGTCCCTTTCTTCCCCCCAAAGCAAGGTACCAAACTTGTAATCGCCGCCCAACGCCGACCGTTAGAAAAGCCGATTGGGTTCCAAGCTTTTGGGCAGTACATATGTACTGTGTACCTTGCTTGATGCCCAGCGGTAACCCCACCACAATCTAGAAACCCGAAATTTCTAGGTCTTGCGGCTGGGAATCGTCGGGCGGAGGGGGACAAAATGAGGCCCAAAAGGTACCCGAAGAAATGGAAGGTAGGGTACATGCAGCCCAACGCATGCGCTCCAGCTGGTAGGGCTGATGATCGCCGCGCACCGGGATGTGGGATCGTGCGCTGGGCTCGAGGGAAAGGTGCGAATGGATTTTCACTTCACGCAGCTTGTGACATGCAGGAGAAAATAGCAGAAGATGTCTTTCCGAGTCTAAAGTTGGTCACTCCGCATCTTCCCTCGATCCAAACGAACCCATTGAGAATAACCCGCGGCCGGGAAGCTATCCTTTCTTTTTCGCCTTTTCCTTCCCCCTCCCTCCCATCCCCGGTAAACGCAGTCGGGCACAGTAGACATGTACTAAACGATGAAGCACTGCCTACGGAGGGCTGTTTCAAGTCCAACTCATGCATTAGCCTAGAGTCCTATTTCCTACAAACAAGAGTTGCTCTTCTATTACCACACACGATAACACGTTCACCAAGTTCTGGGGTGCTTCTAACCATGATTTCCATCTAGCCCATTCACTTAACCAGCAACCTCGCACTACAGAAGAACTTGCGGCGTTTCTTTCCAAGGCTATCCTCAGACCTCTTGCTCTTTCGAAACCAGATAAAGGGATCGCGATTACTTATCCTGTTTAGAGCATTTTGTTTATTGTGCACGTCTATACAGTAGAAACTGTTCGGGGACGGCCGCTATGCGTCTTGTCATTCAGGTGACTGCCTCGAGTGCTATAAATGCAGGGGCATGAACGACCACACAGCTGTAAAACACACTCTACTCTAAACTTCTCAAACAAGTTTGATGATTTCGACAATGGGTCCCCACGTTGCGGATACCTTCCACTTTGCGGGTATCCACTCAGAACTGCTGAGGATACGGAGGAAGCACGTTTAATGATCACAGGAGGATTACGACGAGTGATGCACGTTTCGACGGCGATGGGTATGGATATGATATCGTACACTATGGATATCCAATATTACAGCAATTGTCCCCTCTCTTCCTTTCACCAAGTTTCTCTTCTCTCTCTCTTCCTCCTCGGCTTGATGCTCTTTAATCAGACAACAAAGGACGATACAATCTTTTTTTACACTTCCCTTTTTTCGGATGCATGCGGCTCCCACTCCCATCCCTTCCAACCTACAACATACCGCAAAGCCCACGCTCCGAACGCCCAACTAGAAATTACACCAGCCAGCAGCGCAAAACTGCCAAATGATAATGATAAAGTCCAAGAACAAAGGAAAAGAAACCAGCCAACACAGACCCAAACATAGGAATGAGGGGAATAATGCCTAAAGAGTGACAGCAGTAGAACCCGAGGAATGTCAGGAAAACAACATTAGCAAGGAAAATAAGGCAACTGACAACAAAGCCACCCTACAACGCCAGAATACAAAGCACCGGTCGTAACGTCGTGAGACACCTTTTACACCTCTCTCTTACACACATATTCAAGCCTGATACGCCGGCGGCGCATCCATCTCGGCTGCGCCCTCCACCGCCCACATCGCCGCTGCCGCCTTCGCCCCCCTCCCGGGCTGCGGATGATGCAGAATGCTTTCCCTTGCACCGGCACCCGACGCTGCGGCATCTGCCCTGCTCTTCTCCTCAGATACCTTCCTCGCGATCTCCTGCGCCATCTTGAGCATCCACGCCTGCTCCAAGATACCCCCGCTAGACGAGGCTAAGCTCTCCGCATAGGGGGGAGACATGGCGCGGTGTCTGCTGGGATACGCTTGATGCGGATGTACCGACGAGGATGCAGCTGACACTCGGTCAAAAGAGAGGGAGCGGAGGAGCGGGGTAGTGGCTCGTTGGAGACGAGTGTGGCTGAGTGGTGCTGGGCGTGTGGACGAGGACGAGGAAGTCCGCTTTTCCGTCCAATCTGTTTCTTGCTCCTGCTTCGACTGTGTCTGCGCTCGGGGAATGTCAGATGGGAGCGGGGCGGGTGGAAGTAAAGCCTCAGGCCGCGTTTTCTCCGCCGACTTGCCGTTAGTACTCGAGTCAGTCGCTTCCCTCAGAGTCCTCGTGCTTGCCCTCTTGTCCAACCACTGCGCGCGCTGTGGTTCGTTCTTCGGAGTCGTGGCGAAATCTTCCTCCTGAATAACTTCGTGCATGAGGCTCGACGTCTCGGACACATTCGCGCTGGGAGCTGGGGTGCTCGTCTCGGTAGACGCGCCAGAGGACTCGGCGCCATCTCTATCCTTCCTCAGGTTAATGACGCGCTTCTTGCGCTTCCGCTGGGGATGCGTCCGGAGTCTATTGGCGCCAAGGGTGAGCCCAGTGGAAGAGTAACTGGAGACCAGCGTGGGTCTTGAGCTATGGCTATCGTTGCCTGTGCTTCCGGACGCCAGGGACGAGGGATTCGACTTATGGCTGCTTACAGTGGATTGGATCCTTGATAGGCTAGATTGGGTGAGTACGGGGGTGGCGACACCAGAGTTGGGCTGGTCAGCATGCCCCGCCCAAGCGCGGAAAACCGCATCGCGGATGCCAGGAGTGAAGAGGGAGAGGGTGCGCTGAGACTCCGAGAGGGCAGCAAGGCGAAGGATGTTCTTTCGAGAGAAAGATGCGTGTATCTCGGATGCCGTATCCAATGTGAGCGCAGAACCAGCCGTTGTCTCGATGGGATTGCCAAAGTCGTCCACAGCATCTGGGGGGTTCGTAGCCAAAGGATCTATAGGCGCGGTAGTGTCTTGAAAGCTGTTTAATCTCTCCTCCTCCTCCTCTAGCTCCTGATACTCTGGTGACCACAAGCGGAGTGAGAGTCGGTGAATGATGGCAGGAAGATCCTCCATGAACAACACTCGCAACTGTCCCTCAATCTCCTTCTGCAGATAGTCTCTCACAAAGGGTATAGAATCGAAGGTCGACGATACCTTCAGCGACTCCAGAGGATCATTCCGGAATACCAGCGTGAGGCCCTTCTGCTTCGAAAAGACCAGAATAACAAAGCCCGACAAGCAGATATCCGACAGGGTTATTTGGAGCGGTATTGTCAGCCCAGCGGCTGCCGCAAGAGGCTCCGGCGACGCAAAACTCGGCTTTCTCGAGAGGTACGTGTTCAGCGGGTTCGCTTGGACCTTTGTTTTGAGCGTCAGAAACGCATCGCCCGAGTAGGTCATCTTGAATATTCCTCTGAACCGATCCTCGGCCAAATCGCCAATCTCCAATATCTCCAATTCGGGCGGCGTGGATCCCAGGTTCAGCTCCGTGACAATGATATCATCGACGATGATGGGCGGCTTCGGCGATTTGTTGAGCGCGGTCGTCAACATCTCCCGCGCGCGAGAGGTATCCGCTATGAGCGGCGACCAGTTGAAGTTGAACGCCATGGCGGATTGCTCGAGAGCAATGGTTCAGCGGGCGTCGGTGTTGTGCTGTTAGAAGGAGTTATGACAGCTGATGCTGGTGTTTTCCAGGGTGGTGTCGCGTGCGTGCCTTTGGTCGCCGCGTGAACGGAAGCCAGCCATCAAACCGGGCACAAGAAGATGGGTACCTCGGAATGGGTCGTCGAAGCAATGGGGATGCCGCAGGTATGGGCCCAACGGCGTTGCGAAGCAAGTGGCGCTCTGCAGTAGTTTGAGACTGCCTGGAGGTGAAATGACGATGGGGTGATAGAAAATCTCGAAGCTCCCTTTTCCTGGCTGGCTCTCACCCGGCTGCTGTTCGTGGGCCGCGACCGCTGACATAAGCCGACGCAATCAAAAAGCAAATTCACCCGGACGAACAGGGAACGGGTTCGGGGGGTTTCGAAAGCGGTCGCCAACAATTGGGCCATTTGGTCAAAACACTGCGAAAAGGCACAATGACGTGTGCGGAACGCGTCGTTGTTGTTTCTTGTTTTGTTTTGATGATGAATGTGAATCCACGTGATCGCACCAACTGAACGAATGGTCTCCGACTTCAAAACCTTTTCTTCATTTCTACTCTACGTATATAGAAGCGGCAGAGTAGCGTGAACCACATGCCACAAATTTTTGTTGATGTTTGCTTATCCGATATGCTGATGAATGAAGGACACACGTGATTATTTCTGTTCATCCGACTCCAAAAGTTTCTCGACAGCAGTGACCTTGTCCTTGAAGGTTTGCAACTTGTCTGTTCTCGTCCCTATTCTGATATCGCTCTGGATGCGCACAACACCATTCTGATGAAGCATCGCGTGACATTGGCCGATGACTCTCATGACATCGTCCCATGAGCCCTCTGTGGAGAAGAAGATAACGGTTAGTCATGGCCCTCGAGGTCGAGCAGCTGCAGATAGAGGCTAGTTGGGGACCTGGGGGCTTACTTACCAACAGTGGTCCCCGCCGAGTGCATTGAGTAGTTTAATCCGCTCTTCTTCAGCAGACGTTGCACTTCGGCTACTTCCCGTGAGACCGATGCCGTTGGAGTCCCAAGCGGAATGAGGCAGAAATCCGCTGTACAGTGCGGTGGTGTGGGCAGGGAGGTCAGACTGTACTCGTTCATGGCGATGGCCGAGGATAGTGTTTGTGGTTTTCGAGTCTGCAATTGGGGGTGTAAGGATGGGAACGGATGGGGAGATGCGGGAAGACGGGATTCATGTACAAATAAATAGATGCAACCACGCCCCTAGGTAATTCGTAACGCCAATTCAACACAATCATAACTGTACTCAAGAGGTTGTAGTATAACATTCAATATGCGAACCTCAACCGACTGGTATTTTGACGTCTAGAGGTTCTATGTACATAACATTGGAGGTGGGAAAGGGGAAGACAAGGAAAGTGGCGCAGGACACACGGTGAGTACTTTGGTAAGTGGATATGGGGAGGTGTACGAGGTATGGGTGGTTGGGCCAGGAGGGGTGGGGGGGTTGTGCCCAAGTAGGGTGCTTGGAGCAAGCGGAGAAAGGGTAGTTGTTCGTAGTATTTAGATAGATAGAATAGACGGTGGTGAGTAATAGAAAGCGTACTGAACCTGCCTAGAGATGTTGTCACATCTGGAGAAGGACGACAGCAACCTGCTTCTTCCGCGGATGCCCCAGGGTGCAAGTTTCAGAGCCACTTGGGGCTTGCCAAACGGTCCACGGGGCGTGGGAGATTCCGACTACTAATTGAATAGTGCTGTGTAGGGTACCGGTAGGTGGCCCGGCTTGCCACTTGTGACGATTGATGGGGCGGGATGAATGGATGAAATCGAAAGGTCCGTTGCGTAAATTCACCGCCCCCCACTTCTTTCTGGGCTTTGTCGCCCCGCCTCAAACAAATTCATTCCGCCAACTACTCCTTTCACACCTACAACTACCCAACAAAAGACACTTGTGAATTCGGCTCCCACAGAAACCTTCGCCATGCCTAACTCTCTCGATCAACTGAAGGCCACCGGCACGGTATGTCGTCACAACTCGCCTGCGAAAATGCATAACTAACCGCTTTCCTAGACTGTTGTCTGCGACTCTGGCGACTTCGCCACCATCGACAAGTACAAGCCCCAGGATGCGACAACGAACCCGTCCCTGATCCTGGCCGCCTCCAAGAAGGAGGAGTACGCCAAGCTCATTGACGCTGCCGTAGAGTACGGCAAACAGCACGGCAGCACCATCGACGAGCGGGTGGACGCCGCGCTGGACAACCTGCTGGTGCAGTTTGGAAAGGAGATCCTGAAGATTATTCCCGGAAAGGTGTCGACCGAGGTGGATGCGCGGTTCTCGTTTGACACGGAGGCGTCAGTGAACAAGGCGCTTCGCATCATTGAGGTATGAATTGCCTCACAGCTCTCTACCCAAGTACTCTCTGACTGGAGCCAGCTCTACAAGGAGGTCGGCGTACCCAAGGAGCGCGTGCTCATCAAGGTCGCGTCGACGTGGGAGGGCATCAAAGCCGCCGAGATACTGCAGTCGCAGCACGGCATCAACTGCAACCTGACGCTCATGTTCTCGCTGGTGCAGGCCATCGCCGCCGCCGAGGCCGGCGCATTCCTCATCTCGCCCTTTGTCGGCCGCATCCTTGATTGGTACAAGGCGGCGACCAAGAAGGAGTACACTGCGCAGGAGGACCCGGGGGTGAAGAGCGTGCAGAGCATCTTCAACTACTACAAGAAGTTTGGGTACAAGACGATTGTCATGGGCGCGTCGTTCCGCAACACTGGCGAGATCACGGAGCTGGCTGGTTGCGACTATCTGACGATTGCGGTACGCCCAAGCCCCTCTACTTTGCAAGCAGGGGAAGGAAGCTAACGATATGCACAGCCCAACCTGCTGGAGCAGCTCTACAACTCCCAGGAGCCGGTACCCAAGAAGCTGGACGCGTCGCAAGCCGGGTCGCTGGACATTGAGAGGAAGAGCTACATCAACAACGAGGCCGAGTTCCGCTTCGCCTTCAACGAGGAGCAGATGGCCGTCGAGAAGCTGCGCGAGGGCATCTCCAAGTTCGCGGCCGACGCCGTCACGCTCAAGGACATCCTGCGCAAGAAGATTGAGGCGTAGGCAGTGAAACCGTGTGGGATGGAAAGACAGCCGATATCGCTTCGCTGGGAGAGCGGAGATGTCGGAACTGGCAAAATTGCGAATGGATCCGACGAATGAATTGATCTACTGTGTTTGGCTTGGTCGAGTGAAGCTTAGCTGCACGTGAAATAGACTTTAAATGGTATATTTATCTCTTCTTCGCAGTACGACCGAGTGTGATTATTGCTGTTCTGGGTCGAGAGGTCTGCATCTCCGTGACAGACAAACTCCTGTCTGAGGTGAGGATGATTTCTCATCTACTGGGGGCTGGAACCTTCATGATGCCCTTGGCCGGAGCGGCTCCTTTAAACCCGAGGGGGGAAGAGGAGAGCAGAGGGGGAGTGGGGGGTTTCGGCCGTTGCGTCACTCGGAGCCAGAACCCCGCTCCAGGCCATTGATAGAAAGCTTTCTCTGTCAGCAAAAAGCAGGGAGAAACAAAACCCCACCCAGCCATTCGATCCCCCTCTCTCTCTTTCTCTCGTGCACGCTTCTCAATTTCTTCCATCTGCAAATCGGCACCTTCAATCGATTTACATTTCCCAAAGCTTCAGAGCTTCTCGAATCTCCATATCCAACCGCCAACATGGTCAAAGCCGGTACGTTTTGCCTTATTCCGAGCCACCACCACAAGCTCCCTCAAAGTGGAGATGCGGGGCAGCCTGTCGTGAGCGAGGGAGATGGATGCAGCAAGGTGCTGCTTGCCATTCCACCCACACCATAAGGGTGCTCAAGTGGGCTCAACTGTGCTCAATGGTCGAGCCAAGGCTAACAAATGCTGGTCCAGTCGCCGTCCTCCGGGGAGACTCCAACATCAAGGGCACTGTGACGTTTGAGCAGGAGAACGAGTCGAGCCCGACGAGCATCACATGGAACATCACCGGCCACGATGCCAATGCTGAGCGTGGCATGCACATTCACGCCTTTGGCGACAACACCAATGGCTGCACCTCTGCCGGCCCCCACTGTACGTCGCCCTGTCGTCCTACGGCGCTCAGTGGGCCAGGGAATGGGACATGGCCATGCTAACTGCAGACCGCGCAACAGTCAACCCTTTCAACAAGACACACGGTGCTCCCAGCGACGAGGAGCGTCACGTCGGTGACCTGGGCAACATCAAGACCGACGCCCAGGGCAACTCACAGGGCACCGTCCAGGACCGCCTCATCAAGCTGATTGGATCCGAGAGCGTCATCGGCGTACGTGATAAGCCTGTCCCTCCCTTATGATTAGCGTCGACGGACACTCGACTTACAGATCCGCAGCGCACCATTGTTGTCCACGCCGGCACCGACGACCTCGGCCGGGGCGGTCATGAGGAGTCCAAGAAGACGGGCAACGCTGGTGCCCGTCCTGCTTGCGGTACGTTATTATACGTTTCCCCTTTCTGTAGGACTTGAGGTACTGACAAAGGCGTAGGCGTCATTGGCATCTCCGCTTAAAGCAACGTCGGATGCGAAGCGAAACGGACCAAATGACATCAACAGGAATCACCTCTAAATAGGTAATTGGACAATGACTGTTCCTAGTCCGTCTCTTCCTTGTTCAGGTTGCAATTGTTGTGTAGAGTGTGAATGGATGGATGCTGCACCATCACCGTCCAGTGACCTCGAGATGCGGTGATAGATGCACTTGCCTCGTTTTCGCCTAGCGTCTCGCTCCTTCCTCGCCATTGCCCTTGTATCCTGGTCTCCACCTGGGCAAGGCTTGCCGAATGCCCACTAAACTCTTTAGGGCTCCACCTCTGGACAGATTTACGACACTCCACAATCTCCAACAACACTCACCTCCTCCTTTTTCCTCCTCCCCAACAGCAACCACAGTGTATTCTTTCCTCCTCTCACTCCTCCTCTCATTCCTCCACTCATCATGGCTACCTTCGAAGCAAAGGTCAAGTCGGTGCTCTCGGGTGACACCATCATTCTCCACAATCTGCACAATCCCAAGCAGGAACGCACCCTCAGTCTTGCCTATGTAACAGCGCCTCGAATGCGACGGGAAGGCGACGAGGTGAGCAGAAGCACTCTTCACCAACCCAATCCATACTTTAGATTGCCTCCGCTGACCAAGGCCTTCATTGAAACCAGCAATTCGCATTCGAATCCCGCGACTTCCTGCGCCGCCTGCTCGTCGGCCGCGTCGTGCAATTCCGCGTCCTGTACAAGATCCCCACGGGCGTGAATCGCGAATACGGCATTCTGCAGCTACCGAACCGGACGCAGTTCCCCGATATCGCTGTCGCCGAGGGTTGGCTCAAGGTGCGGGACGATGCTGGGAGGAAGGAAGATAGCGAAGATGCTGTGCAGTTGGTGGAGAAGCTGCACATGTTGGAGGCGAGAGCCAAGGCGGACTCGAAAGGCATGTGGGCCGACGAGTACATCAGGATTCATTCGACGGGCGAGTTGAGTGATCCCAAGGGGTTCGTCGAGGAGCACAAGGGACAGGATTTGAGTGGTATGTGTCCCGCGCGCCATTGAGCATGGGTGAATCGGCTAACCGCTACAGCGATCGTTGAGAAGGCCCTCTCCGGGGACCGCCTCATTGTCCGCATCCTCTTATCCCCCACCGAACATGTCCAGACGATGGTCCTGATCGCCGGTATCCGTGCGCCTTCGACGAAACGGACCAATCCGTCAGATGGGAAGGAGCAGCCGGCTGAGCCCTTTGGCGAAGAGGCACAGGAGTTTGTGGAGATACGGTTACTGCAGCGAAATGTCAACCTACAGCTCCTTGGTGTCAGCCCGAACGGCCAAATCATTGCGAACGTCAAGCACCCCGTACACGGCAACATTGCGCCTTTCCTCCTGCAAGAAGGTCTTGCAAGGTGCAATGACCACCATACCACGCTTCTAGGCAGGGAAATGGCCGCTTTACGGCAGGCAGAGAGGGTCGCCCGCGAAGGTCGCAAGGGAATATACCAAGGTCATGTGCAACAGAAGACGTCGGCTGCCGGCGAAATGGAGGCTGTAGTCAGCAGAGTGCAGAGCGCGGATACTCTCTATCTGCGTGGCAAATCGGGTGCCGAAAGGCGCGTCAACCTCAGCAGTGTTCGTCAGCCCAAGCCTACAGATCCCAAACAGGCACCGTGGGTTCCCGAGGCCAAGGAGTTTCTGCGTAAGAAGATCATTGGAAAACATGTCAGGTTCACCATCGATGGAAAACGGCCCGCTGCTGAGGGATATGATGAGCGCGAGATGGCCACTGTCAAGTATCAGGATAAGAACATCGGATTGCTTCTGGTGGAGAACGGTATGGCGTCCGTCATCCGACATCGCCAAGAGGACACTGACCGGAGCCCTATCTACGACGAACTCCTGCTGGCTGAGCAGGCTGCACAGGAGGCGGAAAAGGGCATATGGTCCCCCAAGGCACCCGCCACGAAGCAATACGTCGACTACTCCGAGTCTCTCGAGAAGGCCAAGCGCCAGCTCTCCTTGCTCTCCCGTCAACGCAAAGTCCCGGCCATCGTCGACTTCGTCAAATCCGGATCCCGTTTCACCATCCTTGTGCCCCGCGAGAACGCTAAGCTGACTTTCGTCCTGTCCGGTATCCGCGCTCCCCGATCTGCGAGGAACCCTACCGACAAGGCGGAGCCGTTCGGCCAGGAAGCACATGAGTTTGCGAATAAACGCACATTGCAACGGGATGTGGAGATTGACGTGGAGGACTGTGACAAGATGGGCGGTTTCATTGGTACTCTCTACGTCAACCGCGAGAATTTTGCGAAAATCTTGCTCGAAGAGGGCCTCGCCACGGTGCACGCGTACTCAGCAGAGAAGTCTGGAAATGCCAACGAGCTCTTCGCGGCGGAGAAGAAGGCAAAGGAGGCCCGTAAAGGTTTGTGGCAAGACTGGGATCCGTCTCAGGATGAGGAACATGAGGAGGACGTGGCCGCTGCAGGTGCCGAGACCAATGGAAGCGCCGCCCAAGGGCGTCGGAAGGACTACCGGGACGTAATCGTCACACATGTTGACGAGAGCGGAAAGCTCAAACTGCAGCAGGTCGGATCGAACACGACGGGCGCCTTGAACGAACTCATGACCGCCTTCCGCAACTTCCACCTGAGCCCCTCCAACAACCAGGGTCTTACCGACCCACCCAAAGCCGGCGACTACGTGGCTGCGCAATTCACCGAAGACAACTCGTGGTACCGCGCCCGCATACGGCGCAACGACCGCGAGAATAAAAAGGCCGAGGTCGTCTACATTGACTACGGCAATTCGGAAGTGCTCCCCTGGTCGCGTCTGCGTCCTCTGACGCAGCCGCAGTTCTCGCCGCAAACCAAGCTCAAGGCGCAGGCTGTGGACGCACAGCTCTCCTTCATCCAGCTGCCAGCCAAGGACGAGTACCGCTCTGAGACGATCGACTTCATCAACCATGAAATTGCCAATCGCCAGCTCGTTGCCAACGTCGATGCGGTGGACAAGGATGGTTCCCTGTGGGTCACATTGTTCGATCCCTCGGCATCCCAGTCTGCGGATGAGAGCTTGAATGCGGAGATTGTGAGTGAGGGCCTGGCATCGGTGCCGCGGAAGTTGAAGGCGTGGGAGAAGGCTGCTGGGGAGGTTTTGGCGGCATTGAGGAAGCGGCAGGAGGAGGCGAAGGCGGAGAGGAGGGGAATGTGGGAGTATGGCGATCTGGAGGATGATGACGACTAGGTGTCTGTCGAGGTGGTGGAGTGGATGGGGAGTGTTTGAGAGTGCAAGGAGCGGTAGGGGGAGGGAGTTTTTGCCCTACCTGCAACGAAGGAAACCGGCGGTGCGGCGTTGGCTCCGGAGTCCACTCCACTTGACGCTTTTGCGCGGGTTGGGTTGGTTACGACTGCGCGCGTGTATTCATAGGGGAAAGGCCATGCAAAAAGAAAAGCGGGAAAGAAGCGTAACTGGAAGACGGAGTGTCCTGCAGGTAACATGGCTAGGATGAAAATCCGATGGCACGGGCTCGTTCTATTCCATCCAATCTGATCGGATCGGATCGGATCTGACATGCGTGGTGATATCCCTAGAAGTAATGGTTGGTTGGCATCTATGGGCCTCCCGTGGGAAAGGAACAAGTAGTAACCTGCAGGACAAAACAGTTGAACCCTCTTCGGATCTCTGCCGCCCTTGGCCTGTGGAAATGACCTACTGCTCCTATCAAGCCTTCTCGGACGGATTGACAGCCATAATTCCAAGCAATCAAACGCTAGACCATCTCACCCCGGCGGGTAACACAGAGTACAATGCAATGCACGCAAGAAGCACAATCATGTATCAAAGTGTCCAGCTAGAGCCTGCGCAAACGAAGAGAAAACGAAGACAATCGCAAGACCCTGAATCCACTCAGCTACTAACTCCTCACTCCCCATCTAACCTGCCCTAACCCAAGCAAACATTACAGAAATGCCCTGGACCGAATCACAACCCTAAGAGCGCCCTTCCGTTTCTTTTCCCAATAACCCGAACTACCCGCGTCAATACCATCCTCATCCGTGCACGAGCTCGTGGTCTCATCATCATTCTTACGAACTTCCTCAGTATCAACGAGCGTCTCCTCATCACCCAAGCCCGCTTCCTCTTCCTCCTCAAACGCCGGACCCGCGCGCGACCGCGACCTCGACCTCCACTCCCCCTCCCCCTCGGAGGCCATCCCATCTATAAAAAACCCTTCGTCCCAGAGACCCTTCTCAGGTTCCCCCTTAAACTCCCCATCTTCCCCTTCTCACCCGGAGTGAGCTCGCCCATCTCCCCCGCCAGGAGCCCGATAGACGACCCGCGCCGACTGCGCACATCGCCAGCGTCGCTACCTGCTCCAGGAACGCCCAAGGCACTTCGTCGTTCAACCCGCAGCATCTTCAGCCCCTCAAGTTCCCGCTCGAGGCGAAGAGCCTTCTCGCGCTCCTCCCTGAGCTCCCGCTCGGCGCGCTTCGCAGCAAGTTGAGCCGCCGAGTCCGATGACTGAAGTTCGTCGATCGTCGTCAGCAAGCTGGAGATCTTTTCACGGGCCTTGTTGAGGTCTTCCGTGATGGACTTGTTCTGCTTGTCGCGTCGTTCAATCTGGTGCTGAAGGTCCTTAACCGTCCGATCGACATTGCGTACGGAGCGTGACTCGGATAGGCGAGCGGCCTCGGACTCTTCCAGGGACTTTTCGAGCTGCGCATGGCTGTTAGTCTGTGTCCCCATGCTGAACGCGAATACTATCGACTTACCTCTTGGATACGGCCGTGCAAGAACCGCACGTCCTTGCCAGCCGAGCCGCTGTATCCCTTGGTCTCCAAGTCAACCAGTCGCAGCTGGAGGTCCTTCAAAGACTTTTCAACGGCAGCCTTTTCCTTATGGAGCTGCACGTTTGCCTCCCGCTCAGCAATGATGTCCTTTTGTAGTTCCTGTGTCAGTGCTTCCGCACGCCTCATCTTCCCCACGGCCGCCGCAGCAATATCTTCCTGTTGTGCAAGTCCTGATTTCAGTTCAAGGAGCTCGCGGTCGTACATAGCGGCATTCCGCATGGCTGGGGACTCGGATCTGGAGAGCTCATCGAGTTTGGATGCAGCCTCCTGCAGACGGGATTCCAATCGCCGCTTTTCTTCGAGAACGGCGTCGCGTTCAGCCGTCACATCATCGAGATCGGTGCGCAGGGTGCGGACTTGGGACAGAAGGCTGACGATCTTGGTCTGCGCCTCGTTGTGTGCGTTAGCAGCCTCATCACGCGAGTTGGAGATATCTTGCAAGGTCATCTCCAGGCGACTCTTCTCCTTTGCCCAAGTCGAAGAATTCAGCACTTCGTCATCCCACTTATTCCGTAATTCCTCTATCTCTTCGCGCAAGCGACCGTTCTCCTCTCGGACGGCAATCACGTTCTCGCGCTCCAAATCAAGCTCATGCGTCAATGCCGAGAGCTCACTCTGGTATTTCTTTCTTGTCTGCTCCAACGAGGTCTCGGTGTCTTCGATATCATGAGCCCTTTGGTTACGGTAGTCCTCTAGTTCATTCTGAAGGCGCTTCTTCGCCTGTAGCGCGCTTTCTAGGTCTGTGGAAAGATCTTCGATACGCTCTTCGTACTGCTGAGTTTGCCGTTGCAGATCCTCAATCATCCCATCCATCTGTTTCCTTTCGGCCATGATGGCCGCACATGTCTCCTCCGCTTCATGTGCCTGGGTTTTGGCAAATTGCTCCGCTCTTGACGCTTTCAAGACAGCAATTTCGGCTTGTTCGAGCTTGCTGAAATAATCGTCCGCCCGGGTCTTGTACAGATTCAGACTGGCTGTGACGTCAACAAGTTTGGAAGTTTCCGCATCAAGACGGATCTGCAAGTCGGCGAACTCCTGGAGCAGCTGATTGTGGTTGGCTTGTTCCTCCTCACGCTCACAGGCAATATTCTCCAACTCCGACCTTGCATCGCGCAATTGCACCTCAAGCTCGACCTTGGCTTGTTTGATATCATCAAAGGCAATCTTTGCTTCTGCAAGCTCTTGCACCGTTGTATTGTGAGCCTGGACAAGAACCTTTCGAGACTGCTCTTGAGTGGTGAGAAGATCGAAGAGCTCCTCGTGCGATTTCGCCTGAACTTCTTGGTACGACAGCTGACCTGAGCGTAGACTGTGCTCCAGGGCGGAAACTTTCTTTGCGGAGTCATCCAGCATGTCATGAAGCCGGAAATTCTCCTTTTCTAGCTTTTGCACCCGTCGGACTGAAGGGCTGTCGTCCTGCCATCCGTTACGAAGGGGAGAACGATCAAGCTGATTCTGGAGGTGTCGGTTCCTCATCTCGGCCATTTGTAATTGGTTTTGGACAAGTTCCAGTTCTGCGGCAAGGTCTATGCGATTATTAAATGTAATCGTATCCACAGTGCGATCTGATCGAGCGGAATCATTGGTGGCATTACTGATGTGCCTCTGGTTTGTTGGCGTATTCGTCCTAGAGAATGGCTTGCGACCCTCACTATCTTTACGGTAATGCTCTGGGGAACGGCGTGCAGACACTTGATTCACCTCACTCGAGTTCATTTCTGCCAGTAAAGCACGCTTGGAGTTTTCGTGGCGCGTATCCATCTCGGTAAGCTCTCCCTTGTACCTCTCGCGCAATTCATCGACTTGAGCTTCCGCGCGCGTGTATCGCTCCGTGGCAATCCGCAGAGCTTGATTAGCAGCCTCGAGCTGTTCAGCCAGCTTGACAGCACGCTCTACCTCGGGCTTCACGGCGTCAAAAGTGATGGAAACGTTTCCAGATTCCGGATCAAAGACCTTTGTGAGCAACATGAGCTGATTCCGGCAGTCCTCCAACTCCCGATTGGCAGTGTCCAAGGAGTTCTGGACTACGCGCATATTCGATTGCGCCTGCGTGCGCAGTTGCCTCTCAGTTTCCAGCTTTCGGTTTGCTTCGGCAAGTTGAAGGTTGATTGTGGAGGAGGCCTTTTCTGCGTTGCGACTGGTCTTATGCTCCCTTGTGATCTCATGGTTCAAATCCTCGAGGCTTAGCGAAAGCTTTTCCTTCTGTTTCTCTAAGGAGGCAATAGTGAGCTGCGCATCTTCTAGTTGGCGGAAGAGGCGTTTGTTCTCCTCTTCAACCTTGGCTTTATCCGTAGTGAGTTGCGCGATACGTGATCGTTGCGTCTCCCCAGCTCGCGAGTTAGATCGTGCAATGTCAAGGTTCTTCTGCTGTAGCTTGTTCAGCAAAGCACGATTGTCGTTTTCAGATGCCGCCAAGCGTCCCTTGATGGTCACGAGTTCACGCTCCAAGCGCTCCTTCTGTTGATCATGGCGGAGTTTGAAGGAGTCGGAGTCAGCAAGCATTTGGCTCAGACTGTGGACCTGTTCTGCGAGATTATTGCGCTCTGCCTCAAGTTGGTCAAGCTGTTTGTCTTTTTCAGCCAGCTCTTTCAGTTGAGCAGCGTGCCGTTCAAGTGCCAGTCTTGTTTGAGTGCGTTCGGCGGCAGCATCAGCATCTAACTTCTCCTCCTGCAACTTCAGATACTTCTCTCGCAGGGTCCGGAGTTCATTCTGATACTCCTTTCGCTCCTTCTCCGCCGTTGCCCGGGACTCAGTCGCTCTTCGCAGAACATCTTGTTGGAGGTACATCTCCTTCTCAATGGTAATCTTGGACTCGTTCAACGCATCGTAGTCACGCTTTAGGGTCTCGTATTTGTGTTCCCCGAGCATCTCAACGTCGTCGCGCGATTGTCTCTCCCGGCTCAGCTCGCGTTGGACTTCGAACAACTCAGATTTGAGATTTTCAATTTGCTCTTCCAGTAGCTTCCGCCCTTCCCCTGATTTGGCATCTTCGGATATTTTCTCTTCCAGCAGACGCCTGGAATCAGCAGCTTCACGCTCAAGCTGCTGCTTTTGGGCCTTCGTTGCGTCCAATTCAGCTTTCGCCTCTCGCAACCGACCTTGGAGGTCGTCATGCTTCGACGCCAGAGTTTTCCTCTCATTATCAAACACGCGTCGATCGGACTCATATTTTTTCAGGTCTGTTTTGAGAATCGCCAGCTCGCTCTCCTTTTTTCTGATGAGATCTTCATAGCTTGTCGATGTGGCAGTGAGATCGGCGATTTGTTGTCGAATCTGGCGGTTTTCATCCAGAAGCTCCTTGATTTGCCGTTTCCCGGCCTGCACCTCCTTTGTTGAGGCTGCGAGTTTTATGTCGAGGTCCTGATCCGTCTTCAGAAGCTTGGCCTCCATAACTTGCAGCTTACGCTCCTTCAAACTAAGATGACTCTTCAGCATCTTCACTTCCCGACTTAAGGATTCCTCTGCTTGCGTGCGCTCCGACTTTGCACTCTCCAGTTCCTGTAGCTGTTGGTCCAGCCTGGTGATTTGATTCTCAAGATCCAATTTGTCCCCTTCGAGTTTGCTGATAATCTGGCCAGCCTGTTCAAGCTCCTTGCGAAGAATTTCGGCCTGATCCTCAGCCTTTCTATTCGCTTCCATAAGGGTATCTAACTGGTCCTCCAATTTATCTTGATCCTCCAGAGCGCCAGCAAGCTTTTCAGAAAGTTCGGCCTCCCGGAGCTGCAGTCGCTTGAATATCTCTTCCTTGTCAAGCGCGAGTGCACGCTCGCTTTCAAGAGTCTTCTGAATACGTTGTATGTCCGTCTCAGCACGCCTTCGCTCGTCCTCAACCCGCTGCCTTTCGGTGATTTCCTGCTGCATCCTTTCTTCGAGCTTGCGGATCATCTCTTCTCTTTTCTTCACCTCAGCTGCTTGACGGGTAGCCCCAAGCATCGGCCTCATACGCACAAAAAGTCTCCACCAAGGATTGGCCTGGAGGTCAAGGTAAACCTGGAAGTTTCGTTGGATGATTCTTGTGGCTTCGGCACGATACAAGCGCTTATGGGCGATGCGCCGTTGGATGAAGCCCCGAGCGGCAGACTGAAATCTGGAAATGATATCCCGAATCAATGCCTCGCGTTGCTCCTCCAATTCTGCCAGGACTCCAGCTCGAAAGAACACCTTTGTCAGCCCAACACGGTAGAGAGCAGTATCCAAGTTTAGCCTCTCAAGAATCAATTTTGTAGCCAACTGGCCATCCAGATATCCCTTTGGGAGAGTATTGCAGAGCACCTCATATCGCTGTCGAAACTCAACGAAAGGTAGTCGATTAGGGAAACCGGTTCTTGCAATGCGAATACCCTCTAGGACACCATTGCATCGCAGTTGATCAAGGACCAAGGGAGCGCTGAATTGTTTCGGCCGTTTCTTGTGATTGGGGAGAATGCAGCGTACGAAGTGAGGATGGGTAGAATGCAACTGACCCATCAGTGTGGAAAGCTGTTCCTTGTGCCGCTGGGCAACAGTACGGAAAAGACCTTTTTTCACACGATTGCGGGATGTGCCGTGGTCATCGTCCATGTCGGCGCAGTCGGCGAATATATTGGCAATATGTTTCTCAGTTGAAGACGCGAGCAGGCGAGTTATGTTATCTGGGAGCGGATCTTTGTTCTTCTCCAGCCAGCCATCGGTGGAGTATTCCACTTCGGCGGCATAGTGGGTGAGCATGAATCCTTGGGTGAGGAGCGAACGGCGGTACTTGGGGGTCTTCCGGTCCCATAATGAGTGCAATTTCTCGGTGAAGCTTTTGTCGGTTGCCTTGGGCATAACAGAGTCCTCATCGAGGCAAGAGAAGATACCAATAGGGTTCGAAAGCTCGATCAGGTCAATAGTGGGTTGAAGATCGCGGCCGAAGTCGATGAATTTCCACTCGATCTGCTCCCTGGCGTACTCCTCTTGTTCCAGCACAAACATGTGGTGATTGAAGAACTGTTGAAGCTTCTCGTTAGTGTAATTGATACAAAGCTGCTCGAAACTGTTGTCTTCAAAGATCTCGAAGCCGGCGATATCGAGCACTCCAATGAAATGGGCATCATCAGCTCCAGCACCGGCGCGATCCAGTTGGCGATTGATACGATCGACCAGGTCGCCGAAGCCCCTCTCGTAGATACCCTTGGCCAGCGCATCAATAGCGAGGCTGACTTGCTCCGGAGTTTGGATCTTCTCCACCCATTCGCGTCCGGCCTTCACCTTGGGATGCAGGAGGGCCTTTACAAAAGCCTCGGCTGGTATCCCAAGCAGTTGACACACTTTGTGGGCCTGAGCAATAGCGTCTGGTTCAAGAGCAGCTTGATCGGCTCGTCGACTCTCACGGACGACCTTTATATTTCCAAGATGGAGAACAGCCGCCACTGTTTTCAAAATAGATATTTGCTCCACCTCCGGAAAGCCCATCACGTGAAATGCTTCGATTAGTGCGTTCCACTCATCCTTATCCGAAATCCCAGATATGGCGTCGTTGCCGTGCTTGGTATACTCGAAGTCTTCCACTCCTGCGTCGTCGAGAAGGAGCTCGCGTTTCATGTTACCATCGCAGCCGCGCAGAAGCTGGTAAAAGATATGGTAGTTACGCTCGTTGGAATTCAACCGCACTACTCTCGACTTCTCCAGAAGGTACCAATCGATATACGCACCAGCGATTTGGCCGGTCCGCGTGAATTCAATCCTAATGAACTTGCCAAATCGAGAAGAGTTGTTATTTCGGACAGTTTGGGCATTCCCAAAGGCCTCGAGGATCGGGTTTGCTCGCAATATCTGCTCCGAGAGGTTGGAATATTGTCTGGGCCCTGATTTCGTTCGCGGTGTGTCTGAGTGAGCCACGGCGGCGAGGTACTGAATGACCTTCTTCGTGTTTTCAGTCTTACCGGCACCGGATTCTCCGCTGCTGACAGTCAGAAAGGGTTGGAACGAAGATGAGGAACGCTTACGTGACCAGTATGCTCTGGTTTGCGCCCTCGTCCACGAGGTTCCGGAAGGCCTCGTCAGCCATGGCGAAGATATGAGGCTTCGTCTCTTCCCTGCTGCGGCCACGGTACATGTTGATGTACTCCCGGGAGTATATCGGCAAAGGGCAGTAGGGGTTCACCGTCACCAAGAACAAACCCGAGTAGGTCTAATGACGTTAGAGCATGAACAAAGAGGAGAGTCGCAACAGACATACGTAAATCAAATCCGCTTGGTATCGCATGTGCAGATTATGAATGACGGAAGGTTCGTTGAGGTGAGTCAACTCGGCCATATCGTCTGCCTTGTCGAACTTGGCCGGGTTGACCTTGTCCACCGAGTCTGCGTCGACTTCATGCTGTGATCCATCATCGCACTGAACTCGAAGCCGCCCACCATCCAGTTCATCCACGACAAATCCGCGCACAAAAGCAGTCTTGGGATCCCGGAGCCAGACATAACGTTTCCCGGAGAAGTCATTCTCTCCTTCAATGCCTCTCACTTCAAGCGAATCTTGCGAGCTTTCGGCAATAAACTGGGGTGCAAAGGTGCCGGCGGGTGTGCTGATGCGCTTGGAGGTCGTCCGGGCCGGGTTAGAGTCGTTAAGGTGCGAGAGCGAGCGATGTCGTAGGTGGCTCATATCGTTCGGCGGTTCGGTGAGCGGTGATGAAAGGAGAGCGGAGCTGGGTTGTGAAGGAGCTGGTACGGGTCCTGAGGACGGAGGCGATGAAGAGGAGTTTCGGGGAACGTGACTGGCGCGCCATCGGGGACCAGATAGGGCAGGGGCGCTCATGATGATGATTAATGTTCAGGAGGAAAGCGCGAGGATGTTACTTCACGGAAGCATCCTGCGGCTTGGACAGACAAAGAGGTGGTTGGGCGAGGATAAGAATAGTGAGAGGTGAGAGACAGAGGGCGGGCGAGCAGTGCAAGGAAAGGAGCATATACAAGGATGCAGTGGCGGGCGTCCGGCGCGGCTATGGAGGGTTACTTCGTTGTCGCGGGTGGTGAGTGAGGGCGTAACTAGGGGAGATAACTGCGATGCTGCTCCAGGGCTGCTGGTGGTGATTCTGGTGATTCTGTTGACCGACCAGGTTTGTTTATGCCGCATATATATATATAACCCCGGTCGCTGCCCAGCAACGGAACTGGCACGTGATTCTCTTGGCGGCAGCCACTCAACTTCATGTCTCCTGTCTACCTCACCTCTTTTCTTCCCCACCCACCCTCCGCTGAAACTCTTCTATATTCTGCACCCCGCCAGGAGCGCCTTCACCATTCCCCTCAGCGGCACCGGCAGCTCCTGGGCGAAACACTACCAAACGTCGTGACCTTTAGTCGCCCTCCATCTCAGCGTGTAAAGGGCGCCCAATTCATAGAGTCTGCGGCCGTCTCGCCCACGAATCCACTTTCCCAGTGAAGGCCCGTAACGTTGTCAGACGCCGTTACCGGCGCGTCGCGACTTCGCACCATGGCCAACTCTAGGTACTCGCAACCACCATACAGCCAGTGGTTCCCTCCGCCCGGCGTTCCCCTCACCCCGCCCGCCGCGCCTCCCAACCAGCAGTCTGGTCTCCAACACCAGTTTCCTTCGGGCCTCCCAGGCTTGAACTTCCAAGCATATAGCCAGAATATGCAACAGTCGCATTATGCGCCCTGGCCGGCTCCCCCAGCTCCTCAACTGAGTCCTTTCCCTGCCGTTTTTCCTCCCCCTTTCCCCGCCTCCGCTGGCTTCCCTATTCCCCCACCACCAGTACCCGCCTCTACGATACCTTACGCTGCACCACCGGCGCCTAGCGCACCACCGCATCAGACTGAGGCTCCTCGAGCAGACGCATCGGCTTGGGATCCGCAGTCATCAATGAGCTTGAACGATCGAGTAGCGGCTATCGCTGATAGTGACAAAGAAGAGGGGGAACTCAGCGATGCGGATGATGCATCCGCGAGGGCACGTAGAGTGGTGGAGCTGCCGCGATCCGTCCCTGAGACCTCCATCAATAACTTCGGGAGCGTGGCTAAGTCCGTTGGCCGGGGTGTTATGGCGAGCTCCAACACTCAAAACGGCTATGGTCGCGGACTGCCCAACGATCTCTGTACAAAGCGTGAAGAGGCCAAGCGTTTTGTATCCATACTCCAGGAGAACAAAATCGAGTATACTCAGCTTACTCGCGAAGGATTGGATGTTGAGTTGCTCCGACAACTATATGATGACCTAGGTCTACCTATCCAAGCGGAACCTTCGGCAGCTGAGCTTGCGACTGTCAACCCACCCACCACTCCAAATCTTCCCGTGGAGCCATCCAGCCATCTCATTTCTTCTGTGCCAACTGAGCAGGGCCCCGGCGAAAGCGTCAAGCCTGCGCCGGCAATAACCACCAATGCTCCACAGATTTTGCCCGTCAAGGCAACGAAATCACCGGCGGACCGTCAAGAATATATTGCGCGCTTGCAAGCTTTGAAGTCGACTAAGCAATCCAACGCCGGTAAAACCACTCCTGTACTGTCCTCGCCTGTGGAAGAGGGACATGCGCCGGCAGATCCTCAATCCAACACATCGAGACTACCCGTGTCGAAAGCAGCGCAAGTTACGGCTCCTACGACTGCCGTTTCGCTCCCGTCATCCTCAAATGCAAAGGACCAACCGCAGGTCATGAAGAAAGTGGCAGGTACCAGTACCCCCAAGTCAGAAGCCGAAAAAGCTCGTCAGACCGAGTTGATTAAGCAGAGACTCGAGATGATGCGAGCTCAGGGAAAGTTGCCGCCATCTAACCCACCAACTCCCCAAGGAACTGACGCCACAGGGGGAAATGCACCTGCAAAACCTAGCTCAACGGTTCCTGCAGCTTTGAATGCCCCTATCGCACGTGACTCCTCAGCCGCCGCTGCTGCCACGCTCCCTGGCCTTTTTATGAATTCTCCGGCTTTCTCGAAAGTGGGTCAACCGACAGGGACGGCACAAGTGGCTGCCGTACCTGGTATCAAGTCCTCAGCTCGCAAGCGCCCAGTTGCCTCGGATTTTGACAACGAGCATCGTTCGCCTCCACATCCAGGTCCACCTTATACAAGACCTCTAGGCCAGTCTCCACACGAACATCATCATGAATCGATGGTCATCCCAATAAGCGATACCGAGAGTGACGGCAGTGACATGGAGTTGGACGATGATCACACTGGCGCACAACCCGCTTCCCAGTCAATTCAACCTCACGCCGCGAGAAATGGAATCAGGACTGTGTTACCAAATGGAGGAAGTTCTGGTAAACAATCCGCCGTACTGACGCCTCCTGCATCGCGCACGCCCGCTGAAGCCACGTCGGAGGAGATCTTGAAGAGGGAGCAGGCGATCTTGAAACTGAAGGCAAAAATCGCTGCACTAAGTTCTAAGAAGAAGACTGCGCAGGCTAAGAAGGACTCACTCGTTGCCTTGTCAGCCGCTGAAAGCTCTGGAATCGAGACGAAATCAAGTCATAATGGCAATGCAACGAGCCACGCTGAACCCTCACAGCTTGTCGGAGTTGCCATAGCAGCCCCAGAGCAACAAGCAGTAGTCCCTGACACAGTGATTCCTGCCGTCACTGGTGGTGCCAACAGGTCAACTGAGTGGACAAAGCAACGTCGTATCGAGATTCAGTCTGCTTTACGAACTTTGGACAGCGACCTAGAGGTCGACAACACTCGACTTGCCCAGCTGGAGAAGCAAATTGCCGAGCTACGATCAAAGAGAGACAGGGAAAAGCGCGACAGAGAGAAGCTCCTGGAGGAATTGGAAAGCTTTGGTATAGACACCGATGGTATGGCCGATGAAGAACTACAGGCGCGTAAAGCGGAGACGGGTGGTGAAAAGGAGGTGCAACCGGCAGCCCAATCAAGACCCTCCTCCTCAACATTGACGGAGGTTGTGCCCGTCACTGAGGTCGTCGCGTCAGGCGAGGTGCAAGGGAGGAGCCCACAGGAGGCGATCCGTACTCCAGCAGAGTCGGTTTCTCCCGGGATCTCGCCAACAAGCAACGTGCCCGGATCTCTACCGTTACAAGCTGATTCCAGGATTAAGGAGGATGTTGCCATGGATGACGCTGAATCAACGCTCGGCGCTTCCCCAGCTGTCGAAATCACCGCTTCTCAAGACCATGTCTCACAGGGTCGCGTTGCCCCTTTGACCGTAGAAGTAGCGACCGACCAGATTGAACCAGCCACCTCTATTGACGAGGAGGATTTCTACTCACCGGAACCAGCGGTTCACCCCGTCACCACTCCCACTATGTCCACTCAGCACGAGTTCGATTCCCGTTCCAGCGCCAAGTCGCCTTCTTCAGAAGGCGAAATGGAAATGTCGGAGGCCCCGGAAGGCGAGGAGGAAGAGTACGAACCTGAGCAAACTATGAAAGCAGAGGCCGTTGCAACCTCAGCGAATGAGGTCCCCAAATCGATGGGTCCCGGTGTGCTCCCTCACGCAACGTCGACGTTGCCTCCGACGGAGGACGAAGGGGAGGTATACGAGCCCGCGTTAAGCCCAGCTCCGGCCGATGATTCTTCCAATGGTCGATTGGAAGCTCGCGCTGGTGCCGCTGATGCAGTTGATGGGAAGACGCGTGATATCCATCCGCCCCTCGATACTTCTGAGACCACTGGACAAGAGGCTGAGACAGACGACCACGACGGAATGGACCTGTCAACTTCCTCAGATGAATCAGATGACCCCTCGACATCTCGTAAAAAGGTTCACCGCGGTTCGATATCACATACCTATGGGAGAGGTTCTGATATCGCTGTTGCTGACGATCTAGCGCCCGAGTTACAATCGCAGGGTCTCCCTGCATTGGTCCATGTCGAGAAACCGGTATGTCATCCACTGCTTGTCGTTCTAGGCTGACGACTGTAGGCCTCTCCACCCGAGGTCCCAGCTGGTAGGATTTGGTTCACGCCATATGAGAGTCCTCTGCGCATGTTCAAATCATATCGCTATCACCCCAATTATTCGCAAGACGTTGCTGGTGGCTTCCTGTCTCTCACTTACAGCCATCAGATTGACCCTGAGAAACCTCTGTGCAGATTTGAAGCAGTGGGTGGCACCTGTAACGATCCCCACTGCGACGGGCAGCATTTCCGAGAGATGAAAATCAGTGGTACGTTGGTTTCAAAAATTTGGGACTCGCAGTCCCCTCGTCCCCTTATACTTTCTGACGACCCGTCGACGTAGGTGATAAGCTCCTCGTCCAACTGGGAACTGCGAACCCTGGAAAGACGCCTGAGGAGAGGCAGCAGTGGAACGATGGCCTAAAACTCGTCCTTCAGGAACTTCGGCGGAAGAGCATCAAGGATCCCAATGGAATTGCGGTTGAGATCGCCAATTACCGCCGCCAGTTCCTCAAAGACGATACCCGCGTGGTCAATCTCTGACCAACGTCTACTAACCACTCAGTCCTGTGCGCACACACATTATGGCCATACTGTTCCATGGCCGACGTATTGACATTGCATTGTTACAGTACTCTCGACATTTTCTTTCAGAGTCTCTTCCCTCACTCCTTACATTTCCTCTTCTGCTCCATCACAACCGCCTCAATCAGATTAGCGAGATATCTTCCGCAAGTCTCGTAGCGGTCAAGCAAGCTCTACCAGCTGCTCACGGACGGGCGTTCCTGGCGTTACATACTCTTCAGTATCGATACCCATGCATAGGGCTGGAGTTGCCTGCATATGGATTCTGCGTGTCCCCGATGTATGCGCATAGGCGTGCATTCAATCGCAGTCGGGGTTTCTGGTATCTGCTGTCATCATCAAAGTAAGAGCTGGATCATCTTGGAGGCATGTGCTGCATGCTGCCTTCGAGTTGAAGGAAGGCGGTTCAAAAGTACGGAGCTGACGAATGACGAATGGAGCAATATTCGTCCGTCAGATCCGATCAGATCCAGTAGCTTGCTATGCAGTATATAGGACTCAATCGACCTGTCTACATGAAACAAGTTGTTCTCAAACTTTGTGGTTCCATTGTGCAGGACTTGGCTCTATCGTCTATCATATCTGTGAACGTCACGGCAAGGTCCATATGTAAACACGGTGCAGAGCAGATTGGGTCAAGCGGTGAGTAAAATAGGGGATGGATGATGGTAGTGCGTCCGAGGGTGGGTGTCCAGAGCCCAAGGGTGGAGTTTCTGTCGGAAGTGCACCTCCTGGGCCCCTGTGTTTTTGATCGACTTCGACTAGCAGAGAATCAGGTCGAACTTCATCCGCGGCCCAAGCACTAGCCATGACCAGGACGAATAGAGGCGTTGGCCGAGAAAGGGGGTCGGATCCATCACCACATGAACCGTATATAAATCCCCCCAACTTGCTTCTTCGAGACTGACACAGAGTCACGGTTATACACTATCTTACACGCCTTTTACCGGCCTTGCTCAGAGCATGTTCTTCCTCCAGGCTCTGGTCGCCAACGTCTCAATCATTGGCACCTCAACCACGCCCTTGACATGCTCATCCTCCAACGCCTCGACCACCGCCGCACCCACCGTGTCTGCCTTCAAGGGCTTCACCGCCCCGGCACCCATCAGCCACTTCAATCTGCCCCCGAAAACACCATTCAACATACTCGCTGCATTGCCCAGCATAGCGATGGGCATGGTGAATGTGCGTGAGGTGTCGTACATGAAGGGTGGGCGGATGAAGATAGAGCGCATAGCGGGGAAGTTAGAGGCGATGAGGGATTCAGCTTCACGCTTCGAGGAGATGTAGCGAGAGGGGAGGAGGGGAAAGCCCGCGGCGGCGGAGATGTAGAGGAAGGTAGGGACGTTGCGGGTGGAAGACTCCTTGGCGAGGGAGACGGCTAGACGTAGTCTGTTAGATATGGGTCTTGTTCAGGAAGGACGGGGGGAAGGAAATGTACCAGTGTCCCTGTTCATGACTTCATATGTCAATTGACCATCCTTCTCCTGCGGTTTCAGCGGCTCTCCCTCTTTTCTATCCAGCGGGTTCTGCGTCCCGGCCTTGTGCGCGCTGAAGGCACGCTGCAGTCCTGCTATTGGGGACTCCTTGCCCGAAACTACGCCCTTGTAATCTGCCTCAAGCAAAATTCCCATGGAATGAACAACGGCATCGGCATTCTCCAGGTGCGAAGTATATGTTGAGGGATTGAGGATATCACCGCGCTGCCATGATACTTTGGATGACCAAGAGGGTGCGGTTGGGGAGGAGACGGAGGACCAGTGTGGCTCACCAGAGCGTCTGTAGGGAGAAGTAAGCTTCCCGTCTTGTGTGGTTGAGGAATGGATGGGTGAAAACGCACGATATAGAGGTCACAGTCCACCCACGATTTACGGCAGCTTTACAGATGCGGGTCCCTTGGAGCTGTTAGCAAATCGAGTCGGAGCTTAAGGGCTGCAGCACAACATTGGGGATGAGGCCAAATCATACCCAAAAACCCATTCCCACCACAAACCACGAGCTTCCTCTTCACCGCCTGAGCCATTGTAATTGCTGTGTGGACATGAAGGTCCACGTCCTTGCCGTTCCATCGCAAAAGTCGTTGACATCACATCCCCTCAAAGCGGTCGATTTGGTAGGGCTGAACGGTTTGTCTTGGCGCCGAGACCCGTTTCGGCGGCGACTGGAGCTACAGGTCGGAGTTTATAACCTTCTTGGTTCAACTTTACGTCGCGTCCCATTCTCTCATCATTTGACAACTCCGAGAATCTCTACATACATGGGACAGCAGTCACAATGCCTGCACCGCCCGCGAATAAGCGCGTCAAGGTGAGAATTGGGTATTTGGAGGGAATCCAGGTGACGGACTAACACCATCCAGAACAAGCGCATAAGTCGCAACATAAGTCGGTCACTCCCGCATGTGCACCAAAACCCTCACTGACTGACGACCTCCCACAGTCATCGGCTCCGAAGCATACAACCTCCCTCCTGTCGGCGATCCCACACGCCCCAAAGGCATCCCCGACGACCACACCAAGCGCTGGACTGTCTATGTGCGCCAACCTCCCGGGGACCCTGACATACGCGCCTGGCTCAACAAGGTGCAATTCAAAATCTTCAACACGTACGAGAACCCGCTCCGAACATGCGAGTCCCCGCCCTTCGAAGTCACCGAGACGGGCTGGGGCGGCTTCAACATCGACGTGCGGCTGCACTTCCAGCCCATCAGCGGGGAGAAGGCGCAATATCGGCAGCACTTTTTGCAGCTGGAGAAGTACGGCGATGAGAAGATGCAGGCCATGCAGGAGAGGACGGGGTGCGTGAGGAGCGAGTTCCTGGAGGTTGTGCAGTTCAACGAACCGACCGAGGCATTGTTTGAGGCGCTCACGAGCGAGAGTCAGTGGGATTATCTTACTGCGGGCATGAAGGGGGCGAAGAAGGCTGCGGCCATGGCCGTGGGGCCAAACGGACGGCCGAAGAGGGGGTTTCCCAATGGGGAGCGGACGGCCCAACTGCCAGAAAAGGGAGGGGAGGATGTGCCCTTCAGTGGGGAAGGGGAGGATGCATTGATTGCCTTGATTAGGGAGAAGATTGGGGTTGTGCAGAAGAGTCTGGAAGAGGAGACGAAGAAGAGGGAGGAGACGGAGAAGAGGTTGAAGGATTTGAGGGCCGAGTTGGGGCATGACGCTGCGCAGCAGGCGGCCCAGCAGGCGAGTGGTGATCGGAGCCGTAGGCGTTAGACATCGATGCGTAGCTCCGATTGCCATTTGGAGGGGGAGAGTGAGGGCACGAAGCAGGAGCAGACGGAGGAGACCGGGTTGATAGAGCGGGATGACGGTTGGGTGAGGAGGGAGAAGACGGAGGAGCGGGCGGAAGTAGACTCGCAGTCCGAGGCGAGCTATGAGGAAGATTCCCCACGGACAGCCCGGTGGGCCAGTGGTAGCGGTGATGGTCGGCGTGCTCGGAGCCCCTATGAACTTAGGAGAGGGAGAGCATCACAGAAGGCGTATCATCAGTACTTTGAGGGCGTTTGAGGTGTGCATTTCCTTAGGCGTTATTGCGTTATTGGGAGGATTGGATGTCTATGCCGCTGGGGGCTAGGTGCATTGTATAAGGGACTGGCATGGGAATAGGCGTCACTAGGATTGAGCGGGTTGTTACTGGCATACTTTTGAGGAGGGAAACTCGAGCATCAACACCAGCATGGAACGCACGGAAAGACACAGTAATCGTTGAAAAACCCTGCGCTCGACCTTCAACGACATTGGTAACCCTCGATACTGGTGACCACCACCTCATCCCTTTACTAACGAAAACCTCTTTGCTCTTTGGACGGCGTATATCCCTCACTGGGCATAAGTGGGTAGCGCTTTGCTGATCCACACTATGTATATACATATATATATCAGAGGTATCAGCAAGGCGGAGCAACAGGAGTGCCAAGCCCAATTGGGCACACGCCCGATAACCCGATAACCTTATCCCAACGACCAGTTCAACAATGTACACTGCTGACGCCGCTCCCTGACATCGAAGCGCTATGCTGGCGCCTCGCTACTCGATATACGCAGGGTGCCTCATGAAGAGCAGAGCTCAGGACACGACGAGGACGGAATGTGCCGAACAAAAGCACGCCATCAGCAACACACAAAAGCACGAGGCACGAGGCAATTCACTCATTGCAGAATCAATCGAGGTACCAATGCTGTCAAAAGAGTGCACCAGGTGTATTCCCAACATGGACCCAGCGATGGTGATTCCCCACCACCCACCGGGAGCGAAAATCTATATACAGAAGTAGACCGTCGAGGCCGAAGCCGATAGTCCAGGCCCTCTCAATTCGTAGAAGCGAATGTCGTAAAGCCCACACGCGTGCTCTCCAAAGTCAAGGGTGGGCGCAGCAGCGAACAAAACAAGGGTGGGAGAAGCTAATGTATGACGTAGCGTATCATAGCGTAAAGTCGATTTTCTTTTTCCTTCACCATAATATCATCTGGGTTCTTCCCTCGTCCAAAATTGTCCAGGTCCGGCCTGGTAGCGCATGTCATCTACTGGATCTGGGCCGTCTCGACGCCAGTGCCGTAGGCAATGTCCGTCACGGGAAGGCCGCTGAGCCGGTTGGTTGAGCCAAGGAGGTGCGGGCAGCTGGGCTGGTTGCTGACGGCAAGATCCAGATGGCAGACCTCGTTGAAGCCGAAGGTGCACGCGCAGTTCTGGATGTTGTAGAGAGCAGAGTTCTGCCCGATCCAGCTGTTCTCTCCGCAACCGACGTAGTACCCGATGGAGTTGGCGGCCATCAGGGGTAGTTTGCCGGAGGGCGTCTTGATGAGGTCCTGGCACTTGTCCATGCCGACTCGAGTGTACTCAGCCGGGATACCACCGCCCATGGTGGGATTTTCAGCCGCGCTTTGGCCGGTAACGAGGTAGTTCCAGGCGTCATAGGAGATGTCGTAGGCGCCGCCGGACTGGTCGATGTGCAGGAGGTGCACGGTGCGGCCGTTGGCGGAGACCTCGACGCAGACAGATCCGCACGAGGGGAACTCGGGGAAGTAGGCGACGCGGTTGGTGTTGATGTGGCAGCCTAGGACGCCGACTGAGGACGAGTATTTGTCGTGGGGAGTGACGGAGATGCCTACCGCGGAGGCGGCGGCGGCGAGGGACAAGCCGATGGCGATGGAGGAGAACATGATGGTGGAGGATATGGTGGTTGGGGTATGATTCAACGACGGGTGCGAATTTATGGGTATCTTGTTTTGGTTCGACTTGGTGAAATGAGTTGAGGAAGCAAGCTTCTTGTGAAAACGACCGACGACAGAGTCCTTGCTCTACAATGAATGTGTTGTTGAATTGGATAAAGGATTGTGTGATTCTCGCAGAGAATGAATGAAGGGCAGGTCTTCACAAAGGAAGGCCTTTGAAACAAGGAGTGTGACTGGTGAGGGAGTGACAAAAGATGGGAGGAGCAAAGCCTGAAAAAAGAGTAGAGAGAAAGGGATCGTTGAGCAAAAACCAGGGGAGATTTTATACTTGGACTGGGTGTCGCCATCTCCGCCGTAGCTACCCTCGCCGCACGCAACAAGTGGATGGGTGGTGGGGGCCGATGCATGCACGCCACAGTCGTGCGTTGGCGCCCATGGACGTTGTTGAGATGAATGTTGAGAGATCGAGCCCCCACCGGTCTTGCAGTTCGCAATCCCGAAGCAGTCCGAGGCAGATGGACGAAGACGCGCAGCCAACGGATTTCGAGGTGAGCAGGAGTCCAGTAAGAATAAGACGCGCATTCCCCGGCTCCACGAAGCCACCCATTCCCCAGCTTGTCATATAGGGAGTCCATCTATGCCTGTCATGGAATGATTGCTTTGCCTTCAAAGAAGAGTTTTTCTCTCTTCTCTTTTTCCTTTCCAGCCAGAACAACAACAGGTCCCACTATTTTTCTCCCATGTTGGCTGTCGGAATGTCTCGGTGTGTCGCCACACTGTCGTGGGGACAGGTCCAGGGGGCTGGCGCGTACCCGCTGAAGGGATACCGACGTGTCGCATCGTCTAGGCGACGCCACGGGGTTGTGTACTGTGTAGTGAAGGTACTGTGTACAGAGTACTCCGTACCTACTGTTTCAATCAGTGGATGGGGCGCATCGGGTACCTGACAGCTCACCACACCAGGATCGAGGCATGCACGATGGTGCATGTGGCGAGCAACGGGAGTGTACGGTGGACTATTATCAGGTATCCGGCCAAAATTCAAACTGCCCGCGGCCGAAGGTGCAATGATGAAGCTCTGCAGAATTAGCAGTGTACGTACACAGTGCAATTACGCAGTACAAGTATAGTACAAGTACGCACGCAGTATAGGTACGCAGTGCAAGCGTATTAATATATAGTGCAAGTACGCGCGCAGAGTATATAATAGTACGCAGCAAGTTCGCAGTATATGTACGCAGCGAGCACGCAGAGCAAGTACGCAGTGCAGGTACGCAGTGCAGGTACCTAGAATAAGTACGCAGTGCGAGTACGCAGTGTATATACACAGCAAGTACGTAGCGTATATACGCAGCAAGTACGCAGAGCAAGTACGCAGTTTAAGTACGCAGTATATATACGCAGTGTATGTACGCAGTAAGGAGGTAGTAGATGTACGTAGTGCGAGAACGTAGTGTATGTAGGGCTTCTCAGGTTCGATTTGAATTTTTTGGCCGGATACCTGATAATAGTCCACCGTAGGAGTGCCTGTGCCTTGCTTTGTTCCCTCGGCGCCACCAACCCTCCTCCACCAACCTCCATCCTCCTCCTCCATCCCCCTCCTTCCTCCTCCAAGTCATGCGCGCGCTTTGCCGTCGAGGAGGATTGGAATTCCCACGTGCTTATTAAGCGAGCGGTGATGGACTCCAAAACAAGTTGGTTGCACTGCAGAGGTTATTTTCATCCTCTTTCATGCAGGTGACGTGTGATGGGAAGATTTTGTTGGCATGCTGCTGACAGGCACATCTATTACGAGGTCCAATCAAACCCTCAAGCGCTGTTGTTTGGAAACGCTGCTGTCGAGCGGGGAGACGGCGCCTACCGGTACCTATGTAGTCACAATGTGAGCGAACCTCGGGTCCACTGAGTTGATGCATTGCATCATCATCATCAAGCCAACTCCGCCCTACCCCGTTCGGGACACACCGGAACCCCTCGTACGTACGGCCTTGTGTTGCCTATCCGCATCCTCGGTCTTGCATTATTCGCCGAGTTGCTTTCTCAACGCTTCGTACGACTCTGCTCTACTAATCTCACTCCTGTGTCGCTTCAACCACGACTCTCTAGGCCCATTATCCGCCGTGCACACCTATGCACACGCACGTGTCGCACGGCGTTTGTGCAACGCTCGCCCGTCTCTGCGCTCAAAGTACTCCGTAACACACTCCAATAGAGGGTATAACAGCAAGCGGTACACGCTCGTCTCCACAGAATTGTACAATCAACCTACAAGACACTGCATATTCTAGGGCCCGTATACTCCTAGTCTATTCACCATACAATAATACAAACCCACCTAGTCGATCCCCTCGCCATGACATCACCTGGCCGATTCATACGCGCCTCCTCCTCCAACTCCCCCCAAACCCAGCATGCATATGACTAGGTAACACCCGTCCCAGTCTCCCTTCTTCGGCAACATCATCCGGCATGTTGAACATCGGCTTTTGTAGCACCGCTTCTGCGGCTGGCTTTTGCACCCCTTCCGACTTTGTCACCTTCCCTGGATTCTTGCTGGTGCTTCGACATGTGCTCTCTTTGGATTCATAGTTGGATTTTTGACGAGCAGGTTCCCGCACGAAGGTCTCATGTCCATCGACAGTACTCGATTCTGCGGCTTGGTCTTGGTCCTCGTCGCTCCAAGTCAGTGCCTCCAGCTCCGACCTGCAGTGTTTCAAGGCATAGGCATCAAGAGAGCGGTAGATGCGACTCGGTGGGCTGTCATACGTTGATCCCCTCGACTCTGCAGAAGAGGTGGCGGCGAGCAGCACACGGCAGATCTGCACCTAAATCGTAAAACATCAGCCCACCCCTTCGTTCTTTACATGTCAAGTGTATCAACGGCTAACGGAGACGTACCTCACGCCTCTCCCGTATCGTATCCAAAACCACCCCACCCATCCTCCCCCCTCCACAACCGTCACTGTCACATCCGCTGGCTCCTTGCAGCATACTCCGCTCCTCGCCACCACCATTTCCATCTCTTCCAGTAACCCACCAGCCGACCCTAACGTTCACATTGAGCACCACCCCGAGGAGCAGTAATGCGTATAGAAGCGCGTTAAGCACGTCTAGTAGTCGCCATTTGCAGTCTGTCAGACTGTACCCCACGCTTACATCTTTTTCGCAGATGTTTTTGTTGTTGATGAGAGGAGAGGCGCCGTGGTAGCCATTCGAAAATCCAAAGGGATATTCGTAGCTCCCTTGGTCGTCTGATGGTTTTTCTGGTGCATGGGCATATGATGAAGGAGACGACAGAGGACTCATATCCGTTACGTGTCCGTATGAAGGGTTGACATTGTAGCAGCAACTTCTGTCGCATGGGGTCATTGAAGTCGCAGTCGAGGCGTATGGCGGTGTATTTGCACCTGCGCCAATTTCCGTCGTGTGCTCCGTAAGAGTGGGAGTGATGACAGGAGTCGGGGCGAGACCGCCAGTGGAAGGCGTTTGCCTTTTCGTGTCGAGGTTGAGAAGTTTAGGGTAGGCAGGCTCGGGTTTATGCTGAGACATCCGGGTAACTGTTTTCGAGAGGTAAATAGGGACTCGTAATCGTTGCGCAGGTGGACGGTAAGAGCGGATCGTATACGATTGAGGGGCGTGGACTGTATAGTATAAAGTTGTACCGTATGCCTCTGTGATGTCTGTTCTGTAATGTGTCTTGTCGATGGGACGTAGGACTGATAACTAGAAGTAGGGGTGATTTTCAAAAATCAGAATCGCAAAGGATACAGACAGTGGGTCGCACCTAGCCTCTCCTGTACCGGGAGGAGAAACGGTGCAGCTGCAGGAGCATTGCAGCAGCAGGAAAGGATGCCATGATTATGGTATATCTATCCTTCACTCTTTCCTAGAGCTCATGTATGTTTGGAAAGAACGCTACAGTAGATCGACGGGAACGGTAATCGACTAAAGGTGAGAGTCAAAGAGATGGGTTTGCAGAAGGCCGAAGTGTCGCGTGATTTTTCGTTTGCGGATACACATACCCAGGTTGTACAGGCCTCCAAATTGAGTTTGGTCCTGAAATAAGGTACGGTTTGGGCTGGGCGACAGAGGAATGCAGAGGGGGTGGCCGTTGTGTCACGTTGGACTGGAGTTTCAGAGCCCCGTTGAGCTACATAGGTACGTACGAATTTGACACTTGGTCGAACCTCCGATTCTGCCTCCATCCCACCCGCCTGAGGACCACAATGTACTCCCTCTTTACACCTCAGCTATAGATATAGGAATTGCATGGGGGTTTTCAGTTAGGGGTGGAAACTCGCAGTACATGCGGGCCTCTCGAGTGAGGAGATGGGGCCTTGGAAGGAGCCTTTAAGGGAGGCCAATATGAGATGTACGGTGATTTACCAGCGATCGTTGACTGTTCGAGAATCACAAATGCGCAAGACATAGAAAGCCCGCATCCATCTAATTCATCCACAGGAAACGGACCTCGCGTCGCAATCCCCTCGTGTCACACTTGGATCACCACGGTCTATCCCTCTTAATCAAATCTGCGGCCTTTTCCGCCACCGCGTACACAGTCGCCTGCAACGGTGCGCCCACAATCAACGGCATCACACTCGCATCCACCACCCTCGACCCCTTCACCCCATACACCTTCAAATCCGGTCCTCCGCAGCCCCCCTTCTCCACCGGCATCATTGCACACGTACCGCCGGAGTGGGAGAGTCCGGGCAACAGGTTACCCGCACGGAGTGCCGACAGCAATTGCTCATCCGTTTGATACTGCGCCCCAGGCAGCAATTCGTCGATGTCGCCAAAGTGCGCTGCAAGAGGGGCATTGGACGATGACCAGAATGCGCGGGTGCAGATGAGCATGGCGAGGAGAATGGAGGCATCGATTAGATTGGATAAAGTATTATACCGAACTATAGGCAGGCCGTCGGGATTTCCTGGGTCGAGAGTTACAGTGCCTTTCGAGGCGGGCTTCAGTAAAAATGTGAAGGCGAAACCGGTTCCTGCGATGGGACCTGCGGAGTCGTTGGATGTAAACCTGCATGCAAGGATGGTGCTCTGGGCGAGAAAACCGCGAACGAGGGATGGGGAGGACCGATAAATGGGTGGGGGGTAGGGTGTTTCTGAATCCGACTGGGAGAGGAGGGCCTGCGCGACGCCCAATGCCGAGGACACATTCAGTTGAGGGAGAGAGAAGAGGAGGGCAGTGCTGCCAGAACCTGCGGCGACGGGGCCGGTGCGATGCTCATTATGCTCTTCCCACGACGTGGCATTGAATGTTTCGTTGCTGATGACGGTATCAAAGTTGGGAAATGTCTGGCGGGGAAGGAGTAGAGCGTTGAGATGGTCGGATGGTCCTGGAAGTTGGCGCCTACACCACGAAGGCTCGTCTTCACGGTGATTCCTGCTGCTTCAAGCACTGACTTGAGACCGATGCCACTGACCTGAGGCAATTGCGGAGTCTGGATCGCGCCAGCGGCGAGGATCACTTCTTTCTTAGCGCAGACTTCGGAAGTGCTATGGTTTGCTGCGGAGACTACTAGTCGACCTTCAAAGAGGATTTCTTTCACGGTATGATGGGTCAAAAGCTGCAAGTTGGGCCGTGACCTTTCAATGGGGTCGTAGTACGCTTTTCGCGATGACAACGTCGTACCATCCCTCTGGTCAATTGACTCGGGCGCCCAATCGAAGCCCGGTGAGCCCCCAGATCCAATGTCGACACCCTTCGATACCCTCTCGCCTTTGCATATTTCTCGGACGGTGCCCAAGTCCGGATGCTGGTAATCCGGAATGGTGATGTGCTTGGCTGGGTCACTTACTTCGCTGGTTATAAACCGCTTTCGGCTTCACTCGTTCGGCTCGCGACAAGTAGCTCAGAGGGTTGATTTATTACATCACGTTGCCGTTCGAAACTTCGAGGAACGGTCTGTAGAGATATACATTTCTTTTGGAGGAGAACGCCGGTCTGATACTACCTAAGAGTCAAGATTCAATGCTGATAGCTCGTCACGTCAGATTTGGATGCATTCGTCGGTCGCGCCGCTTTCACGGCCGCCATGGTCATTAACTATTTGGGGCCGGGGAGTCAAGAATATGAGCCAATGGGATCATCTCTACTGTGTAGTTTCCAGAGTGTATCTGATAAGCCCATCGAAGCAGAGAAAGAAGAACACCACAAACTAAATTACACAGCCGAACGGGAACGAGCGAACCATCTAGCCCTCGCTTGTGTCACCCTGTCGCGTCTTTGCTGACCTTGCTGACCTGGCACAACTGGTTCAAGAGTGTCGGGTTTAACGATTCCCGTCCTCCAGCACGTTGCTTTATGCTCTGGATTTTGGATTTGGAGATAGCAAGCTAAACCAATATTAGTAATGTAGCGCCGCCGCTTGATACGCGTTCTGTTACCTTTAGCAAACTGCATCAGACAATCGGCGCATTTTTCTGTTGCGACGTCCGGAATTTGATTGTTTGCCACCATGCAGTACAGCCAGCCGTACATCATCTGCTTTGTTGTGAGCACATTACAACCTCTCATGACGCGGCAGATATATGCTTACACCTCCCGGACCATCGTCTACAACTGCCCCTCGAGAATGTGGCTGGATCAAACCGCCGGCAACGTGAAGCAACTAGGCAGTGTCAGAATCGGCATCTAACATCACCGAGGCTTGTATACTTCATGAAGAACAGTGGTCGTTGTGCCACGGATTAGGTCCAACATATTCTTTCCGCCATCAATGCCATTTTGCTTGATTTCGGATAACCAACGAGTGTCAAATTCACCATTTGATGGAGGGTTCACAGCGTCATTATGCACGAAAATGTGCGCTTGGTCTCCGAAATCCTTGCTTGGGGGATCCGGTGCCCAACCTAGAACAATGTCAGCGTTTGCCATGTCCAATACATCACAAACGCAAGCCCTTACCGAGAACTGCAAATGACTCGCTGTCGCCAGGTTTCTTTCCTGACCTGCGGTCTTCAGCACTTTGATCCAAAATGGCCGAAATTCTCTGCCCATTTCCCTTGTTAATGAACAACGTATCGTGCCATTGCGGTCCCGTTGCATCGGACGTCTCCTTCTTGATGTCTTCCAGAGCTCCGTTACAGTATATAGTTACTGCATCGACGCTTAGCCGGAGCGAACACACAGGTCAGGAATCAGGAGTCAGCAGGGAACGCACCTTGATAATCATTCTTGCCCATAACGTTCAACCGCTCGAACGTGCGTTGCACGAAACCTCTTGCTTCGGGTTTCAATATCGGATCATATGCCCCGTGAAAAGCCTCTTCACTGTCGCCAATCTTTCCAGTGTTCAAGGCATTCAGGGCAGCTAGCGGTGGTAAGCAAATCTCCCTGCGATATTGCGTGCGTTGTCAATAGATACGAACCCTCTGCTGCCTCGAGGGCTTCCTTGACACCCTGTTCGAGCCTTGCTCGATCACTGTCTGTACAGCGATCTATTTTAATAAGGGCCGATCCTGGGGAGGCCAACAGTAGAAGCAAAGGAAAGAATTTCGCTAGAGGATACATGATGGATAACGACATCCAAGAACAGACTCATACAATTCTCGCCGCTGGAGGAGGAAAATGAAGTATGCTGGAGGGATAGGATCAAGTACCCCTATGTAGCGGATTGTAGAATAACTGCTACGAAGTCTTGTACTTGTAAACGATTTCCGCCCCTGCGCTGTTATTCACCCCGGAAGACCACCCATGACTGGCTTTCGTCCATTCTTATTTTGTCCAACATTCCTCCCGCTCATAACAACATCTAAACGCAGCACTTATAAAATGGCACAGCCACCAAAAGTGACGGCGGCATTTTTTTTTTTTTTTTTT